TTTTTTAATGACCCTGAGTAATGTTAGTTACTTGTAACATTATAAAAGAAATCAAATCTTTTCCCTATAATTCAGAAAATAATACATACACTAAATTTTATTTTTTTACCAAATCTGAACGTTTTTAATCATAAATTGCAAAAATCACTGTTTTTACCAGAAATATGTATTTTTTTTCAATTTCGTTTTTTGAACTGAATTCCCCATTTAATTGACGTCTGGAAAAAGTACAAAAAAGGTTTAATATGTAAATATTTATTTTTGACATTTTTTGCTCTCCCATGGAGAATTGCCCACATATTTCCAACCCCCCAATTCCATCCATTTCTAAAAATTACAGCAAAAGCAAATGATGTACATGTATATTCCCTTTAATGTTGTCTGGACTTTTTGAGATACATACAATGTAGAACCTTTGCATTGCAGCCATCTTGAGGTACAATACCGGTATGTATGAGCCTTTGTTCCTCTCGGATGCAGCCTCGACTCCAGGGGCGCGTGCTCGTTCCTTACACTAACCCCTGGCTGTGATGGTGACGTAAATGACACTGAATGGCTATTCACAGCGTATTGTGCGGGCATTTCGAAGATTGCACGCTGAGCGCGCCCATAATGCGCTCGCGCTCGCGTGCTTAGCTTTGCACGTAACGTCACGTACGAAAAAAAAATTATGATTCAAAAGTCACGAAGCCTGTACGATATGGATTATGTCAGCCGCGTTTTTTGCTAAAAAAAAAACCCCTGTATCTGTGGTTGTAAAGGCACGAAAGGGGTACGTACATTTAATACAAATCTTTGCTAATTAACACAACGTCCAAATGTTGTGTTTGAAAGTGATTCTTCAAAATCACAACTTTTAACATTTTAAAGATGGCGTCGGCACGTAAAACGGATAAACTGCAGCCCTAATTATAATGTACCGTATTTTGGTATATTTAAATTACACAATTCCAGGGGTTACGATTGCGCAAGGCATGATGGGAAACAACATGGCGCTGCAAGATCGTACCCACGGGGCACGAGGTTGACTCGGATGCAAACAAGTAGACCCTTTGTGCACTCATTGTAATATAACAACAGAAGACCTCAAAGATGGCTGGTGAATGCATTGGGTGTACATGTCCATGTATATATCCATAAATGGCAGACTGGGATGAAGTCTAATGGTCAGTGTCGCATATATGAGTTCATCATCGTTCAGAGGACTTGCTTCCACTTCATTGCACGATTTCATAATTGGTATGCATTCATCGCAGACATTGGTCATTCATGTATTAATCCACCTCTGGTTGCTCATCATTTATTGATTAATTGATGTGTGATACCGGTGCCAGGGAACTGTCAGATCGGCTGGAATAAGAATTGCCGAAGCTCTGCATGTACATGGAAATGATCAGGTCTTGTGACCTCACTGACCTTTTGAAAAAGCTCAAGCACTTAATTTTGATTGAGCGATTGGTGAAAAGTTTAAAATGCACAGCGTTTACAGTACGTACGTTATTTCAATGGTTAAGTTTTTTTTTACAGAAGACACAAAGAAAAGTCCCTCCCTAAATTGAAAACTAGATAAATTCATACTATTTTTAAAAATCTACGTTGTAAATGTAAGTTGAAAGCGAATGATTTGACAATCAAATATGCATGATTTACATGTAGCTCTGCATAGCAATACATGTATCCTGCTAAATGGGCTAATTCCAAGCACTTTGCAAGCCCGGGCATGCAAGCGATAATGTATTAGTTTATAATCAAATTAAGTAAGCACCCTCCCCCCACCAGCCAAAGGAAACTCATCGCCGGAGTAGCGCGGCATTAAGCGATGAACTCAGCTGTACACATTGCCCAAGCAACCATCCCTATAGTACATGTAGAACATTGTCCAAGCCCTCGTGTTTTAGAGCCTACTCATTAACGACAATCCCACTAAGCCATGGGGATCAGGATTGTAAACACTAATTGGCATAATTCTGACATCCTGTAAGGTTTGTAAATACACCGGTGTAGATCTGTATCTCAGTACTGCACTCCTTCCTGAGATCAGCTAGTATGCATACCGGTACGCTGCATAGCATGTTGGGGCCACTATTCCACACACGCAGCTTGAAATAGATATTCTTCAAAAGAAAAAAAAATAAATATGACCTGTAAGGTGATACAAAATCAGAAAGGATACTGTTTGTTGAAATCAGAAGTGTAGCCTATCAATCTGAATCAAGTATTTGTAATTTATTTAGTATAAAAGTTGGTTGGGCCACTATTCCACACACGCAGCTTGAAATAGATATTCTTCAAAAGAAAAAAAAAGAAAAATTTCACCTGTAAGGTGATACAAAATCAGAAAGGATACTGTTTGTTGAAATCAGAAGTGTACATGTAGCCTATCAATCTGAATCAAGTATTTGTAATTTATTTAGTATAAAAGTTGGTTACCATGTACATGTACATTGTACCTGTAAAGTTATACCGGTAGGCCTATAGACTACCGAAGTCTGGTGTCGGCTGTTCACGCACTGCTTTACTTGCTGATGTCTTCACACCCACAAGCCACTTGTATGTGCGTGAAGCAGAATATGCGGCACACTTCAGTCCTCTGTACGTGTAGGGTATGTAATGTGCGTGCATGTAGTCAGAAGGAATAACCCAAATAGTAAAGATTTTCTTTCTTCCTTCTCTACAACACCTACATAGTGTCCGTGGAGAAGGTGCATGATTGCCCTCTATGTTATTGATCTGTTGAGAGACTGGAACCGTTTTAATTATTCTGTCTGGGACCACAGGCCCTCTGGCCCTTACACTTGTGATGTTTTCGTACCTACCGTAGTTACAGGTACATCCTTTAATCTTGTATTGATAAACGAGTGGGGCAAGTGTAAAAGTTAGGGAAAATGAGAACAAAACGTGAAGATCTCCATGTTAGGGTGCGTACTATACACTTAATGACTGAGTAATGTGGAATGCCCTGAGGGACATGGTACCGAAAAAGGAATAAAGTTTTAAAAAATGTGACTGTATCCGCAAGAAATGAATTCACTGCATTGTACGTGTAAATCTTTGATAATCGTGAAACTCAGCCAGGCATTGGGGGGGGGGGGGGTGCACTCCCTGCAACCTATTTTATGAAACAGTGCCTAGCTTACGCCATACAAATGTACGTAGGATTTACACAACAAAGTGTTGTGGAGTTTGCTTGAAGTTTCATGAAATTGGCTGCTGATGGCTGATGCAATGTACACTACACACTGAATCTTTGTGACATTTAAAATACATGTAGGCCCTATGCGATGTACACAAATGTACTAACAATGTATTTGAGTGATCGTATATTCAGTGATTTACGTATTTTGACGTGAAACTGTTTTACATGTAGACCATTGAAATTACAGTATCAAAGGCATGACAAAACAGCTGAATTGTCTAAACTCATTAGTGTACACACCCTGTCTTTGGTGAATTAGCTGTATCTTCTGTGTACACACTTTTCTTGTAAATTTACATTCTGTGGCTGTACATGTACAGGTGCGGCTTGCAGTGGGAATGCAAAACTCCCCTCAGCATGCAGGGTACGTGTATGGTTTAAGCTCGAGGATCTGCTAAGGTTGATGAAGGTGCCACTGCGGTCGATCGGATAGAAGTCAGCTAAGATAGCACACACTCCTTCCACAACATTAACACTTTGCCCAAGTGAATGTGACCTTTCAGCGCTATTGATCCCCCTCCCTAGGCCCCCTCTCTCGCTTATATTGCGGTGGGGGAAATATGTGATGAAAGCCCACTGCTTATTCTGGCGGCCTGCGCCCGTGGCAGTAGATTCTAGAAAAGCGTGATGGTTTGTACCGATGGCAGCTGTATTGTACTGGCACGTGTCTACAGACAATACATACACTTAACGTTATCCTACCGGTAGGATTTTTTTTAGCATGTTCAGTACTGAGCATGTTCAGTACTGTGTACATGTACATTGTAAAGGATGATGACATCATGTCATGCACATAACTCCTAAACATGAAAACACACATTTTGGATTTTAGCTTGAACTTTTGTTTTCAACTCATATTGTGTATGTCCAGATGGCATTTAGTAAAAAATAAGTAATAAAATATATTGGGTTACCGGTATTAGCGTCGGAATTCAAGTCAAACCATATGATTCTCTTGTTCATTGAGTCATTTTATTGCAAATGTAATAAAACATACGCATGAGAATTGTGTTTACAAAATGCGAGTTAACATCAGTGCAGGTGACGCATCCTGTGAAAAGTTTACTATGAATGTGGGTAAAGTGGACACATTTCAGCTAATGGGAATGATGTCATAGTTTATTTATATCCACACAAGCATGACCAGTATCTAAAGCAGTCTGAATTAGAGACATCCTGAAGAAATTGTCGAGCCGATCACCTCCATTAAGAAAGGAGAAAAAAAAAAGAAGTCATGTGAAGAAACCAGAGTGTGCGCAATAAAAGCACGCAAGTATTACCATCACTTATCCGCTTCTTCAGCGACAATTTTTTCCCCCCAACTTGCTAAATTTGGCCTGGCTATTTTGGGTCCCAGATTAAGTACCCTTCCTGTCATAAAACCCTGGCTAATACGTGTACGTTGGATAGTAATGTCTCTTAAGCCGCAAAAGCCCTGCGCCATGCAGGCTCCGTATAATAAATCTTGGCAGGTTGCCTTGTCAGAATTGGAAACAGTCGCTGCAGTCGGGACTCCCCGAAAAGTAGACACATTGGCTTTGAGTTCTTAACGTAATCGTTGCTGCGGTAGTTCACACGTCAGCACTTGGTGCCCAATCTTGTGTAGTCATACATTTTGTCCAACTTGGGTGGACCGTTTTTGAATCATTTGTTGTACAAACGGAAGGCCTTTTATCGCAAGCTGCAATGTCCAACAGCCTGATGCTGGACAGCCTCTTGGACCCCGTGCTGATGATGAAACCCCCTGCACACATGCTCCTCCCTTACGAGATGCTAACCTACCTCCCCCTTCTCCCCTTCACAGACACGCCCCAGCCGGAGAAGCACGACCTAGTGGTCAAGAAGCTAGGCCAGTGCAGCTGTGTGTTTGACTTCATGGATGCAGTCTCAGACTTGAAGGGTAAAGAGATCAAGCGAGCCAGTCTGAATGAGCTGGTGGACTACATCACCACGGAGAGGGGCGTCCTCTCAGAAGAGCTGTATCCAGAAGTCATTCATATGGTAAGACACTTTTATATTCTTTTTATAAAATGTGAAAAAGTCCCCACCACCCCCTCCTCCTCCCTCCTCCCCCTCCCCCTCTCCCCCCCCCCACTTTTACAACGAGGAAGTTGGAAGGGACCACTGGAAGGGGACTCTTGGACTAGACATCGTTGGCGCATTGGTGACACATTGCTGAATGCATTGCCACCATGCCTGATGCTCATGCGAAGATGCTGTGCATTTGTTCACGTTCAGAATAAATTAAGTTGTACATGTACATAAGTTATCCCGTGAGCACAAGTGGAACACGGAATAATGTAGTGCGAGACTCTGTGTCCCACATGCCACAAGGCTGAAGACGGAGTGGTATGTGCTATGTGGTACGCAGACTTACTGCATGTACGGTACATTATTCTGTGTTCCACAAGCGCGAGTGGGATAACGAATTTATCTTCAAGCAAACTCAACACACAGTAAAGATTGAACACGCACACTCAAACTTTCCGTCCAGTGGTTTTTCTACGGTATGCATGCAGCAAGAATAGCGCACACATCTGGGAGAAGCCCAATACGCGGAGTGTGGGGTGGGCCGTGTGACATGGGATTAGGTAGCACGGTTCGTTGCAATGGATCGACCCAGTCGTCATCGAGGATTCTAATTTGCTTGAACACAAATGTACATGTTTATGTACTTTGTGCCATACACGAGTAAACCAATGCATGCATGCAGTGTGCTCCCCTCACTGGAGATTTTGTAAGCAATCTACCGTACTGTTCATGCACAGAGTGTAGTTGGTGTGGTTTTTCATCTTTTACTGGGACACCCCAAACTTTCAAAGCTCACTCGTGTAAAATTTCAAACAAGGCACTCACCTTCATTGATGTGTTCAGAGTTTTGCAAACTGCACATAGCTTAAATTTAAGAGCAAACTGTACATGATTCGGCGCGAACTACAGTTAACCATTTTCGACTAACTTTGCTCAAACGAAGGATAGTTGGACTACTCTAGTCAACTATTTGGAACCGAACCACAGGGCACGGTTCTATCCCTGGTTACCAATAGCTGCGCACATCATTAAGCACAAGGGGGAACCACGACCATGATGACATTTTGACCATGGTTTGACTAGAGTCATTCGCACAAGTAGTCCTTCAACGGCCAGAAAAGGAGAGTTGGGGGTGACCTAGACTGGTTCCCGGTCCATCCACTGCGTATTTCGAATGATCCAAAGATATTGGGGGCGGGGATTAGTCTGGAAGACCATCGCAAGTTTACTGCGAACATATTCTTGCGCTAAGGACGCCTGACGCTCACATGAGGATGATGTGGCTAATAAAAAAACGTGCTTACTTCACGCGCGAACCAGTACAGTACAATACGCTCACGCTGTGTGTCCTGTCCACGGAGCTCTCAAAAGTGGTAAAAACGCGCCCTCTTTTGGTTGGTGCACAGAGCCCATACAGGTAGCTACATGTATAGTGCACAGGCATACTGGGTTACGTCACAAATCAACCACTAGTCGACTAATGGTACTCGCCCCAACTTGCACACTATGGGTGCTTGCCTATGATAGTGTCCCAGTAATGCCAGATAAAAATATAATAAATGTCAAGCTCGATTATTCATCCGCCACCATCAGCCTTATTTAATTGTAGGTTCCATTGAAAGTATATTTTGCTGTGCATTGTGGGACAGTTCATGCAACAAACGAAGATTTTGCATAGCATACAGCACAGTCTACTAGCATTGAGCAGTTGAGAAATGTAAATTTATGTGTACATGACAAATTTGATTTGCGGAATGTGCGGCAGGTGAAGGATGTGTCGGGCAATTTCAAGAAAGTGCAGTAACCCATTAGACTCACGCTAATTTAGCACGATGGTTTATACCGAAGGCTGGTTAAGTCGATGAAGAGAAGTCCGTTGCAGAATGTAAACCATCTTTTTGTATTCTTTTTCAAAGAAAACGCAAGCTTTATCAGTGGTTTGCAAAGCATATCTGCTCAATACACGCTTGTGTGCCTGGCAACAATTGTCAACACATGTGTTTCAAATGATATTCAATATCTTAATTATTATCTTCATGTATATCAGTTGGTTGATATCTTGGTTGTAGAAAATTCTGACATTGACAGAATCTATTGCACATGCAATTTTTAATTACTTGATTAAATGGAATCGCCGCCGGAAAAAATCAGAATAAAAAAAATATTTAAAAAATGCCGCCCAAAAATTCTACTTTTGATGACCAAAAAAAAGAGAAGCATTCCAAGTAGTAATCACAAGCTTTTCATTCACTTGTAAACCAAAATCCCTGCGTCTAGCCCAAACACACGCCTTGATCCATGCGCTGCATGCTCGTACTGCATGTGTTACGTTCACTGGTTCCGGTCACCAAAAATATCTTAGGTAGAACGGACGGAAACCAGCTGCACTAGTGGGCCATGATGCCGATGTCATCGACCAATGATCAGACCGATCAACGCACACGTGCTTTTCGATATTTAGCGACGAAATTTTTAAGAAAAAAATTAAGAAGCAAACATTGTTTCAAACAAGATAAAACAAATGATGGTTTTTGCTAAGTCTGCAAACTTGATTTCTCCTTCCTTATTGTAATTTTATGTGATTTCGTAGGTTTAACGTTTGAGTTCATGCATGCAAGTCATGCCAGTCAACATGGCATTTCATGCCGTGCATGCTGCGCTGCTAGGCTGATTCTGCCACGACACGCTCTGTGCCAGCAGTGGTGTTCGTGCGAAATTTTCGTCTTTTTTCAGTTGAATGTAATTGTTACATTTAATTTGTAAAGTTTGATAACTTTACCCAGGCAAATTTTATATGTTTCATGCAGTAAAACTGAATGAGAACATTTCGTTTGAGCACTTGTGTGTCGGAATACCATGCCTGTTCGAACACCGGGCGTACCATTATGGGTCCGTGTGGAATTTTTTTTGTAAGCTTTTTTTTCCCCCTTTCGCCGCCCGACCCAGGGACCACAAAAATCCGTCGTCCAAGTATTTAAAAAAAAAACGGCCTGACATACATGTACATGGACATGAATAGTGTTCATTTTGACAATTGGCAATTTGACATGTATTGTACATGTAGGCCATACAAATGTTGAACACCTTATTTCTCGGAAGCGTTTGCGACATTTTGGGTTAGTCCTAAACATAGGCATATTCACAGGAATGTCTTGGTTGTTAACTGCGCTGTCATTCCGAATTCGTGACATTATCACTCTGCTGAAAACACCACTTAGTGGCAGATCTGACTGTGATATCAGCACAGGAATAATTGTATTTGCCATTGAGTGAGATGTAGGGCAGACACACAGCAGACTGTGGCTCAATCCAGACCGGCCGAGTATTGAATTATAAACCAGCTGGAATGAATGGAATTGGGTTCTTAATGCTCATTGGTTGCTTCATCCAGTCAGTCTGTCTGCTCTATCCAATGCTGGAATATTACATGGACTTAAGAAGTCTTTGCTTGTCTCACAAGGGAATTGTGATTTGATGAATTTTGCCTTTACATATGAAATTGTATGAGTGAATATTTACACGTACACGTATGCACTGTACAGACACGTACAGTTTGTACATGTAAGGTGCTTGACAGTTTAAACAAAATTCCTACACGGGCGGTTTGTATAATAAATTTGTAAAGGTTAACTGGAAGATTCTATTCTGTGCGTTTGTACATGTAGGTTTGTAAATTGTGTACAAGGTATTAAAAATGTTAATGATTAGATAATAACAGGCTTTGTACTTTATAAGATTATTCCCATTCCCATCAAATATTGTGTAATTATCCATTATAGGGGGAATGTTGTTTCAGAAAAGAAAAGCTCGTTATTGTTTGCAAATACAATCCTGAATGCAGCTTTATTCAATCAAATTACTTCCAAGATCAATCAAGGTATCAGAGAGCAATGTAGCGTGACATGGATCGTTCGGAGGATGCGCTAATGCACCGGCTTAATGTGCCAGCATTATTCTTGCCATGCTTAGTCTGCTAGCTACAGATCCATCATAAAGTACCGGGTATCGGTAGGTCTCTCTCAAAGACGGCCATCTCTGTAGGAGATCTGCAACCGCGTATTTTGCGCAATCAAGCACGCATTGCGCAGTGTTGAAAATGTTCCAAACACGCGCGCTTGTTGCTCGAAATGTGTTCGAAATACGACGCAGCCGATGCGTGTTACGTACATGTACATGTAAGTTGACGCTAAAAAAGGCTTATGGTCTGTAGGAAATGACGTCATTTGAGAGAGTCCTACAAATGTGTGTTGGTGTAAATTTGTTCATGGTGTGGAATGGACATTGACATGGACATGCACCGTACAATGTTCATGTCCACGGACATGTTCATGCACATACCGGTATGCACATGCACATGTACTTTTACATGCATACATGTCCATGTACATGTATTCTTATACAATGACCATGTACCATGTACAATGTACATCGTAAGAGTACATGTAAGAGTACATGTACATGTACATGTACGTGGCTGCAGGTACATGTATACTTACGTGTACATGTACCGGCCGCGGTATGTACATGTACAGTACATGTATGTACCGGTACGTTGCCAACAGTCTGAGTGCAGACAGCGGGGCCAAGAGTGCAGGTGCAAATGAGTCCCGTTAAGACAGTGTGACATGTGTGAGTGGGAGTTCTCAAAATGTCTGGTGAATTGGCAAGCGCCTGCCTATCGTACATTGTACATGTAGACATTCATGACATTGCAGGTGTACACAATAGCATTCAACGACTTGATTACTCGTCATTCTTTGCATTGTGGTCTGGCTTGCCAAATTGGAACGTGAATAACATGGTGTTGAGTAAAATGTGTACCATTTTTGTCATTTTATTTGGAAATTTTGCGCAAATGTTTATCGTATTTCTTTGGTTAGGCCAAGAAAAAAATACATGTACCTGTGTTCCCGGTTACCCCACCCAACATAGAAAATTATGCAGAACCTAAATCCTTTAATTCAGAAAAATATTTAAAATATAAAAATGAATAGTTCCTCCCCACCCTAGTTTTTGCAAACACCGTCTCATATTTAAAAAAAAAAAATTCCGTTTCATATTTTTGTAAGTTGGTCGGCAGTGCGGTCTTGCTGCACCATGCAGCGACGCCTACAAACAGCCTAATTATTATATGCAGAATGAAAAATTGAATCACATGTTCTGATATCGACCATCATACTATATTTTTTCTGGCTATAAAAATTTAGAACAAAAACAAAAACCAAACCCACCAACCCAATTTTATATATTTTTTCAATGTAGCATGAAATAGGAGACACAACATTATATTTTCTTGGCCTTAGCAAGAAATTTAGGCTTGTGCGCATGCACACATATCCTGCTACTAAGCGTTCTGTGTTCACAGGGTCAGTGAAGATTTTCTCTGTGGTTTGGGTTGCACAGAATAGATATCAGAATAGTATTCTGTGGTTAGCAGAGCCTGGAAAAAGGGCCCAGGTGTTTGCAAAAACCACTTTACTTCGGCCAAGGCAATAACTACAGTAATTGCACCATGGGACGTTGCACTATAGCATTTAACGGTATTTATAGCATTTACTATTCATGCATAAAACATTACATGTATGCACATGTTCATGTATGCACTCCGTGCATGAATAACAGATGACACTTCGTGATCACGTTCAAGAGCTCCAGTGGAAGGCACATTCCGGCTGTGCGCACCAGTTTGTCGCGCGCATGGGACAAGATTTGCATGATAGATTTTTTCTGAATGTGCACAAATGCATAGCATAGGGTCATGGCTTGAGCATTTATAAGGCATTTGGCAGCAATGTGTTCAGGTTTGTCCTTGTGGTGTCCCAATGGTCTTCCCCTAGCCCCATTCTACCCAGGTTCATCCTTGTGGTGTCCCAGTGGTCTTCCCCTAACCCCATTCTACCCAGGTTCGTCCTTGTGATGTCCCAGTGGTCTTCCCCTAGCCCCATTTTACCCAGGTTCGTCCTTGTGGTGTCCCAGTGGTCTTCCCCTAGCCCCATTCTACCCAGGTTCGTCCTTGTGGTGTCCCAGTGGTCTTCCCCTAGCCCCATTCTACCCTGGTTCGTTCTTGTGGTGTCCCAGTGGTCTTCCCCTAGCCCCATTCTACCCAGGTTCATCCTTGTGGTGTCCCAGTGGTCTTCCCCTAGCCCCATTCTACCCAGGTTCGTCCTTGTGGTGTCCCAGTGGTCTTCCCCTAGCCCCATTCTACCCATGTTCGTCCTTGTGGTGTCCCAGTGGTCTTCCCCCAGCCCCATTCTACCCAGGTTCGTCCTTGTGGTGTCCCAGTGGTCTTCCCCTAGCCCCATTCTACCCAGGTTCGTCCTTGTGGTGTCCCAGTGGTCTTCCCATAGCCCCATTCTTCCCAGGTTCGTCCTTGTGGTGTCTCAGTGGTCTTCCCCTAGCCCCATTCGACCCAGGTTCGTCCTTGTGATGTCCCAGTGGTCTTCCCCTAGCCCCATTCTACCCAGTTTCGTCCTTGTGGTGTCCCAGTGGTCTTTCCCCTAGCCCCATTCTACCCAGGATCGTCCTTGTGATGTCCCAGTGGTCTTCCCCTAGCCCCATTCTACCCAGGTTCATCCTTGTGGTGTCCCAGTGGTCTTCCCCTATCCCCATTCTACCCAGGTTCGTCCTTGTGGTGTCCCAGTGGTCTTCCCCTAGCCCCATTCGACCCAGGTTCGTCCTTGTGATGTCCCAGTGGTCTTCCCCTAGCCCCATTCTACCCAGGTTCGTCCTTGTGGTGTCCCAGTGTTCTTTCCCCTAGCCCCATTCTACCCAGGTTCGTCCTTGTGATGTCCCAGTGGTCTTCCCCTAGCCCCATTCTACCCAGGTTCGTCCTTGTGGTGTCCCAGTGGTCTCCCCCTAGCCCCATTCTACCCAGGTTCGTCCTTATGGTGTCCCAGTGGTCTTCCCCTAGCCCCATTCTACCCAGGTTCATCCTTGTGGTGTCCCAGTGGTCTTCCCCTAGCCCCATTCTACCCAGGTTCGTCCTTGTGGTGTCCCAGTGGTCTTCCCCTAGCCCCATTCTACCCAGTTTCGTCCTTGTGATATCCCAGTGGTCTTCCCCTAGTTCCCCTAGCCCCATTCTACCCAGGTTCGTCCTTGTGATGTCCCAGTGGTCTTCCCCTTGCCCCATTCTACAGGTAAGGCCACGCAGTAAACTCCATGCTCAAGGCCAAACCCACATGAGCTCAAAATGTTGGGGAAATGATAGCATTTAGTTCATTTGCCACCCATAGTGGAGGTCAACGCATCGATGCAAATTAATTAAGAGACAACTTTCACCAGACGGAAGTTAACCACGAGGGAAGTCCTAATTTCGGTGAAGAAGTCCAAATTTTGGTGGAAAAGTGGGATGCTTTGGAACATGAACCTTCATGCTGAGTGTCAGGCCGAGTGATTCCTAGGAAAAATGCCATCATGTAGTTCCCCAACTTTTTTGAGCTCATGTGGGTATGGCCTTTAGCACAGAGTAAACTTACTCTAGTGCGTGGTCATAGAATGGGGCTATAGTTTCCCCTAACTCTTTGTCACTGTTGGGGCTGGGGGGGGGGGGGGGCACATCGTCCATACAGCATGCACATTGTAGATTTGTATGTACCGGTACTTACATGTAACATTGTACAAACGTACATGTACATGTACATGTATGCTTTATGCACAAGCCTACATGTGCATTGTACATGTACATGAACTGCAATTCATTATCATGTCCATGTGTGGTCATGTGCACATGTAGGCCATAAGTTGCATTCAGAAAGCATAGGGCCTAACTGTTAATGTGATTGCACATCCATGTAATTTGAGGTCTACATGCATTACATGTATATTTGTGTAGTCAAACATTCACTGGTAATCTAAAGATAATTACAGCATCTACATGTACACATGTACATGTGCATACATGTACATTGTATGCACAAGCGATGTAACATTGTTCGTTCCATACGCAATTGCCTAGCAACCCGCAATTCTGGAATCTACTAGCCCTGTACATTATCCACTCTTGATTGTTTGCTGAAATTCATAATCACAGGTGTGAATGCTTTGATGCAATAACCCGTTTCAATAAAATGAATGATGTACAAAATGTACAAAGTCGAAGTAGCCCTAGTCAAATTGTAGAGTTTGCATTTTGTAATGCTGAGATTGTATACATGTACATGTCACAGTGAGGAACATGTACATCACCATGATTATATATGGGTCATTCTATAATTTTGGGGTCCACTTTTTTTCCCGTTCCTGTTACATCTGGCATCTATGATTGTATAATTCTGATGCACTCCTTACTGCAGTCATCCTCCAAGAGTGATTATGAATAGCAAACTACAGTACCTACAATGTACATGCATGTACCCAACAAATAAACAATCATTTGAAGTCACTTTTAATGATGCTTGAATGGCAAATTACAAAGTACCAAGGTAACAGGGACGGGAAAAATGTCACACTTTGGACCCCAAATTTATAGAATGACATGTACATGTACATGTATGTAAAAGGTTGCATTGAAATACATGTACATTTGTACCTGTACAGTACTGTGACTGTGCACAAAGTTATATAGTACTGTACATGTGGTACATGTACATACCCATACATGTACAAAACAATAGTGTACATGTACACCGGTACGTGTATTTTTCTGACAGTAGCCCTAACAGTCCTGAATCCTCCAATTTCAATATGATTTTGCACACCCCCTAGGGAGTTAAGGTTAAGATATTTTCTCACTGTCATTTCGTATGCAATTACACATATAATTTGCCATTTCTATTACAACTACATCATGTAAAATTCTGTTAATTTCCACCACCACTTCCGGTATATCAATAACCATTAATATATATTTTTTTTCACCAAGAATTTAATTGTTTTTGTTTGATTGCAGATAACATGTAATATCTTCCGTACACTGCCACCTAGTGAAAATCCCGACTTTGATCCTGAGGAGGACGATCCTACATTAGAGGCATCATGGCCGCATTTGCAGGTAATGAACTGAAGCTCAGGACCCTATCGCTAGGGCTTTAGAGCCCCATACAAATTTGCTGTTGTATTTTAACGATATCAAGCTCTCTTCAAAATTGTACTTCATTTCAGACTAGAAAACAGTAAAAAAATATTTTTATTTTTTTTAAAATTATGCCGCGTTTTGTGATAGCATCCCCATGAAAAAGACCTAAGACTTAATGACATTACGTTTTGTTTACAATGTACATGTGCACTTTCCTATGGGAGCCAGGTGGGGACAAGATCAAATTGTCCCCACTAGGCTCCCATACAGGTAGGAAAGCGCGCATGTAAACAAAGCATGGCGTCATTTTGTCTTAGGCTTATTCGACCCTGTGTTTCAGCCACGCTAAAGCTACCCAATTTTGGGTCATTCCACACTAACGGGGTACAAAAGTGTGACATGGAATTGAGAAATGAAGCAGGATAATATCAAGTTGTTAATGTTCTCTTTTCCCCAAGTACATTCCATGGAATTGAGAAATGAAGCAGGATAATATCAAGTTGTTTGTTCTCTTTTCCCCAAGTACTGTACATTCCCACCCCATTGTTGACGATTGTGCTCACCAAGAATTTAATACGTACATTTTTTTGTAGCCAAGATTCTAGGAGAGTTACATACATGTAGGCATATTTGCTAAAAAAAAGGGTGTCATTTAATGAAACACGTACATGTATTTCTGTTGATGTCTATCCCTGCAGATATTATTTCAATAGATTGAAAATTTAAGCCTTATCAATATTTCCTACAGTGGAAAGGGCCATCGGTGATGCGCCACTGCATGCACTCACACTAAGTCTGAAAGCTTTTTTGCTCAGCGGTAGATTATAAACAGTAAATTCTGGAGTCTAAATTGATTTATGCCCTGCAGAGGTTGATGTGAAAAGACGTGAATTATCCACAGTGAATGTACACGTATAAAGGGTTGCTTCATACTTAAATGAATGTGAAAGCGAACTTGATGCCAGAGAACATTTGCGGCTAAATATTCACCTCAGTTCAATGTGTTCATCATTGTGATTTGCAGTGCAGTTGCTCGTGCTTGACGTCACAGATTCAACTTCGCATTCTCATTTGCATTCATACTGAGTATGAATGGCCACAGTACAGGGTACTTGTACGGTACTTCATTCCAAGCGTACAGGTTGTGTTGGGTGTCGTTTCTAGGATTGTCTGTCAGCACGTACTGTGACCAGACATGTGACCAGACATCTTTGAAGTCTGTGTGAATTGGAAGCTTCCGTTGTGGGAAACACTCCATATCCACACCGACAGTAGAGGATGGATATTTATAAACAACGTCACAGGGTCCATACCCTTGTCTATAATAATTCCTTACCCATTTTTTAAACAAACATGAAGAAATTATAGTGGAAACGCTAACCTTACACTTTGTATTGTTACTTTTAAAGTGATAAAGTTCTTAAAAGATCATGTCTTTTAATACAGGTGTAAACTGCTCCTTGCCTAAACGCATCTTCATTGTTTGCTTGCCTGATACAATATATCATCATAAAAGAAAAAGTGTTGAAATATAAAGTATAAATACCAATAAAATGCATAATACATGTATTCATAACCTACATGTGCAGTGTTTGTAAAATGTTGTTTGATACATTATTATGTGAATTCGATTTTATTTCAAGGTTATTATTTTTTTCATTTTTTTCTCTCCATCCCCCTTCAACTGCAATTCAGATTGTCTACGAATTTTTCCTACGATTCCTGGAATCGCCCGAGTTCCAGCCCAGCATAGCCAAGAAATTCATCGACCAAAAATTTGTTATGCAGGTAAGGTTTAGTAGCTTCAGTCCCGAAGGTAATTCGTCTTCTGACACCTCATGCATATTTATGAGCAAATGCCCCTCATCTATTGGGCAAAAATCCATCATATTGGAAAAGTACATGTACAGTAAGTTACTGCCAGCCTAGACTGGAGACTTGACCTCATATTACACGCGTGCATATGAGGACAAGTAACGGCCTCATGCTTCTGATATCTCATTGGTTGCTACGGTTTATACCTTGACAGGATTTTGTACCTGTAGATCTTATTGGTTGAGCTACCGGTATCTGTATGGGTATTTATTGGGTATTTAAATTCATTGGGTATTTAAATTAGGTTGACCCCTACGTCAATAGATCGACCTGACTATCAACAGGTCAGCTGGCATCAAGAGTTGAAATGGCTGGCCACAATAATCTGCCATTTTGAGTTGGTGTTCAGACCAAACTGGCAGCCATTCATGCTAACCACTTGGTTGCAAGTTCCCGTACAGTCTTGCAAATTCCCAATTAGTTTGCTTCCTAATCCCAGACCATCAGCCTTGCTAATGGCTGCAGTCAGGTTACCAGACAAAGGTATAACAGTATGATGTGGTGAGACTCTTCTGGTTATTCTTTCCCCGACATGTTTTGGATACCAACTGATACTGTCTAACAGTCTTAGCCACCAAATTTCCTGGGAGAACGAAAGTGAAAATTATCAGTTCTGGTTCACGATGTACTTTATTTCCTCCTTAATAGTAAGCCTAGTGATGTACCCTTTTACAAGACATCAAAACTATATAAAGAGTAAACCAGTGAATTAAAAAGAAGTTAAAAATAACACCTTTTTAAAGTGTTTTTTGGATTGTTTATTTGTTTTAATTGGCTTTGGATTTTTCCGCAAAATTTGAATCGCACGTGTCCCATCATAACTTAAAATTCTGGTAGCCTATATGCTGCATTCATTGCAGGAGGTAACGGTTGTAATGAATTCAATAATTTCCAGTGCCTGTGCTTGGCTCCCCGGCAGGTCGTCGGGGAATTATTGTGGTTCCCCTTGCACAAAGCTCGTCTAATTTAAGAGTTCCTCTGAGAGTATGTTTGAATTACATGTGTGTTAGTAACCTTTGTGGAACAGCGGAATTGTCCGTATACTTGTTCACATGTATGAAAGGCTTCAAAGACACACACAAAAAGGTACATCTACATTGTACATTACCACTGGGCCAATTTGAGCAATATAAATGCCGGTTTGTTTGTCTGATGGAAATTTTGGTACCTCAGCAGAAAGCATGTATGTACCGGTAGAGCCATAAATTTACAGACTTCCGATTGGAAGTCTGTAAATTTATTATTTAAAAAAAAAAGTTCTAAGGATATTTTAATGAATTTTAACTGTGGGTTGAAGTATATGGAAAAAAACTGTGATTATTTTGCAATTTAATTTTTCATCTGGATACGTCAATGTTCAAAATTTATCGTAGTCTTGGAAACTACCAGCTCGACGGTCATATGAGGGTTTCTTTTCGAGAAGTTGTCACTCGGCAATACAATACGGTTGATTTTGATTGATTATGTTATTGATCCAATATTGATTTTGTTCTCTTAAAAAGAAATTAAAGCTCCACTAAAGCGTAAAATCTAATCTAACCACTCTTTAACCCTATTGGGCACATTTTTCATCTCTTTGCTTTTTTGTTTTTATGTACATGTACCCCTATCACTGCCATTGCTCAATTAGCCACACGGCCACGGGGTAAAGTGCACACGTGTGAGCTTGAAACATGCACAAATGAGCGTTAGATACATTTGCGCTTTTATTGAATTAGGCCTGCCTAATCACTCGGGTGCAGCAGCAGGGCTCCAGAAATTGCGTCTCCATAGCGATGCGCTGCCGGGCAGGTTACCACAGGAAGCCAGTGGAGTCCGGACCCCCCTGGTTTGCTTACACGTTCAAATAAACGCAGCGGCAAAATCAACTTTGGAAATGCTCCCTGTGGCCTTTTTTTCTTTCTTTCTGTGTGTTTAAAAATGAGCTCTCTGTGTCGATTACACTGTTGGACAGGTCTGCAATATAGTGCCAGTGCTCCAACACCTATGATGCAAATGTACAGTAAATGTATACAGAGGAATTTATATATGTTGGTTCATAATGTACATGTACAGCATGGACATGTGGAAGCCAGTTAATAACTTAACATAAATTATTTGTCAAAACTATTTTGAAAAAAATGAAACATGACGTTATTATACAGGCCATAAACGTACGTGACTTTTGACTCCAACTATGTGTACCAAGGGTTTAAATTAAAGAGTTTCTTAATTCTTAATTTTCACAAATATACTAAAGAAATTTTCACAGAAACTTTGCTCCAGCGCATAGCATAGTGCCTGGGTATTTGTGAGTTTTCTTTTTGTACGCACATCTAGTGTATTAACCCTCTTACATGTACATGTATGCAAACATACATGTACATTCTGTGTCAAGTTGTCCTTTCAGACAAAATCAATCAAGTGACTGTTTTACATACTCGATTGTAACTTGAGTATATTTCCCCAGATAAAACAATGAACAAATCAAGGTGTGGAATTAATACCATTGTCAAACTGGTCTCGGTTGTTGTTGCTACCGGTATTGTCAAGTTTTATGAGTTTTCATATTTTCTTTGTGGAAAGTAAACTCTGCAACTTTTTTTTCACATGGTGTTCAGCCTTGCTGTCCATGGATCACATCAAACAAAGTGTTCAGTTTAGGACATGTTGGTTTAACAGCTTTTGCATCTCAGGAATACATGTACATGTACCGTGTATGCATTCATGTCGCATGGGAAAGTCATTCATAATGAAAGAATGTGCATGTGACGAGCCAATGTATTGAATTAGCATACGTACTTGTAGACTGGTTGGGGGTGGGGTTGCAATTGTAAGTACATGTACATATACCGGTACATGTAGCCGCTCTATACCTTATCATCTCATGCATTTTGATTGAATCAAGTACAGGAATGAATCCATTACTACACAGGCTGTGTTTACAATGGAGAGAAATTGACAGCCCGGTGTACATGTCGTTCATGGTGGTAGTTATAATTATGTAATTGCTCTGGGCTACCGGTAAGGTACATGTATACCCGGTAATGTAGATGATTTTTTTTTTCGCTGAGAAACATTTCCTGAACTTTCTTGTATTCTGCCAAGAATTCGTCATACACATTGTACAAGAAAAAAAAAAGACATGTACAAATGTACATCTAAGACGTTCAGAAATATATCTAGACTGTATTAGGAATGTTACTTCAGATATGTTGGAGGAACATTGAAAAGATAAGTTGAAAGTTTTATTACGTTGTTTATTCTGCTTGTGCCCGGCAGCTACTGGAGCTGTTTGACAGCGAAGATCCCCGCGAGAGAGACTTCCTGAAGACAGTGCTTCACCGCATTTACGGCAAGTTCCTGGGCCTGCGCGCCTTCATACGTAAACAGATCAACCACATCTTCCTCAGGTGAGTGAGAGCGGGAGCTAAGTTTTGATTATAACCTATAAGATATAAGATGATATAAGATGATAAATCTTTGGGGTTGATGCCCAAATCATTGTAACAAATTGCTTTAATTTTTGCTTTCTTTTGTATTTTTTTTTGTAAAGAGAACTGTTTTTTCCTGAGCACAGAATTTTTGATGGTACCGGTAGTGTTGTAAGCAACAAATGATAATCATAAGCAGAGCTATAAAATTGGAATCGGTACGTCCTCCACATTCTTGACACATGCGCATAAAATATTTGTGTATGAGACATGCTAAAGTAATAACGTATCATTCCTTCCAACACTCGGAGATATTTATCTTGTGTTCCTGCTCTTACTTGTTTTTTTTCTTCCGCAGGTTTATTTATGAAACGGAACACTTTAATGGAGTAGGAGAATTACTAGAAATCCTTGGCAGGTAAGCATGGGTCAGCCACAATCTGTATCCGATCCCGCACCGTAATACAAACGTGTCTAATGTGAATTTCCGATTGAGTAAACCCAGTCAGTGCGTCGACCATGTTTGCACAGATTCGTGTGTGGCAGTAACACTAAGGGAAACGTACAGTGTACACACCCAGCCATGCACATGTAGTTCATGAGGTTTTTCGGGGTCCCCCTTTCGTTAAGGCCACTCAGCTAGCTGTGCACTTTTGACACCGTAATTTGCCATGAAGTTTGGACGGGAAAATCCTAAGCTGGTGATTGCATTATCAATCCGGGGGAAATTGCTTGCAAATTGCAACTGATGGAGTATTAAGTGCTACTCCTCGAGACATCACGTCTGGCTTGCAGTGAACCGCCTTGTTATCTCACTTACAAATGTACTTCGATATTGTTATTGCATGTTCCATAGAAGGGGGGAAGAATGATGTACATTTTGTAATGTTCTTGTGTAGTCTTTTTTGTTACAGATTTATAGGCTACAGTTTGTTAAATAAATCCAACAGTCCAAATCAATGTTTCATGTTGCATTGTCAGCTTGGCATTTGATCCATGCCCAAAACAAATAAGGTCCTCCCAATGACTACAACCTCAAAAAAATGTGATATCCTTCTGCAAACAGTGCTGTCTTCAGTCTGCTGTCCCTGCTAGAAATGATGCTGGATTCTCCCCATCTGAAGCTTAGGAATACGGGGCAAGCTTGCCTCGTTCCCTGTCGCATCAAATTAAATTCCCTGCGTATGAAAGAAAACTTCCCAGAGGAATTGACACGAATCTTAGGGGGTGGGGGGGGGGGGCATTTGAGACAAGCATAGCCGGCATATGATCAAATAAGTGGCTACCGTGATCCGACATGCGACATGATGGCAGTGATGCTTGCACATCACCCTGTACTCTCGCATTGTCCGAGGGACCTTGTATGCATCGGTAATCATTTCAGGAAAAAGGACGCGAAAGAAAAATCAATGAAAACTAACTTAGTGTGAGACACTGCTCAGGTCACAAGTTTGGCCAAGACCCTGTTTTTCTTAGTAATTGATTTCTTAGATACCTTTTCTGTTACATGAAAGACCAACAGCACAATTTGCATTTCACTACTTTTTTTCTAATTTCGATTACAGCAGCAATTAAAATCTAATGAACCCTGTTAGAACAACAATACAACTCATTAGATTCCACTTATTCAAGAAATGAGTGAAAGCCAATCCTGAATATTGTCATGTTGAACCAAGTGTTATGATGAGTAAAGGCACTGCCATAATAGACATTTCATAAATCTGCCATCTTTTATGGTTGTGTCTGATCTTCGTGCGTCTTACATTAATTATTTGTTCTTGACCCTTCCCCCTGATTTTCCTCCCTTCTCCTCTGCAGTATAATCAATGGGTTTGCGCTGCCCTTGAAGAATGAGCACAAGCAGTTTCTCATCAAGGTTCTCATCCCTCTACATAAGGTCAAATGCCTCAGCCTTTATCATGCGCAGGTGAGATAGTAGCTCCTTAAAGCAGGCGTCTTAGCCGAGTCCATCACAACTCTATCACAAGTCCTCACAAGTCCATCACAAGTCCATCACAAGTCCATCACAAGTCCATCACAAGTCCATCACAAGTCCATCACAAGTCCATCACAACTCTATCACAACTCTATCACAACTCTGTCACAACTCAATCACATTGCCATCACAAGTCCATCACAAGTCCTGTCGCAAGTCTAGCACAATTTTGGAGAGGGGCCAAACAAAATTTTGTTCCCCCCAAAAAAAATTTATTAAAAAATTTACGGCGTGGGGTTTGGGGCCCGCTTAAGGGCCCCAGAAAATTGGTGGATTCTAGATGCTCTGTGGTGCGATCCGAGGCAATTTATGACCACTTTAACCAATTATATTTAGCAAAAGATGGTGGTGTATGCAGTGGCTGCCTGTTTTTGCGACGTCACTTTAAAAAATAAAAGAATTGGGTTCCGTGGGTTTTTATTTTGGGGGTGGGGGTGGCATGGCCCCGTTGCCCCCCCCCCCCCCCAAAAAAAAAGTTCATCAAACTCCATCACAAGCCCATCACAGGTCCATTACAAGTCTATCACAGGTCCATCACAAGTCCATCACAAGTCCATCACAAGGTATCACAAGCCCAAGTCAGTCACAAGCTATTCAGATATGTAAATGTTTCAAAAAGCATTCAGTTGAGACAGGACTAGTGAAAGGACTTGTGAGTTACTGTCGACCAGACATGTGATTGACGTCGCTGCAACGCTACCTCAAGCTGCACTCGTAAATTTACTGCATGTTGTACATGTATTTCTGTGTAAAAATGCTAGTGAAAGTTGATACCTGATGTTCATATACATAATTTCCAATGGGCTAAATGATACACAAGTTGTAAACAATTGCATATGTGGGGGAAAAAACTGGTTGTAAACTAGCGGTATTAAGTGGGATAAATAATCCAGAGGATACACGCAGAAAAAAATTGTTCATGCCAGCATGAAAAATATTTCTTCGGAAGTACATGTAAACATAAAAATGTCTGAAAATTTTTGGACTGCACCCGTCAGTTTAATTCTCCAACTTTGGTGTGGACTTTTTTTTATTGTATAAAATATTTCAGATTTAGTTCCGTAACCCTTGCTGCATATTTGCACATTTATCTGACTGATTTTTATGCCAGACTGAAAAACATCCAATCCTGCTGTGCACATGCATATATCCACAATGAAAGCCAGCGATGATTGATGGTATTGAAATTCACACAGGAAATTCGGCAACATAATTATGCAGTAAGAATGAAATATTTTGATAACGAAAATGATGCAATTTGGATGCATGGAGAAGGATTTCCCCTCCTGTGCAAAAGCAAGTCTAAATGCTGAATAGAAGCGGTACATTTTGCCAGGGGAAGGTCACAATTTGTAAATGATGTACCTGTATATATTGTACATGACTTTGCAGTGTTGAATGGAGCACTTGGCGTTTTCCTTTTATAGGAAGAACACATTGACCAATTAAATTAATAAATGTTGCTCAGAAGAAACTCCGTATTGAATGCAGTCAGTACTCGATGGTACAAAAAACCTGACGGATGTCGATATGAAATAAAGCATAATTACAAGACCCCGAGCAATATATTTTCATTTGGCTCCTGTCTCCAATAAAACGGACTATTAAGCACAGCTTTCATTAAATAAAAAAAGGCATGAGCATAAAGGGCATTGGCTACTCCATTCCCACTAGGACTGGCACTTCAGAGACATACAAGGGGGGGGGGGTTCTGTAAAAGAATTCATAATTTATTTAGCATTTCTGACCGTGCCTTAGGGCAATCTAGTGGATATTTATACGCAACTTGTATGGGGCTGTACTCCCGTTGTATGCAAGCTCTTCATATGTATGCAAGCCAGGTCTTCTGAATGCTTCGGGGGCAAGTTGGGTATCTACAAGATGATTGCATAGGATTGCGGAGCTGCAATAATGGCTGATAATCCCTGCTCATGATGATTTTGGGTGTATCATTGTGGGGCTTTCAATAGGTTAGACCATGCATAGCAGGCTGCATGCACTGTACATATTACATTTCATGTATGTACATGTACATGATGTATGAAAACACAAAATCTGAACCTGTCTTTTCCATTTCAAATGGAATCAGGCATTTTTATGTCAGGTTTTCGAACACCCGGACAGTCAAGTTTATGCGGTGTCTGATTGTGCTGTCTGATATTTGTGCATGAAATTTTGGGGGATGGCGTTGTCTGCTAAACTACATGTACAATAACATGTACAAAACATGTACATCCACGCAACAAATTATCCTTATTGTTTGGACATGCATGTATGTATGTATTCAAAATGCAAATTGCCTATCGAAATATGCAGTTAAAAAAGCCATTTCACCTGAAAACTGAAACCATTAATCCTATTTCCCTTGGCATTTTTCGTACTTAATCCGGCAGTATTCAACGGTATTTACATGTAAGATCAACACGGCACACTATCTCTACAGCATCAACCTATGAAATTTCAGTTAAGCGACAGTGGCCGAGTTGTACAGTTGTTCAGAATCTATAAAATGCTGGAAAAAAAACTTTTTTTTTTTAAATTGTGCAGATTTGGGTTTGTTAACAAAATTTTGAAGTTAAACACTTTTTGTCATAGGGAAGTGCTTATCTAACAAACCCCTTGGAACATTTTTCACATGGACAAATATTACAAAAAGTAGTTTGAAGTTTTCTCCATGATTGCCTTGGTGTGCTTTACAATGCTGCAATACTTTAATAATGGGATCACTCAACCTTAACGTACCCAGCTGCAGTGCTCTAGCCATAACCTAAGAGTTTCATGTGCACTCCAAAAGGGCAGTGGACAGGGCCTTCTGAGTTTCTGATCCCCGATACTTGAATTCCATACCACACAAAATTCACACCATCAAGTCTCTAGACAATTTTAAGGGTAAATTCAAAACTTATCTGGTCTCTCCATTACCTTTCATTTAACTCTTCTGTCTTCTGGAGTTGTCCTTAGTCATGCATTTAATCTTATGAAAATCGTATTATTATCATTATTGTTTATTATTACTCTCCTCTCCCCTTCTACATGTACAACCCTAGGAGATTGCCCCTTGTAATAACGTCATTTTAATATTTTTTTTGCCTTTGTTGTCTTCTACAGTTGGCGTACTGTGTAGTGCAGTTCTTAGAGAAAGATGCTACACTCACAGAGCAAGTAAGTGATTGTTTTCTCATGCGCTCTAATAAGAGAGCATCTTGGTTTATCTACATGTGTACATGCATGGTGTTTTTGTAATATGTGATGCAATCAAGCTAAATGAGTCGTTTGTCAAGAACTTTCATTTGGAGATTCAGGCCAAAATAGGGCCACTTCATCACATCACTTCATCACATCTCTTGGTGTTCCGACTTCCATAATTTTTGAACTCAAGATGGTATCAGCATGCGGTTTTCACAGCAGTAATGCTGAGATTGTGCTCTTTTCAAAAGTGTAAAAGAAAAAGTGGCCAGGGTCGACAAACGACTCATTTAGCTTGATCGCATCACATATGTTGACATATTTATTTCTGTAGATGGATGTTAAATGCCACGCATTGTACAATTTGGTGTCCATTTGTACCGGTAGATTCCTCAGAATAGCAGTAACACTTTAATCAAGAATTCCCAAAAAACCTTTTTTTATTATTATTATTATTATTTTGGTTTATTTGAAGAAAAAAAACCAAGTCGGCAGCCACTATAGTGTGTCTGATGAGACCAGCTTACAATAGTTTGACATTACTGATACATGTAATACATTTAAAGGTAGAGTATGCCATTTGCAGCTATCCAAAAAGTAACTGACAAAATGATTGTTAAAAAGCTTACTTGGTTTAAAGATGGTAATGGCACTAAACTCCCTGTGAAAGTGTTCTTTCTGGCATGCTGTCATTTTTAAGAAAACAATAAAAGAAGGTCGTTTTCCAAAGATGTGTCTAAAAACGCATTTTTGGAAATTTCCATTAGTTATTCGACAGGTGCGCGCGCGTGCGTCGGTTGCTACAATTTGTTGGTTCAGTGCGTGACATCGCATAGCTGCAATTGGCTGAATGAGAACGTGTGCCAGACACTGATTTGGGACGTAAATTCAAAACATGACTCGGCAACTTTTACATTGAAATTGTGATCCTAGAATATTGTTTTCTTGGAATATGAAGCATTCACTGAGCTAGAACTTCATCAAGTTTGTTGTTAAGCGCACTTCCTTAGATTTTGAGCACTTTTGTTGCCTCAATCGAAAAAACTACACAAATGATGGACTCTACAATTAAGGAATTGTCTGTTTTGTTCTCAGCGATTTGTTTTGAGGGAAACATTAAAAATGACACTTTATACGTGTTCAAACCCATTCCCTTTAAAATGATGTGCTGTTTAACATTTAATTGCTTTTAAGCATTGTAAATTATTTATTCATTACAAGCCATAACGTTAACTATCTGTTAACATCAGGTGACACTTCATATTTCATCTACAGATGAGTAAACACGTAACAGCTATGTCCCGAATTTACGGACAAGACCCTCGTGTATAAAAAGTGTGATGACATTTTGTAATTTTCTGTAGATGACATCACTAGCTGCACACTATTTATTGCAAGCAATCATCAACCCTAAGAAACACAGAAAGTAGGGCGAGTCATTGACTCCCAACTGATATACTTGTGGATTTGTTATCAATGCAAATGTTAATAATCTGTGCAAATCTAGGCTACATACCGTATGGTGCACGTCATTGCTAATGCATTTTTCGCTACGTTTTGAGAGTGCCTTTCCTGTTTATGAGCCATGTTGAGTGCATTGTTGAACCTTTGAAAGAGATTTGAGACAAAATTGAAGGCTTGGAAGAAGTGATGTCACTTGGAAATTGTTCATAAGTGCCCCATATGATAGTGCTCGTTTCTTTAATATCTTCAGGTCATGCTTTTTTAGCTAGCTTGGAATATTAGTCTCCCCCTCCCCCCCCCCTCCCCCAGCCCATATCTGTCTTGCCCTGTCCTCATTTTTACGGAACATTTTCAGAAGAATCACACCCTTCTTCAAAACTGCACTTAATCTCATGTTTAATGTCTTTGTTTTTTTGCTTTGTTTTCATACAGGTCACAAAAGGGCTGTTGAAATACTGGCCGAAAACTTGTAGTCAAAAAGAAGTAAGTCTTTCAGCATTTATTTATGCAAACAAAGAACACATTCTTGAGTTTTCCTTTTATTAAAATTCCTTTGCTGCAATTTTGTAATAGAACTTCCCATTTCTACATTATCTTGGTAAAGTTTAATGATCATTTTTGTGGGGGCTGTTATTTTATTTTTGTTTTGTTTGGTGATTCAACATGACGTTTCTTGTAATAATTAAAATCTATTCCTGCAATTTTGTAATAGAACTTCCCATTTCTACATTATCTTGGTAAAGTTTAATGATCATTTTTGGGGGGGCTGTTATTTCATTTTGTTTTGTTTGGTGATTCAACATGACGTTTCTTGTAATAATTAAAATCTATTCCTTTTAATGATATATCTTCAATGGGCTGCGATGGTAATTTAATGTATTGAGGGCTGTACATGTATAAATAACTTAGGTTACGCAATGGAAAGAAACCTACATGATCACCGAAGGGAAACACAGTGAATGCTAAAGGTTGCTTGGTTGAAACTGTAGACTAGGCAAGAATGCAGCTTACTGTATTGAAATACCCCCCAAGGGCTTGAAACAGTAGCCAGACTGCTGGCGTAGGCTTTCCCTGTTAAGCCATCGGAGCCCACGCTTTTTTTCCTTTGAAACCAAATATTATCCCTCCGATCTCATGCTGGCTTAGCCCAACTCCCCCTTTTCTTTTTTAGATTGGACGTGGAACTATAGATCTCTTTCCCACCTGGATGGATAAGCGTTGCTTAATTTGCTGGGTGACAACACATATTTAAGCTGTGGCGTGCTGAAACAGCCACAGACACCTCCAAACAAATTGTGGTCTTGCACACTAACCCTCCTTTGCAAACGTAGATTCTGTGCCAAGTTGTCCTTTCAGTCCAAATCAATCAAGTGACTGTTTTGAACAGTTAAGAACTCCCAGCCTGTATAGAGCAGGATTGAATGGCTGTGGCTGTTTATGTAACTTAATACAGATATGCTTGGACTGTAGGATATATTGAATTTTAGGCAGCTGTGCCTACCAGTTGCCTGCTTTTATCTGTTGACTGAATTTGATTGTCAGAGTGTTTGCCCCAAATATGATCTGACTGTTGGTGACTAGCCTGTGTAAAAGGCACGGCAGGGGAAGTGGATAGAATTTTGTTCAGTTGTTTTTGCTGAGCCTAAATCATTCATAAAGTAGACAACGTGAACAAATAAAATTAGACAGTAAAGTGATCCATAGAAGTACATGTATGCATCGCTGAGCTCGTACCGAACTCTGTGAATAGTCAGGTACTGGGGATATTAGAGTCCTGTGCATGTAGGCTTTATGAAATCTGCATATAAGCACAACCAATGAATTAATTTATGTGTACAGATGGCCGACATGCCTATCAGTTATTTTTTTTTAGCAACAAATGATACAGATATAAGTTCAGATATACGTGGATGGCTTTCCCGGAATGATACCTGTTTATGCTTGTTGCATTTTGTGGTACATGTAAGTTCGGTTGAGAAAAATGGTCAAAACCTGTCACATGTAGAAAATGCTTTGGATATTAAGCATTCCATATTAGTAATTGTGTGTCAATTAAACAGTGAACATAAATGTACATGTACATGCCACCTACATGAACATGCCACTATTATTTGTTTCAATTAGTCAACATGTGTGGCATCTGGGTTTTTCTGACAAAGGTCCCGCTGTAGATTAAATTGTGACCTTCTGACCATTTCTGCCAGGTCATGTTCCTGGGTGAGATTGAGGAGATCTTGGACGTGATAGAACCCTCCCAGTTTGTCAAGATCCAGGAGGTGTTGTTCAAACAGCTTGCCAGGTGTGTTGCAAGTCCCCACTTTCAGGTGAGTACACAAAGAGAAAATGTTCACCCTTACTGAGGGCTGTTGAGGCCAATGTCATGGACTAAGCACAAACATACGGCTGCTTAGCAAAGCAGGTTACAAATCGAAATTGCACGTTGTGTCCATTGCTCTTGACTGGTTCCCTTTGATACATTTTCTAAGCAGCTTGAACTTGGTTCCAGATTATTTATACTCATTGAACCGTTGAATTTGGAGAAAGCTGTGTTAACTTTGTGTATCAATTAAAGGCTTGAATTGCCGAATTCAGAGAAATAGGTCTTTCTCCTTCAATATGGACTCTGTGCGCCAACAAGAGAGGGCCCTTTTTTACCACTTTCGAGAGTCCCGTGTATGGGACACACCTGTTCGGTTGTCTTTTGTTTCTTTTCCCGTCACCATTTCCTTGCCATTACCCCCCCCCCCCAAAAAAAATTGCTTGCCCCAAAGAATGCTTATGTAATAAGGCTTAATACCCGTTCTGAGGTTTGGTTGCACACACTTTTCATTTCTTTTGTTGGTGAAAAATATTCAAATTGAACTTGACATGTAACAGGAAATGCTTGAATGGTCAAAGATATGAATTAAAATTTGGTGGGGATCAAATAATAAAACCAAAGGAGAAACCGACTTCAAATCAATTTTTTGTTGAACAAATGAAAATTGGCTGATGTTGGATTCAAACCAGTAACCTCTGGAGTGCCATACCAGCACTGTACCAACTGAGCTATCCAGCTATGTGGACAGTCTCCAAGTTTGCCAATGTCTGTGTTCTTGGGGCACTCATGAAAGTCATGAAACTTGTGTGCAATTTATTTAATGATAATATGATATTTGTTTGTGTAACTGTTGTAGGGTCTAACATACTTGTACATTCTGTGCCAAGTTGTCCTTTAAGTCAAAATCAATCAACAGTTTCAACAGTTAAGAGCTCCCTGCCTACATAAAGTATGATTGAATGGCTGTGACTGTTTACGTAACTTGATATAGCTATGCTTTGACTGTAGGTGATTGATAAGGCAGCTGTGCCTACCACTTGCATGCTTTTATAAAAGTCTGTTGACCCAATTTGACTAGTCACAATGCTTGCTTGAATGTATGATCTGACTGTTGGTGACTAGACTGTGTAAAAAGCATGGCACAGGAAGAGATTCATTTTTGGACTGCCTGTGACTGTTCAGATATCAGGAGGGTTAAAATGAGAAATAAATAGTCCCAAATCTTAAAATAATCCCAACTTTACAATTACATTTCATGTGTCATTATCGTTTTGTTTCCTCATTGTCTTACAGGTAGCAGAGAGGGCGCTTTACTTCTGGAATAACGAATATGTATTGAGTCTGATTGAGGAGAATTCAGAAAGCGTAATGCCCATCATGTTCCCCAGCCTATATAGGATATCAAAGGAACACTGGAACCAGTAAGCAGTTCTCTTTTCCTTTTCGTTTCTTTTCTGTTGTTTTGTTTTTTCTGTCCATGTGCATAGACAAAATTAGTGGGTAAAATTGAAGTCCCGCACACAGGTCACACTGGCTCTTGAATTTGAGGCAAGCGGCATTTAGGCAACCCTTTTATGTTGAAGGAGTATTGAATGCTCATGTGAATCCGCTCCGTTAACAAGTACCCCCTCACCGGCAAAGAAAGAACAGTTGGGGGTGACCGACCGACGCCATTTGCCTGACTGCAATTTGCCGCGACGCGCGGCCGTACGTACCACTGCATGTTCGTAGTACAAATCCCCTGGTGTACGTGCGTCACACACAAGGAACGGTGCGCGTCAACCAGCTAAATGTCCCGCCCATGGGACGTCCTTGCTAGGTAAAAGGGCGCCCTCTTTTGTTAGCGCACGGAGCCCATAGAGCTTGCAAGTTGGCCTCAAACACTGCGAGATTTTACAGTACATCCGGGCACCATGTGAAGGATCTAACGTCCTATATTTTGCATTCATTTGTTGTCCTGACTGGACTTACCCAGTCAGGGGCAATAATTGGGCTCTGTGAAAGAAAAGAAAGCATTGCAATTGTCAACTGACTGAAAATATTATAAGTTGATGACAATAATAAAATGACAATTCTGTTAATTCTTAAATTAATTGTGGTGTTTTTCTTTTAATCTTTCAGGACTATAGTTGCTCTTGTCTACAATGTACTCAAGACATTTATGGAAATGAACAGCAAGCTGTTTGATGATCTAACATCTGGTTACAAAGCAGAAAGGCAAAAGTAAGACTGCCTCTACACTTATACTGCCTCCCACATCCTGCAAAATCCCCCTCCCTTCCCCCAACCCCCCCTTCCCTCAACCCCCCCCCCCCCCCCCTCAAAAAGAAGATTTCGGAGGATTTTTTGCTTCAGGAATAGTACTGTATACTCAGGGTTGTCAGAGAGCTTGCAGGAGATAAAATCGCAAGCTTTCATACTTAGGTGGGTTTCGAACCCATTCCTAGTCCAATATGAACATTCGATAGTAATACATGTATGTCTGCACTTGTAAAGGGGAGGTTGTGGGTTCGAGTCCCACCGAGTAAACTGGGGAAGTTTTCTTGCAAAAGTCTCGGAGAGTACTGAGTGTAGAGTGTTTATAATTGCTCCCTGGAGGCAAAAACATTTCCATTGGGTATCCCGTTTCATTTCTACGGTTCTCATATTTTGTTTACTCTGAAGTAGGGTCGTTCCGTCGACAAAACATGAAAATGTAAAGGAAAAAAACTGCAGTCGCATCGTTACAGATGGCTAAATTAGATGATGCCAAGTGCGTATTGTCTCATGTTTTTGTTTATTGCATTGAGATGATCATGAGTAGGTGTCACTGAACAAAATCATAAAGCCCTCTTTGCAAAATGTAATTACATTATGTCTGCATCATGCAGCTCACTAATGTTTGACTGTAGTGGCAGCCATGACATAACGGTAACGGTACGGTACATGTGTACTATACATGTAGACTCCTGATATAAGAGGCAACACCCTCTTCTTGGATTGCAGTGGTTACTATTCGCTCTGCTTTCAGTAAAATCGGATGTTATTTTCCACAGCTTTTCAAATTACACAGAGCCTGATTGCCTGAATTTGATATTCCGTTTTCTTTTTCATTAATTTGTTTTGTTGGTAGGGGTTGGGCGGGATCGGGGGTAATCAAAAAGTTGTTTCTTCCTTGAATCAAGCGCCAATAATAGGATCGGTCGGAAGTGAGAACCAAAGAATAATAAAGGGATGCCCTCATAAGAACAGTGAATTAATGATAACTATGAACTGCCGACTAATCCAGTCATTCCTTTCTTGTTCTACAGGGAGAAGAAGAAAGAGAAAGAACGAGACGAATTATGGAAGCGCCTGAGCAAGCTAGAGATGAATAATGCTGCTAATAAAACCAGCAACGCCAAGTAAAAGGCTTTCACCCTTCCAGCGGCAAGCCAACCCCCCTAGCCTGTCGGCCGGCAGCAACTCAGCTCAGCTCGACTTCAGCTCAGCTCAGGCGAATCACATCATTGTTTGGCAGTTGACTGCCAAAGTGTTTTTTTGTGTGTGATGCTTGCATCTTTTTTTCTTTTTTTTTTAATAAAAGACTAATTATCAGCATCACAGAGAAAATGTCGCATACGAAGTAACCTCCCTTGTTTTTTACAGAAAATTAAGAATTTGTTGCTTAAACACCATCTTAAGCTGATATTGAGTGTTCTTGTGGAAGCATCAGGATTGTCTTACAGGCACTTTGTGGATGATTTAAGGTTGCTTTAAGGTTACCTTGAGGTCACTTTGAGGTCATCCTGAAGTTAACTTGTGATTGCCTTGAGATTGCCTCGAGGACGCTAGGTGACTTCTCTTTTTATGGAGAAGATATGTTGATGTCACATTGGGTTTGTCTTGAGGTTTCCTCGAGGTCAGCATGAGGTTACCTTGCTGTTACTTTTAGGGTAGCCCCAAGGTTACCTTTAGGTTACTTTAAGGTTACCTTGTTGCTACATTACAGTTACCTTAAGACTGCTGGAGATTACCTGGCGGTTACCTTGAGGTTATCTTGATGTTCCCTTGCAGTTATCTTGATGTTATCTTGATGTTGCTTTGAGGTTATCGTGATGTTACCTTGAGACTTTCCAGACACTTTTTGAGGTTTGGTCTCATCTAACCACGGCATTCCCTCAGCTGCTACGGTTTCACTCGGTCATGGTATTCATGAGAGAAATGCTGGTGTAATAGTGAACATTTAAATAAGAACCCCTAGCTTACCTGTGATTTCCTCCCTTCTAAGAGAGTTCTGTTTGTCTTTTATAGGCTTCCTTTTAATATTCAAATAATATCGCAGGTTCTTTCCCCCCCCCCCCCCTTGAAATCTTTGGCAGTAAGGGCCGCTCTGGTAATGCAAGCCGGAACTTGGAAAACAATTGCAAATGATTTTAACTGTGAACGAGGCAATAGAATGTTCCAATGTTTGTAAATGTAATTGTGAAAATGTGTTGTGCTTGAAACGTGAGTAAGGAGTGAGCGTTTGAGCAAGCGAATGAGTGTTGAGTATGTGAGATGTTTTATTCGGCTCGAGTCAGTTGTTTAGGGCCTCTGTACTTACAACCAATCAAATGCACGAACACGGCGGAAAGCTGGATACAACTGTAATATTGAATCAGATTGGGAATTGTTTTTATTACAAACTAACCCTTGTCTTCACTGAAAATACAAAAAAACCAGGAAAATTATTGTACATTGTGAAATGAAGAGTTGTTGAATGACTTGGATTGAAGAAAGAAGAGAGTGGTTGTGCGTGTTTTCTTCACCACTCTTTTAAGCAGTTCTTTTTATGATTGTATAAGTCGAAGTATTCAGTAAACAGTTTTGTGGCGCTATCTTGTTTCCTTTCTTCTTTTGTTTTGTTTTTGTAATGTGTAGAAAGGAGAATTCTCCCAAAGTTTCAACAAACGGTAAAACTTACAATGGAATACTGGAAAGGTTTGTTTCACTAGAATATCAGAGACCCCATAAACCATAAAACATGTATTGGGCATTTACCCAGATTTTTTAATGTCAGATCTGATTGGATGATTCAGGACGCCAAACGACCGGTCCCCCGAGTCATTGTAAAATGTTAGATATGCATACAATTGTTACAATTGCACACACACCAATGGGAGCTGGTTACCAACAGCAGTATTTCAAACAAATAACTTTTTTTTTTATAAATGTAGTCGAGAATTAATTGTATTTGAACTTGGATTCTTGTGTTGTACGCGTTTCAAGGATGTTAGGGAACGTCTTCGGTACACATGAAGTCTTGTTCGTACCATTTGGTGCAGTGAATAACTCTCAGAATAATGTACATTTACAATCTTGCTTTAAAAAAAAATGATTTTAAGGTTTTAAGAAAACAAAAAACAGGGGAAACTTTGTTCATGGCAGCTCCTGCATTGTGCTGTCCTTACGAAGATCTTTGATGCAAAACTCGGCCTGGAGCTTTTGTCAGTGACTTCGCAAGCCAGATATGATCAGATGACCCCTTGTAATCCCCGGTCCCTTCAGATTTCCTTTCATGGTCTGTGAATAATTATGTATGGCTGACCTGCGAAATGCCAGATAAAACCTGTAGAGTAAAAAAATAGTGACAGTCGGCGGAGCGTAACACACAATATGCAGTCCAAACCAAATATTTCGAATTGATTACTTGTAAAAAAATTATATCTTTGGGGCAATACTATGATAAAAAAAAAATTGTGTACATGTTTATATAATATTTAACAGGCAAAAATTGAAAAAGTAAAAAAAAAAATTATAATAACTGAAAGAAAAGTGAAGATAAGATTGGTGTTTTGTAATATTGTATCGTTTCAGAGATACCGAATCTGAATGTTGCTGATAATTTTGTGTTGAACCAGTTGGTCCACAGACGACCAATTTTTTATATACTCGGTTGCACTCGAACCAAAAACCCCCAAAAGCTATTGGTGTGATTCCTGTAGGGTTGTTTGCGTGAGAGAATGTGTACTCGAGTCTGAGCCTGTTACCTAAAGATACATTTTTCCTCCAAACCCAAGTAGCTGAAGAAGACAAAACAATATAAAAATGCTTAATTTTGTAAGTACTGTACAGTGCTGTCAATAGCACACAGTACACTTTTCATATGTATTCTAAAGTTGAGAGCTTGCCTGCAAAAAACACTCACCAGAACACAAATGAGGATTCCTTTTGGTCGTCACTAACCTTAAAAAAGTCAAGACCGGATTTAAAAAAAAAAAAGTTTGTCCATGTTACCTTTGATTTGTGTTCTTTTGTATCTCGTTTATAACCAATCCTATGATTGGGTTGATTTCGTATTGGAAACATGAACGATTGTGTGTGACCACTGTTTAATTTTACATTTTTACATGGTTGCATTTTACAAAGTAATAATGAGAATTTTAGTGGTTGGACTCCTTAAACCTCTGTGAACTCGCGTACTCATATTTGAGATACTACTATCATTAGCGATATCATTGTATACTTTTATGTCTTTAGTTCTTCATAACAAGAACTTCACAACTTGACAAGTTTTTTATCTCATGTAAGTGTACACCACATTCTGTGAATGTTTCAATATTCTCAGAAAAAGGGCACTTGCAGTCCGTTTCCTACAGGAACAAGTAATGGGCACCACAAATAAAATGGCCGCCAGTGGTGATATCAATTTTTAACAATGTCTGGTTCCTAGAAGACACCAAATGGGTAATATGTGTATTGCTCACACGTGAGAAACTTGGTCAGCGGTTTGAGCGTTTTATTTTTGGGTGGTCTTCTGTTAGACTGTTCGATCGATACCAACGACATAACTTGTTATTTGTACCAGATGAACTGATGCAGGCAGAGCTATCCATATAAAAAAAATTACTTGTAAATAAATGCTGAGTATATAGCAGTATGGAATCTCCACATCAGAGGATAATAGTTTTATTGAGATAACAGAAATGAATTGTAGAACTACTTAGGCTTACTAAATACATGTTTTATACAAAAATAAAACCTATCAAGAGATTGGAGTCAAGCTTGGTGGAGTTGAACGTTTTAAAAAGAAAAAATTACATACATTGCACATCTGTGATCATACCTTTGATTTGCTTTTTTTTTGTTATTAAGATGAAAAGATTGGCCATTGTAGCATGGTTTTTCATTAACGAGATCTGTAAATGTGTAAATGTCTGTGCATTACGTAAAAAAAAAATGGAGAAAAAATTAACAAAAAGCTGAAATGGTTGCACATATTTCTTAGTTGAAAAAAAAAACCGAGGGAACTTATAGCATTCATCCATTTTTTGAAATCATTGCATTGTATCATTGTTTCATTGTCTACCTGGATATTGGGCTGGCTCCTTTGAGTATTAATACACATGTAAAATTGATAAATGATTGATATATTAAAAAAGAAAAATGATAAATTATGTAAGTTAAGTGTGTTAGAGATTTTGAGTTGTCACTATATAATGGAGGTAGCAGCTGGCCAATCGCATTGCTTCTCTCATCCATCATAACCAATCACAGCATAGTAAAGTGCCATCATAAACCAATACAGACTATGCACTGTCTTTCTTCGTAATCTTCGAATAAAAAATACTTGATCCCGTTGTAACATTTCTCATCTTTAGTGTATTTTAAAGTACATAACGTGTATTCGATTATGTAACATTTACATGAATTTTTTTTTTATTGTGAGAGCCGTACATGAGAAAATACATGTATTTGATTACAAGAAGTGTATTCTGGGTAAAACCTCCTCCTTCTGTATGGGTTTAAGATGGCAACGTTTAGCAATCCCATTAGATGAGCTTGCTGTGTGATGTCAGTTGAACCTGTACTACCTGTAGCCACATGGTCCACTGCATGCTTCGTTTCTTTGTTTCCATTTTTTTAATTTTGAAGAGGATCGATATTCTGTTCTGTACAATACCTCTTGTTATAAGATGGAAATTACGAATAATAAATGATTGAATTGGAGACCTGACTCTCCAATCCCACAAGTTCAGGAATTCTGAAAAAGTAATTTTTTTTGTTTGAAGCGTTGTAATTTCAGTTTGCGATGTGTCTGTCTATTATGTTAATTAAAATCTTCTGTGCTGGTACATTGTATCAGCTGACTTTGGTCCAAAAATTTGATAATCATGGTCCCAAATTTCATACGGGTGTAGCTTTCCTCAAAAAAGTCACTCAGATTTCAATTGATTTAAAAGTCTACAACATTTGCAAACATAAAAAAAAACTACCAAATTATTATGAAATACATAGCTGGACTGTAAGTGAATAATATTTTCAAGCATCCTGTGAAATCCTGGCACCTAGTGTGCTTTCATTTTCAAGAAAAGTGTAATTATTGGGGAAAAAAATTACTTTGTTCAAATACTCATCACAGATTGCAGCAAAAGGTCGCACTGTTGTCATTGGAGGTCCCTCTAAAACTTTCAGAAATTGTTATTCTCCTTCCCAGAAAAAAATTCTGACCCAAGCTTCGTTGTTTGGGGTGGACACTCGGGCAAATAATAATGGTCATTTAATAAAAATGTTGGTATCGTCAATGATTCCCCCCCCCCAAAAAAAATAAAAATAAAAAATTGTGACAGACTAGCAGTGCAATGCTTTTTTTATTCCTTCAGTTATCAGATTTTATTTTTAAACAAATGTAAAAGCACTTGTACATTTCTTTATATAAACATAAATTACTGGCAAACAGAAAAATCAATGTGATTTTCACATTTTGTGTCTGACAAGTTTTTAAACAATATCTTGTTTTCAAGCTGGTACATAATCAAGTCATCATGAATTATCGCATGTGATCACAAATCGATCAAGTATTCCAATCTCGAGTCACAAGCTACTCAGATAAACTCTAACAAAGGCATTCCTTTGTTATTGTTGATCCTCTTTTACTTCTGGCCTAGCTTGCGACCTCAGTTGTGGTTTGATAAGTGACTGACTTGTGATAAACTTCTGGTTGACTCTGTTACAACTCTGACACACATTAAATGAATGAAAATAACAACGGGTTTTTCTTTTCTTACACTTAAAAAAGAAAAAAAAATTAAACCACAAAGTTTACATATGAAAAAGTCAGATTTTCCATGGAGATTTCGTGTTTGCTTTTCTCAGATACTTGATTTTGTATCTCTTAGGAAACTAAGCTGTGCAAGGAACTGTAAACTGTCTCGGAGGCTTTTTACCCCAAGAACTGAGACGGTCCAAGTGCATATGGTCAAAGGTTCTCAAATATATACAATGTCATTTCTCTTCTGTTAAAGATGCATTCCTGTGCCATATTTGAGTTTCACCCATAAAGCTATATTACATTACTAGATCGCTAACTCCTCATTCTTGCGCGCGAGATGCTTTGAAGCCATCCTGGGCGCGCAGACATTTTGAATTCATGTGCGTGTTTGTAGAACACGCACAAACGTAACGGTTAATCATCTGCAGCGGATATGCGCACACGCATTGCGCTGTTAGCGTAGAGCAAAATGACATGCTCATTTGCTGATCATGCATTTCGGTTTGGGTGTATTGGCTTCGATAACACACCTGTATAGAATACAAATGCAGATATGCAAATAGCCGTACTAAAGCCCAGCAGGCATCACTTTGTACATGAGTCAGCACTCTAGTAATGTAATATAGCTCTATGGTTTCACCTAAAAATATTTTTTTAACCCTAACCCCTTGGGTATCTTTACTAGAAAGTATCCTGCATCTGCCAAAATCCACCTATTGTGTTATGCACAAAACTTTTAGTGTTGGTGACTGCTCAGTATGGAGGTATCCTGAATCCATCAAAATCCTACAGTACCGCTAGGCTCACAATCCTCAATCCATCAAAATTCCCTCGTTTTCAATATGGAGGTATCCTGAATCCACTGAAGTACTCTAGAACAGGGGTATGTATTTTGATGCATTCAGGGTGGTTAGGGTTAAATTGCTATTTTTCTAATAATACAAAAGTTTTTCAATTTTGAATGAGACATCAACCAAAAATATCAGCCCATGTTTAGTTACGGAATTATTACTTTACGCTTTCGAATTATCGGCTGCCAGACAATTATACCCGTTCTCGCGAGGTTGGCTGGTTCCCGCCCTACAATCAGTATCAAAAATGTATGGACCGGGAGCCAGTCTGCTCGCAAAGCGGATCTGATGTTGTGCCCAAAACAAAATTTTTTTTTTCCAGAGGTTTTCAGATGTCCAAAAAAGGAGTTTTTGGGTTGGAAGAAAACATACGGCATGTTGAACATGAATTTGTTGAAGAGCCAGTCGAACTTGTACAAACCCAGCCCTAAACGCTATTTGATAGTACTTTAGAGTAGTTGTACAAGAAATCAACCCTCGTATTCGATGCTTCCCTTGCCAAGCCAGTCCTACTGGTGATGATCACCGTTTTCAGAGCATCACGTCAGTAGCCAAACTTTGCATTCAGATGTGTCCTTCCATCTCCGGTTTGACCTAGTGCAGTAAGAAAACAATAAATTTGAAAAAAAGAAGAAAAAAAGTAAGACTGCTGCAAACTGCTTACTGACTGGGTGGACCTGAAATATATAAATCTAAAAATTAATGTGGCCTGACGTTGCGAACTTAGCAAGTTCTTCTTCAGAGGCTAAAACAGAAATGACAGAGGTACATACATTAACATGGGGGTGCACACAAACATGCAGGGCTGAAAGAAGAAACATGTTACCCCCATGTTAATGTATGTACCTCTGTCATTTCTGTTTTAGCCTCTGAAGAAGAACTTGCTAAGTTCGCAACGTCAGGCCACATTAATTTTTAGATAAAAAATTTGGGTTGAAAGAGTGTTATTAGTTTCTCCGGTACTACGGTACATGAAAACAAAGGAATGTCCACAGTAGGTTTGGAAGTGGGTGTGTGTGTGTGTGTGGGGGGGGGGGGGGGGGAGTGTGGGGTGTCCTCCCCCAACAATTTATTGTCGGCAAAATAATTGCCCTATTGGCAAAGTCAGCATGGCATGACATAACGAAAGCGCCACCTATTGACAAGTAGTGCCTAGTTTCGTCCGATTTTAAAAGCGCCCCTATTGGTCAGATCAAGTAACCCCCCCCCCCCCCCAGCTCTCCCAAGGATCTGGGTTGGGTTTAGTATCACTATAAAAATGGCTGCACTGACAAAGATATCCATTTCTTCATCCCAAGTATGGCAGCAGAACTGACCTACAGGAGGCGTCCAGTCAGTAAAGTCTTCCTTGTCCTCAGTCTCCTCCACCTCTCTCTCCATGAGGGCTTTCTTGGTCGTCTTCACCCTCTTGGCTCTCTCATCAGGAAGATCTGTCTTGCTCTCATCGGGAGATCTCCATTCCGTTTCCATGGGTGCCGCTGTTTGCGTCAACACCTTCCCCTCACTGTTTGCTTCCTGGTGGTTTTGTTTCCTGATCTCTGTCGAGAGAGAGGGCCCAAGTTTTGGGGCGGAGGGCGACGGGAAATCCAATCTGCCCCCAGAAGAACTTGGCTGAAAAGACAAGAAGAAAACATTTGTTAACCCTAATCCCCTAGAGTGATTTACTAGGAACCTTCTTCACTCTTGCGAATTCCAACACCATGGTAAACTCTACACTCAAACTGTTGGACTCTGATTACGGTGGATTGCCAAACCCCAAGTAAAGTATAGTCAGTTTACTAGTGCAGTACTCACTCTAACAGATTCCAACAAACAGATCGTTAAGGTCAATAAACACCTATCTATACTTACATTGGTGAAGGATGAAACTCAATATATGTGATATTGCGTTTCATCTTGTCTTGTTTGATTGTATCCCCTGCTATATCAGATTTGAACTGGCCACCATACCACGGCAAGCTTGATGGTTGAGGGTTTAAGACATCTGCACTAGTCAACAAGAGGTCATGATTTGAGTCCTACTTTAGCAAGCTGGGATATCGCTTCTCACAAGCTTCGAGTCAGCACTGAGTATATGGTGCTTATAATCATGAGATTATTTTATTGGTGAAAGGCAAAACCAAATAAAAAACCTGAGAACGTCCATTTTTGCCATTTTCCATCATGCATGTCATTCCAGTCAAACTAGCATCATCATCCGAAAGCAAATTATATGCATGTGCATTTGAGACTACCACTTTGTTAAAACAAATAAGGACTGTGCATCGGAACTGGATACTCGAGTATCCGACCACTGACGTCAAGAACCGATTCCAGGTTATGGAATCGGGTACCTGTAACAACTTCACATATTACTGAGTAACTGTGCAGAAAATTAAAAAGAAAGGTTCTGAATGTCATTTGTGGAGATTTTCAAAATAAAAACCTGGCTACACGGAAAAACACAACAGATTCATGATTCTGAGGTTTGCGAAAATGCAATTTACACCGAAAGCTACATATTGGGCTCGATGTACAAACTTGTATCTTGCTGTATTAATGCACCGCTGTAGTAATATTATTGTGTGGACCTTTATGAACAATCTGTACAGCCACTTTTGAGATTCAAATTTTGGGTTGGGTTTCTTAAAGGGAATATACATTATTTGCTTTTGCTGTAATTTTCAGAAATGGATGGAATTGGGGGGTTGGAAATATAAAGCAAATATAGTTACACTGACTTTTTTGAGGTTTTGGGTTCGAAAATGCTATAAAAACCAAGAAAAACGATCGTTTTCCTGTAGTCTGGTTCCCTGACTCCATATAAGAAGAAACAGAGCAGTTTACATACATTGGGGAATTGTAAGGTCAGGGAACCAGTCTAGCTGGCTCGTACCCGTTCATAGGTTTGTAATCGATTGCAAACAAGTGCGATGGTCAATTGGGGCCAGTATTTGAGAAAAAAGCCAGTTGTTTCCAACGCTGATCGGCCGATCAGCGTTGGAAATTGATACAAAAATACCACTTTTCTTGAAAATGACAGTATACCAGGTGCCATGATTTTACAGGATGCTTTACACTGTCATTCACTAACAGTCCAGCAAGGTATTTCAAAATGATTTGGTAGTTTAATTTTTGATGTTTGCAAATGTTGTATTTTCCCTTTAAACGGATGCCTGGGTACCCGTGTTTTTTGGGTTTTTTTTCAATCGGGTACACGGTTCCCGTACTACCCATAAATACACACCACTAAAACAAACAGCTAATGCTGCCTTCCCATACACAACTTTTCAACTTGTTTTAAGCCTTTTCTAAACATAGGCCAACAGGCACAAAACGGACTGAACATGCTTTTATGGAAAAAGAGGCTCGAAAGGGGAAAGATACAAAACCAATTCAAACAATAAAAAGTACATTAAGATTGTGATATAAAGTGAAAAACAGACTGAAATATCTTTTAACAGCAATAGCCTACCTTGTGTTCAGCGTCAGTAGTACTTGTAGCCTCCGTTCCAGGAGATGATGCCATGGGTCTATCAGGCAATGCAACTCCCATGTGCTTTGATGAGCTGGTAGTGGCTGAAGGGGAGACTACTTCTTCAGGTTCATCTTCGTCTTCTTCATCCTCCACTTCTCTATCTGTTTCCCGCTGGCTGGTCGAAGACAGAGGCGTGGCTATGCGAGACGGGACCTGTCAATCAAATACATCACAGAGTAACATCTGTTTCTGACTGGCATTCCAGAATCTTGGCACCCCAAATTATTCCAAAGTTTTGAATTTGACAAATTAGATCACGACTTTTGGTCAGGGTGACTACGAAAACTCGATAAAGCTCACAAGAACTGTGAGCTCCAAGAGATTAGTTTATGATTATACAGCGAGTATAAAAAAAGGTATCACAAAGTAATAGATCAGTTTGTTAAAATTACAAACTTTAAACACTCAGTGTCGTTGCATCTGAAAGGGCAATTTATCAGATTTCTATTGATACCTTAGAGCAAGTTCAGGCACAAGCTATGGTTAACCATAGTTCGACTAACTTTGCTTGAACGAAGGATAGTTGGACGATCTCGTCAACTATTTGGAACCGAACCACAGGGAAGGGTTCCATCGCTGGTTACCAATAGCTGCCGACATCACAAAGCACAATAGGAAGCCAAGGCCAACAAGTTTCGTGACGACATTTTGACCATCGTTTGACTAGAGGCGTTCCCACACTGCTGTTAGTGCGCACGCATAAGTTACGTCACAAATCAACCACTAGTCGACTAATGGTCCTTGCCCGAACATGACAGTGCTCCATTAACCTATTATTTTCGGATCACTTTTTCATACACCCTGTTTAGTAAATATATCCAACAAGTTTCCAGCTCAATAAAATAATGAAAATGAAAGCAACTTACCACAGGTTTCAACTTTGGCTTTAAGCAGGCTCTGCCCTTAATGGAGCCAAACATAGGTAGCTTCTTGCTCAGAGCTGCAAAACTTGTCTGCGTTGACGGCCTGTCATTTATCAAAGGAACATGTTTAAAATTGCTGACTGATTTATAATTTAAACTGATATTAGTTATCCCACCAGCGTGAGTGGAACATGGAATAATGTAGTGCGTCTGTGTCCCATATGCCATGAGGCTGAAGGCCGAGTGGTTTATGGAACACAGACTCATTTTCAGAGTTCCAAGAGCGCGAGTGTGGGATAACGCATTTATCTTCAAGCAAACTTGACGCACAGTTAAGATTGAACGCTGTACATAAACGTTTAAACCTGCATGCAAGCAGGAATGGTGAGCGCATCTTAGAATAGCGCTATACGCAGTGTGCGATATGGACCGTGGTATATGGGATAATACCACACTGTGGTTGTCATGGATCGACCAATCAGGATTGAGGATTCAAGTTTGCTTGGAGATAAATGGTATTATTAGTAATTCTCAACAAAAAGTCTTTGCCTAAATATGAATTGACTGGCAATGGTGCCTTCTAGAGACAAGAAGCTATAGACAATTATCATGTTGCGGCCATCTTGATTTTTTTCCCATTCAAATCAATGTAACCAAAGCAAGGCTGGAGGGAAAAATAGTCTGGTTCCTTGTTGCACAAAACCATTATCATTCAGTACTGTTATTGGATACAGGGAACATGACTAAAATGGTGGAAACATGATATAGGTCTATTGTGATGACTCTTGACTTTAAGAAAGCAGTTTTGATTATTACAAATTATGGCAACTTATTCCGTAGTCATGAGTTAAACTCTACCCCGATTACAAAAAAAAATGTCAATTCAAATCTAGTCCCAACCATCGGGTGTTTCTCAGAATTGATCAAATTATGGTAAACCACAGTTCTTGATTAATATTGCTCCCGGCGCCTCCCGGTTGTTATGTCAAACAAGCAAGTTTTGATATTTCTGTTGTTGTGGGTGAGGTAGTCTTGTCTCAAGGCAGAATTTTAGATTCTGTCCATATTTGACGCAGCTATAGTCCCTCCCTTACAAAATGCAGCCAAGCTGTCGCGGTGGTAGAGGGCGCAATCAACGTGATATCAAATCCAGTCTTGGGAATTTCGGCACCCGGACCCAAGAGATCCTGGGCATATTCCTGTGGTCCACCTAGAATTTCTCTGGTCTGGGTGCCGAAATTCTCCAGACTGGATTGGATTCATCTTGTTGCTAGCGCCCTCTACCTCCAAGGAAACTTGGCTACACTTGCCATGGGCCGGCAGCATCAGGGGGGCTTAATCTAAATCCAGACTCGAGCAAAGACTACAGGTGGGGTGTGGGGGTGGGGGGGGGGGGGGAGAGGGGAGGACTGGAAGAGGAAAATGCTGATTACTTTTGCAGTGCTGGCATGCTGGCAGGCTTGGCGATCTCCACCAGCCGCGTGAGTCTAGCTTGCTCCTTCCGGAGTTCGATCAGGCGCAGCTTGAGCCTAGCCCGCCAGGTCTTGTCCAGTGTCTTGCCACTCTTGATGCTCTCCATGAAGGCGTCGAGAGAATCATCTTCAACCACTGAGGCCGCACTGCCTGGCAAAATAACAACAGGTAGCGCTTGTGAACTTTTTCTCACAAGTTCTCAAATAATTGTGAGTATACTGTACATATTTATAAATACCTCGGACAATTTACCGACTCCTATTGGTCGAGAGCTTGTCACATGGGTGGTTTTAAATGGTTGATAACATACCACGTGCTTTTAAACACTTTTTCCCCCAGTGTCACGTGAATCTGGACTCCTATAAAATCTGGTCCCTTTTAACCTTTCATTTCCTTGAACGTTCACAATCTTCACTTAGGCATGCGCAATACTATCAATGAGTCCGCATTTTATAGAGTCCTAAATTCACACTACATACCGCCGCGTTTTGTGCTGTATAGAGCAGTAAGCGCCACGCGTTCGCCAGGACATTTTTAGTACTACTGGCACGAGACACATACCATAAACATAGCTATAGGGGTGTTTCACAAAACATGAAGTAAAATTGATGAAGAAAATTGTTGGAAATTTATAATTTTTGAATTGTTCTGACTTTTTGAGCAAAACATATTTTTGGGAATGGGAACAAAATATGTACTTGGCCGGTATTATACAAGTACGTTTAAAATCGGCCAAGCACATATTTATTCCCTTATTATTACGGTGCCTAGTGCAAAACTCGTTTTTAACTAAAAATCAGATCAAGGTTGTTTTGCTAGTTGAGAGTATAGTTAGAACAGTGCAAATCATGTCAAATCATGTCAAATCATGTCAAATCATGTCAAATCATGTCAAATCATGTCAAATCATGTCAAATCATGTCAAATCATGACAAAATCCACTCACTTTTACTGACAGCTGTCATTTCCTTTTCAATCTTCTCCATTTCAGTCTCCACTTCATAAAGCTGAGATTTCTGTCAAAAAATAAATTGTTTCTCACTTTTTGCTTTTACTTGTTATGACAAAAATAAAATGCAAGGTTCAAAGCCACAGCAATTACTCAGATAGTAAAAAAAAACCTGATCACTGAGTCAGTTATTCCTTACATTTTCCAAGTTGACTTTGTGAAAGTGACGGTTCCTTTCAGATGGCACACGAGCAAGCTCAGAAAATATATGCTCAAGCACAAACCCTGAAAACCCCACATATAACACTTTCAAAAGGGAATGGGATGACTCCAAGAGGAAAGACCTCATTCTAAATGTCAAGACCAATGCTTTGAAAAGGTGACTGAGTGATAACATCAAATATCAGGAATAAGTGCCTGGCAAGTTTATTTGCAATGGGCTAGCTGTATTGGGTATTGGTCTTGGCTGTAATTCTCAGAGGTGTAAGCCAATCACAAGTCATTCACAAGTCAATCACAAGTCAATCACAAGTCAATCACAAGTCAACCACAAGTCAACCACAAGTCAATCACAAGTCAATCACAAGTCAATCACAAGTCAATCACAAGTCAATCACAAGTCAACCACAAGTCAATCACAAGCCAATCACAAGTCAATCACAAGCCGATCACAAGTCAATCACAAGTCAACCACAAGTCAACCACAAGTCAATCACAAGTCAATCGCAAGTCAATCACAAGTCAATCGTAAGTCAATCAAAAGTCAATCGCAAGCCAATCACAAAGCAATCCCAAGTCAATCCCAAGTCAATCACAAGTCAATCACAATTCAAATCACAATTTAACTCAACCACAAGTCAACCACAAGTCAACCACAAGCCAATCCCGTGTCAATCGCAAGTCAGTCACAAGTCTATGACATGTCAATCGCAAGTCAATCGCAAGTCAATCGCAAGTCAATCGCAAATCAACCCCAATTAAGTCAATCACAATTCAATGGCAAGTCGACCACAATTTAATCAATCGCAAGTTAATCACAAGTCAAGTCACAGTCACAGGGGATGAACAATGACGTGGGAGTGTCTTTTTCACAGTTCATTTGAGAAGTTTTATTACTTGACTTGAGGCTGAATGACTTGTATTGACATGAGTTGTACTTGTGATGGACTTCTGATTGACTTGTGATTGACCTCTGACACACTTTATGATGGCTTGATTCCAACTCAAGCAATTCTCGTCATCACAGACGACCGATGACTCTTACCAGTGAATCGTAAGTCTGCGCTTTCTCCTTGACGACGCAAGCTTTCTTCATCCGCATCATTCTCTTCTTCTCAATCTCCCCGGTCCGATCCAGGAAGGTATCCTCATCGCTGTCATAGTAATCATCCTCCTTCCAGTTCTTAGCTTTCCTCTTATGACTTTCTAGAAGGTTAACAATCAATTTGTGCAGTCAGAAAATAAGGAATAAATATATAATAATAATTTGGGAGGCTAATCATCCTTACTCGCAGCTGGTATGCTGAATTGCGAAGGACGCGGCTACAACGTGGTCGGGCCGCTGGCACGTGAAGGTGCCTATGGCTGCCGGCCACATCGACCCATATATGACCACGGAGCACAGCCTGAGATCAAAAGTGTGTGATTTTTCCGGAGGAAGGAAAACCGGTGGCCCAGGAGAGAACCAACGCACAACTCTACTCACATGCGATCCGCGGACAGGATTCGAACCGTGGTCACCTTGGTGAGAGGCGAGCGCTTTATGCACAAGCCACCCATGCCACCCAAAATGGGCATCAGATCCGTGGTAAAGTCAAGCACAAGTCAAAACAAAAGTCAGGTCAAGTAACACAGCTCATTTGAACAATTTGTCAGTTAACTTGAGACTGCACAAATGACAAATGACTTGAGATTGACTTGTGATGACTTGATTATTACTAACTATGAGTGTTTTGTGAGTAGGGTTTTGTAACTAACATCCATCTTGGTCAGATTTCCCGATGGAATTAAAAAAAAACTACAGTAAAGTTGGGCTCTATATCTTATGCGCCAGTCTAATATGGCCCCTGGCTAAGGTCTGACACAAACACACTAATCATCACAGAGAAAGAGTTAATAGTTACGATACAATAGGAACAATAAGGTAGCTTCTTACCGTGCGTGGCTTGTCGTAGCACACCGTGTGCATCCAGGATCCGACATGCTTCCAACGCACAGGCCACTACCGCTTCCTTCTTCTTGCCTTGGACGGCTGCCTCGGCATAGATAGGCCTCCCACTGGCATCATCTATGGGCAACCTGATGTGTATACAAATACAGCACGGATTGAGGGTTATTTAACAATTCAGGCAATTCACAATGCAGAGCGCCACCAAGAGTTTTTTTAATGGAGAGTCCATTTTTCTAGTTTACGGTCGACAAAACATGGCCCATTTGAATGAGTGTCAGTAGACAACTTGAGCTAATTTGTTATAGATTGGGGCATAGCGTTCTGCCGCCTCACAAAAAACACCACATTGATAAAAAGAAAACATAAGGGCAAACAGATACTCCAAGCATTCCTTTACGAAACTACTGACTGGAAAAACGAACAATTTCAAATGTCCCGCGCTGTGAATTTGACCATCTCCCACAATGCGCTGGGAAAAATAACTCTTCGTGGCAAACTCTTGGTGGTGTACTGCATTGTGAATTGCCCAAATTGTTGACTGCTATGGCGTTTTTAACACCTGAGGGGCGCATAGCACCCGAGGCGAAACTGAGGGTGCTGGCCTTGCATGCGCACACAGCACAGAGGTGATTCATATGCAACGCAGTGTATAGGTAATTTACATGCAACGTAGTGTATATGAACTAAACAGTTATTTTTTTTTACAGAATGTCCATTCTAGACCAATGAAATTACAGTATCCAAAACACGATAATAACAAAGTGAAGTTTGTTTCAAATTTTTCTTCATCTAATTTGTGGTTTGGAAGTTTACCAAAAATGTGCTAACATCAAAATCAGCAAACATGCTGTGGTCACACTTATCTTATATTTTTCTTACAAATGCAGTCATTAATTTGTATTTCACATAAATAAATAAATTGCGATAGGACCATGTACATAATTCTCTTGTGACATTTGAATAGTTTTGGTAATAGATTTGTGAGGACTTGTGATGAATCAACTAGGACTATGGCTGTAGGAGTGGTTACCGTTTCTGTCAAAATCTCACGTCTGTACAGGGTGAGTAAAACAAAAACGAAACCTAAATGTCGGGACCATTGTTTTAGTGAAGTTCTGCATGTAGTACTTTCAAAATCTAGGATATGAAAGCCAAATTCATAAGCTTTCTTTTAGTACAAGAATCATTCCAATCACTCATGTAATTTTCAAGTTACGAAATTTTAAACACAAGCACCGTTTTAAAGTTCCGTCCACCGATCACAAAAAGATAAGTGTTCTTTCAGCAAAATGAAAACAAATCACAAAGGGATGTGTGTGAATTGTTTTCATTTTGCTGAAAGAACGCACACCTTTTTTGTGATCCGTGGACAGAACTGTAAAATGGTGGTTGTGTTTAAAATTCCGTAACTTGAAAAGTACATGAGTGATTGGAATGATTCTTGTACTAAAAGAAAGCTTATGAATGGGGCTTTCATATCCTAGATTTCGAAAGTGCTACATGCAGAACTTCACTAAAACAATAGTCTAGACATTTGGGTTTTGGTTTTTTTTACTCACCTTGTAGTCTTGGTTACTTACTCTACTTTGCAGACAAACTGTTTACTGAAACCACTTTCCTTTTCTTCCACATTGTATTCCAGATCATATCCTAAAAAAAAAATTAAGAAAATGAGACCTAAATTTTTTTATTATTTTTCATTCCGTTGCTTGTGACTGGCTTTATGAAAGGACTTGTGAAAGGACTTGTGATGGACTCGAATATAACACTTTGGTCTTGAGAAGTCATACGCAACTCATTGTAGCAGTTCTTTCTTGGCCTTCCACTGCTGTGACCCGGGTTCGAATGCTGCCTTCGAATCCCGCCTGGGCCAATGCGTGGATTGGGTTTTCAGGCCCTACCTGATTCCATGAGTTTTCCCTAGAAAACCCTTGCCAGAGTTCAGCTCTACATGGCTTTGCAAATTTTGCAGAACATACACTTGTTCTGACATTACACAATTTGCGTTCGCATTCACTTTCATGCCAAGTATGGACAAGGCTAAATGTTGCTATTTTTTCATTGTTCCCTCGGTAAGAAAACAGAAATAGCTTTCACTGCTCTGTAGTTGTTTTTATTGGCTGTTAGCAAGACTAATGAAAAAAATAAACTGAAATGATGGCTTGACTCAAGTCCAACCTGAGTCACAAGTTTGGTGACTCAACTAATTGAGTTGTTAGCGGTATTACCCTAACTCCCTAGCATCTTTTACTAGGAACTGGACGAATTCCATCAAAATCCATCGATCACTGTGCGTCTAATACAAAACTGTACACGACATAATGGAATCTACCACTGATGCACTGGTCAACATTCATGGACTTGCTACATATGTCTTTTATCACAACAGCAGTACAGGAAGCTAGACAAAATCAATCGGATACCCCTAGCACTGTTACGGGCCTTTAAGTCCAAGTTCATCAAACTCCATCAATATTTAGTCACGCCAAGCCTTGTGGACCAAGTCCCCCCAAATCCACCAAAATGGGGAGATGGATTTTGATGGAGTTGGGGTGGTTATTGTTAATGCAATTATCATTCTCATACCATGATCTCTGAATCCTTCTCAAGTCACAAAATTCATCGACTTCTAATATCACCGACTGACCTTCTCTCTCAAAGTAACCCCTGAGAGTCTTCTTAGGGTCTTTGATGTAGCTGGCTTCTTTCTCATCTTGAGTCATGATGGCAAATGGGTTGTCACCTGCTGTGTCTGCATCATCTGCATCCTCATAATCTAAAGAAATCAAAGATCAGACTGAAATTACACAGATACAGAATCTTTGTAGAGATATGCAAAATCCTTGTGCCTAACAACAGGCTGCATCTTTCTCCTCTTCCAATCTCATCCCTGCCTCCTCATCATAAACCAACCTATTCCCCACCTATTGCCTGCATCTTTCTCCTCTTTCCATCTCACCCCTGCCTCCTCTTCCTAAACCAACCTATTCCCCAGCTGATGCCTGCATCTTTCTCCTCTTCCCATCTCATCCCTGCCTCCGCAACCTAAACCCACCTATTCCCCAGCTGATGCCTGCATCTTTCTCCTTTTGCCATCTCATCCCTGCCTCCTCTCCCTAAACCCACCCATTCCCCAGCTCATGCCTACATCTTTGTCCTCTTCCCATCTCATCCCTGCCTCCGCAACCTAAACCCACCTATTCCCCAGCTGATGCCTGCATCTTTCTCCTCTTCCCATCTCATCCCTGCCTCCGCAACCTAAACCCACCTGTTCCCCAGCTGATGCCTGCATCTTTCTCCTCTTCCCATCTCATCCCTGCCTCCTCTCCCTAAACCCACCCATTCCCCAGCTCATGCCTACATCTTTGTCCTCTTCCCATCTCATCCCTGCCTCCGCAACCTAAACCCACCTATTCCCCAGCTCATGCCTGCATCTTCCTCATCCTAAACCCACCTATTCTCCAGCTGATGCCTGCTCCTTTTTTTCCTCTTCCCATCTCATCCCTGCCTTCTCATCCTCAACCCACCCATCCTCCAGCTGATTCCTGCATCTTTCTCCTCTTCCCCTCTAATCCCTGCCTCCTATTCCTAAATCCACCTATTCCCCAGCAGATGCCTGCAAATTTCTCCTTTTCCCATCTAATCCCTGCCTCCTCATCCTAAACCCACCCATCCCCAGCTCACGACTGCGTCTTTCTCTTCTTTCCATCTCATTCCTGCCTCCTCTTCCTAACCCCACCCATTCCCCAGCTGATGCCTGCGTCTTTTTCGTCTTTTTGTCTAATCCCTGCCTCCTATTCCTAAACCCACCCATTCCCCAGCTGATGCCTGTACAGTATCTTTCTCCTCTTCCCATCTCATCCCCGCCTCCTCTCCCTAAACCCAACCATTCCCAGCTGATGCCTGTATCTTTCTCCTCTTCCCATCTCATCCCCGCCTCCTCTCCCTAAACCCGACCATTCCCAGCTGATGCCTGTATCTTTCTCCTCTTCCCATTTCATCCCTGCCTCCTCTCCATAAACCCACCCATTCCCTAGCTGATGCCTGCATCTTTCTCCTCTTCCCATCTCATCCCTGCCTCCTCTTCCTAAACCCACCTATTCCCCAGCTCATGCCTGCATCGTTCTCCTTTTCATTTCTCATCCCTGCCTCCTCTTCCTTAACGTACCCATTCCCCAGCTGATGCCTGCATCTTTCTCTTCTTCTTGTCTAATCTCTGCCTCCTCTTTTTCCTGCTTCCTGCTCTTCTGTTCTTCCAGCTCAGCCAGCTGCTGTTGTCGTAGCTCCTTCAATTCCTTTACACTCAGCTCCGACTCTGCCTCCTGGTCTTCCGATGGTCCCTAACACAATAACAGTTGAAAGGTAGTTTTGTATCTCTTTTGACTTTTTGTTTTTGATATTCAATAACTAGGTCCCTCATGATGCAATAAATACCACAGGAACCTACCTGCAGAATATACATCCGGGAGCTCCCGCCCAACTTGAACATGTGCCCCACCCTGATCCTGTAGAAAACTCGTCCCTCCATCTGCTGCTTGTTGAACCAGGAGCTGTGCGTGCTGCCGAGATCATAGAGATAGAAGCCAGGATCGTGCTCACTGTCGCCCGTCAGTCGATACTGCAGCACAAGATGATAGCGTGACAGAGAAGGGTGCTCAAGAGGAATATCACAGGTCTCCAACCTCCCAAAGACATGGTAGCTTTTATCGTTCAGGGGTATCTTAGAAATGATGGCCCCGCCCTTCAAGACATCAAGAAAATACTCTTTCTGTGGGACTCCGCTCCAGGATGGTTCTTTGTAAGGCAAGGGCGGTGCTTTTGCAAGTTTTTCGGCAGGCGACTTCTCCCGGACTTTCTTCTCCGTAGTGACTGGCGCTCGTGCTTGAACACCACATGGACTTGAATGTTCTTCCTTGGGGGGTGGTCCTGAAATGTTTGGGTTCTTGCTAGGTTTTGAGTTAGTGGCTGATTGAGGCTTTGGGAATGCGAACCGGTCCTCGTCAGACTGTGATGTTGGAACTGCATTATCCGGAGGTTCATCATTCTTAGGTCTTTGCTCCAAAGCTTTTGAAGCTGCTGATGAATGCAATTTTTGAGCACCGGTTTTGGATGGAAGTGGAAGTCCAGGCAGTTTAAATCCTACTGCATCTTGCTTATCTGCTGAGAAAGAAACAGATCCACTTGTTTCTTCAGTGTTTTTTGTGACGTCTCTGCCTTCATCCATGTCATCAGAAATGACCCGTGATGGAACCACTGCTTCACATGGAGCTATGCATGGAGAAAAAAAATTAATAAGTTGAAAAAATTAATAGGTAATTGACCGCGTATTGTATACACGCAGTTTGTTTGTGCACAAATCTAACTGCGGGCATCATCATGACCACACAGTTGTTGGTTATGCCTTTTTTTTTCACTGCAATTGTAGGCTGAATCTTCATCATGGATCGTTTTTTACTTCAAGGACCTGTGTAGTGGTTATGCCAGGCAAGGTTTGGGTGAGTTCCAGTTGAAATTAGTGTCTTACAGGGACAAAACTGCACATTTTCGATAATTTGTTGGGACCTGCCAATGCTGCTGGTAGCCTGGTTCAAGTGAAAACCTTCCTCCAGCCCTAAATGACAACCCAATGATAAAATTTAGGACTGGGTAACTCCAGCTAACTACATGTACTATCGTAGTTCTTTTTATAGAAATTTTTCTTGAATCTCCATAAACTTTGTATCCTCGATCCTCCTATTTCTGCGCAGATAAGGCTTTGCAACCAAGTAGCTTAAAAAAAGCAAAGCAACCACTCTTTTCCTCAACAAAACTTATATTGTTGGCTTACGTTCATCCACCGTGCCGTTTAACAAAGCGAAATCTCTTTATTTGTGGCAGCAAGCGGGGAATTCCAAAGCGTGCAGTTTTGGCGTTGTAGAAAAGAATCCTGCCGAATTCTGCGCAGGGGACGCTTCATGAAAAATCTGTGCAGTCCGGGCCATGTAACTCAATATAAAAATTTTTTTTTTAATAACTTAGACTTGTTGGCTTTAGGAAAATATATTTCCTGAGCTTTTAAAACAAATTTTCGGTAATCCTTTCTTTTAGGACCCTGTTCCTATATAGGAAGGGAAAGACTCACCAAAACAGCTAACTAAATGACACTCAAAAGTGACATTCTGATATTTCTTGACACATTTGAACAGTTGGCAATGACACCTTTTTGAATATCAGCAGGTTTATGTTTGTGGAAAGAGGGCAGGGCTTTGTTTTTAGAGGGAAATTGAGGGGTAAAAGACGACGCTGACAACCAGAAAACAGACTCAAAAACCAAGATGGCAAACGAGAAAGCTCGATGCAATGAAAGCTCGATGCTGATTGGCTGATAAAAAATAAACATCTTAATTATTTTTTGAGCAGCCAATCAGCATCGGGCTTTCATTATGTACATGTAGGGCTTTCACGCGTGTGATAACTACAACATGCACTTCTGACTGTGAAAAAAGGTAGGAAAGTCACATTTTCTTTGAAAGTGCTTTCAAAATTACAACTAACATGAGTTTATATGAAGGAAAATGACTGCTTTAGCCTGCAAAAGTCACTTTGGTACTGGACAGTCATCTGCAAAAGTCAGTTTTGAACGGAACTCGTAAAAATTAGAGGTGTCCTAAAAGTAAGGATTACCAAATTTTCTTTCTTTTTCCTTTCTTTTTTTCAATGCCAATACACTTTTCGTAATTTCAAGATTATATTCAATATCCTATTTTCGAGATTTATACAAGGGCTTAAATTTACTTATAAATACATTTATACATATTGACCTATTAAATATAGATCCCAATGATATTGTTATTCTGATCATCCCAATCAACGGACACTGTTTTCGATGTCGGATTTTACAACTTATGACCACAAAAATTCCCAAAAGTGTAAGAATTGTGTCTTATTAGTTGGACCGTAGGTGTTACACCCTTAAAGAAACTGCAAATTCTTATCTATGACACCTTAACTATAATACTGACGATATTGGGAGACCAAGAAAGGTCACCTTTCGGTCACATTTTTGACTTCTGCAGGCCCGGAAGCATCTGCCTGCATTTGTACTTAGTAATTAGCTGTAAAAAGCAGATTAGAGACACTCATCCACTTGCTTGCGATCAGACCACACCTACAATTTAGAAGTGCTCTGATTATAGCTCAACTACATCTAGTTGGGGACAATTTCCCCTTCGTTTGGTGGTGGCACGACCGTTGTTCAGCCTAGGCGGTGAGTACACACCTAATTTTTATATCTTTCTTTTCAATTTTTATTGTAAATTTTGTAGAAGCCTTGTGTAAAGATACTATGGATAGATTTTCACATAATACAAAGGGATTGATTCTCTTCAATTGTAATTATGCTTGAAAGAGAAGTGTTTTCGATATTAAAGGGAATACATGCTATAAAATATCACCTTTTCCCACCAGCTTTAGGCATAATTGGCAATAATTGTAAGGTGAATTAGCAAGAAATGTAAAGCAATAACTAAAGTAGAACGTGCTTCTTCAAGTTTCTCTTATTACCTGATGCTAAAGTAAACTAAAGCACTGTTTCAGAGACCATGGGCAGTATTATGCACCATGAGGCTCCGCCAAATATTAGTTTAAATGTCAGAATTATCTTATTAGTTTTGTAACTGATTGGATTTTGTTAAGCAAGGTAAAATTAAATGGATGACAACCAGTTTCCACGATGGCAAGTTTTACAAATATATGTACACATTCCAAATAGCTTCAGTTAAATAATTAAATTCCTGGATGTTGAAGTTTTTCCAATTTTATCAGCAAAAGCTAAGATTAAACATGCAACAGTCGTTTTATATACCCGACATGAAACAGTCGTTGTGTACAACCAGTGTGCTTTACCCGCAAACGTTTTCACCAGATTGATACGATAAATGAATCCCAAATTACCTTTTTTCGATTCAGCACATGGACTTGAGATTTGCACAATGGAAACAGGGATGATAATGAGAGAATATGGCATAGTAATTATGTAAAATATCTAGCAAATTTATCCTTAATAGTTAGGGTTTGGGACACAATTTAATCTAACTACCTACACGTTTGGTGGCGGACCCGAAAAGGACCGTTTTGCACAGCGCATTATAAGATGGCAAATCACATGTGTTATAAATAGACATGAGGAAATCACGGTTTTGCATAAACACTACGGTGTGTCTTAAAGGACACGGACTCTGACAGTAATAATTATTCACTGGCCTATTATTAATGGATGGATTTGGGATTTTATTAATGCATTTATTGCATATCCTTGGAACTTTGATAAGAACATATATTGAACCTCTTTCAGGATTGTATGGTTCAATTGTTACATATAATTTAACGTATTTACATTGCGGAGCTAAGCTGTAAATGCTGAATTGAATTGCTATGTACATGTACTTTTAAATGATAACAAACTAATGAGATGTCCATTTTGTTTTCTTTAATTCCACAGACTTACAACTGTATACCCATTTGACTGTCGTTTTTTTTTGTATATATATATTCGAGAGAGCCACAACTGTATATTTTGCATCTTCATCCGAATAAAGTATCATCAATTAATCAAATCTAGTCATCTCTCCGTGTCCACTCACTTCAAATCAATATTTATTAACTATAAGTAGCCTTCGGCCACATGAGGAGTTCCCTGTCAATCAAATTCAATAACTCTTCCCTTGGCTACAGTACGAAAGCGCGCACGCACGCTAGCGCCCTCATTTGTTTAGTTTTGGTTGGAACCATGACGTCTCTCCAGCCAACTGATGTCACGAAAACGCTCAACCAATGACCAAAGCCGAAACGTGTTTCTGGTAACTGGCGCGAAAACACGCTCGGTCATTGGATTAGCGACCACGCCTTCAAGTAAGTGCGCGTGCGTATGAGGGTGGTTACTAAGCAAATCGCGCGTGCGCACTGCATATTCTTGCTGCATAGTCTGGCCCCCGGACCAGATGTGATATGAGCGTCGAGAATAATTGTCTGGTCTAGGGAATCAGACTACACGCTGCACAGACGTACATCATACTAGAATAGACTCTGCTGATGAAAAGAGTCTACAAACACGAACAAGTTTAAAGTTGCTTTCGAGTTTATTTTCCAGATTAAAATTTAGATAGTGGATATTTTTCCAGAGGTAATGACGGCAAACTAACGATTACTAAAGGTTTGCCGTCGGCAATCCATATCAACAGAGGGCGCTGTACTCTTTAAAATAGGGCTGAATTATAAGATGTATTAAATTCCCACCAAAAGTTGTGTAGCACGTTTGGTGTAATGGTTAAGCAAAGGCTCTAGTAAGCGGGATGACTCGCGTTCGATTCCGACCGCACCACATTTTAAAGTTTTTTTTCTCATCCCCAAATAAATAAGAATATTCTTCTTTTATTATTTTAACATGTCTCAAACATTTTTTGCAGAGTATTACATTTTCTTTTTCAGATTTGAGGCTCTGGAAGATTTTTTTAAAAGGGAAATAAAGTCCGAAATTATAAAATGGTCTGAATCCCATCTTGTGAATACGAGGTAACAACGATAATTTTGGCATGGAGCCAGACTAAAACTTGTCACCGGAAAATGTTTTAAGTACAAAAAAACAGTAACTGCGCATGTTCAGTGCATATCCGGCAAACTAACGTTTACTAAAGGTTTGCCGTCTCCGGCAAAATATACACTGCCTAAAATTTAAGTTCGGTCAGCATCGCATATGGAATTTCTGAACCCAGCGGCCCAATACTCAATAGATAAGGACACATAGAATACTACGACGTAAAAATTGGCTTCTCCAACAAGGTAAAAATATTTAAAATATTGGTCAACAATTTTTTTCGCCCGGTTTTGAGCACTTTATACCCTGGTATCCCTCCGTAACGTAGGGAGGAAAGGGAGTCCACCTGGGCTGGGTTGACGGGGATTTTGTTGATTTTGATTTTATAACTTTTGCATAGCCTATTTCACGGCTGACTCTTTCTCCATTTCTGAATTCTGTGGTCAAATAAATGACATCTACTATAAGTCTTTCAGTACATGGCCAATTCACAACTGTTACCTGCATTTTCGATGTCGTCTGCTGAAGATGTTTTCATTTTTTCTGTATCTTCCATGGTGGCTGCCATTTTGGTTTTTCCTAAAAGAATAATAGCGCCCTCATATTTTTGTTTTGCCCTCCTTGGAAATAATATAGCGCCCTCATTTTTGTTCTGCCCTCCTTGAAAATAATACAGCGCCCTCATTTTTGTTCTGCCCTCTTTGAAAATAATATAGCGCCCTCATATTTTTGTTTTGTCATCCATGAAAATAATATAGGGTAGCAGACCAGTAAATAAACTTCCATAGACCCCAATGGTAAATGCTCCCACTTCAAAAAATCGGGAAAAATACTCACAACTCTCCAAAGTGTTCGAGACGCACATCAAATTAAAGCTTATTTCATCATCTTTCATTTTCTTTTCAAATTTCGGGGGGTCAACTGATGACTTTTAGGGGAAATTTCCATCTGAAGATGATCACCCCTGAAAATAGTCCTGAAGCCCATCGCCATTTTGAAAAACGATGCCTACACTCCATTGCAAAATAGAGCGCTTTTAGGGTCCAAATTACATCAAAATTACACAGAACTGCAAGCTCCCAGTCCTGTGCACGGCTTCCACCCATATTTTTTACAAACCCTCAAGTTCATGGCCCAAAGCATGCCCAAATACCGAAGATTTTGAGGGCATGCAAATCGTGATTTGGCCGGCGCAGGCAATTTCGGACCGATTTACTGGTCTGCACCCATAGCGCCCTTATATTTTTGTTTTACCTAGTCTGGTTCCCAGACCAAAAGATTCTGACTATTCCTGATGAATCCTCCAATTGTTGGGTCCTACTAAAGCGCGTCAACAAGCGTCAACAAGCGTCAACAAGCGTCAACAAGTTTTAGTAGTCGTTAAGTGCGCGTCAACAAATTTTGTATAGGCCTTTGAACAATAAAAACAGCTTTATATGGTAGAAAAAGCAATAATAAACGTCTTCTGCATATCAATTAAAGTTAAAATTACTTAAAAAGTGGTTTTCCAGCGCGAAAACTACGACGGGTTTTTCGGTTTAGTATTGGCCGCCATCTTGTTTGAGATCTACATACTACGCATGCGTGGAGTGTACCATTTATGCATAGGGGTTTCTTTATACGTTACGCTTAGGAATTAGGAAAACTATTTTTTTTTCAATTATAAATTATGCAAAACTTGTTCACGGTACTTGGCTAATTATTTGAAAAATATGCCGACTGACACTGTTCACAATGTCTGCCAAAAAATCCCAATGCAAAAACCAAACGAGGTTTCGCTAAGTGTAACGTATAAAGAAACCCCTATGCGTGAATGGTACACTCCACGCATGCGTAGTATGTAGATCTCAAACAAGATGGCGGCCAATACTAAACCGAAAAACCCGTCGTAGATTTCGCGCTGGAAAACCACTTTTTAAGTAATTTTAACTTTAATTGATATGCAGAAGATGTTTATTATTGCTTTTTCTACCATATAAAGCTGTTTTTATTGTTCAAAAGCCTACACAAAATTTGTTGACGCGCACTTAACGACTACTAAAACTTGTTGACGCTTGTTGACGCTTGTTGACGCACTTTAGTAGGACCGCAATTGTTAGGTCCGGTAGCCTCCGGTAATACATTGTATTCACGTCACATGAATACAATTCACGTCACGTGACTAAAACGGGAGGAATTCCTCCTCCGAAAATTTCCGAAGTTTGCCGAATTCGTTTCGTCGACAATCGGGTAGCGCCCGAGAATTTCCGAGTATAAGGCCAAAAAAAAATAACTCGGTCTCTGGTCAGCGCGCGCGTCGATTTTAATCATGCGCGTCAATCTTTTTTTTCCCAAAATGTTCCGCGGTAGCTCCAACAGCGCCCTCTATTGCCGCCCCTCCTCAATTTTTTTTTACCAAAGAGCACCAAGGAATGGGAAATTGCACCTAGGCAAATGATCGAGAGCACCAAGGCAAATTATGGAGGACACCAATGTACATGTGGACACCAAATAGCAAAATAGTACCCCACCTTGTCTGTACAATCCAAGCTTGAAGAAGAAAAAAAAAAAGCCGCGTCCACGCGTCAATTCCGGAACTTTGGTCTGACTAGAGACCGAAGATTTTTTGGGGGGCCTAGGCCTAATATAGGTTTAATTAACTGCTAATTGCTTATTATTTTTTTTTTAACTGAGTTGATAATTAATATTCATTCCTTTCATTTCATTTAGAAAACTTGAAATTAAACGACGATTTTGCGCATCAAATATACTCGGATCGTATGGGCGAACTTTTTGCTGCGTCATGTACAATTTTGAATTTGACGACCGTTACCGAGTTTTCCAAAACTCGGCCTTCATTTGGCTCCGCCTGCTAACAGTGCTATAATTTGGGTGCCTAATTTTGAAGAATCCAGATCAACATTTGTCGGCCTCTTACAGCAACATCAGACTGTATTACCATAACTGAATGATAATTACGAAGCAAGTGATTTATTCAAAAATTTGATCAGAACCTTAAAAGCTAAAGGTGATAAAGCGAAATCAAAACGAAACCGAGCTTTCAAAAAAGGGACATCAATGTCGTCATGTTTATTTTTTAGCCATGGAGGCTGCCTGACCTAATTTAGACGTGAGCGACGGGAATAATTGTCAGGTCTGGGAACCAGACTATGTTTTACCTCCTTGAAAATAATATAGCGCCCTCACATTTGAGGGCGCTATTCCAATTTGTAACAATCATCTATGGGTGCAGTGAACTAATTCAAGTGAGAATTTCTACGCGAGCTGATTAGCATAAAAAGTGACCCCACAGTTTCTTTTGAAAACGGAGACCGTTTGGCTTTCAAAAGGGTGGAATTGTGTAAATGTAGCCAAGGATCAACTCCCTAGTTTTTGAGCTTCCATCTGAGGGCAGGCTTGATAAAATTACGGTTGAAAAATGGGTCCTGAGAAAGTGGAAGGATGCTATTTGTAAAACGGCTACATGCAGGCTTGGGAACTATCACTTTTCGGAAGGTGATTTTGTTTTAGTGTGAATATTTAAAAATGTAATCGGCTAATCTACCCAAAATTGAAAAGAAATGAAAAGATGAAGTACAAGACAATTATTTAATTTTTGTTTGAGAAACCCCAGTGATGTCGGCTTGCATGTTATTTGGCCCTGAACTTTGTTGATTTTACACTGTTTTCAATGGGGCTTCAATTGGTTCAGTGCACTCCTATATGCAGGCTAGTAGGATGGAGCGAGAGAGAGGGGGGGGGGAGGGGCACGCATTATCGTATGCACCCGACAGTCTTGACTCCTATCCTTTCGTAGAATATCGTGGAATTCACTGTGCCAGGCCAACTGGCTTCAGAATGTCCCCCTACAAAATTGGCCGAGTACCGACCAGTATCGGGCTTGTACCGGCAGTAATAGGGACCACTAAAGTTACCCAATGTTTGTTGGGCCCATCCCCAAAACTTTGTTGGACTGTAGCTGGAACTTCAGTGTTGATTTATACCTCGCTATAAAATTTCACCGTGATACATCCCAAACTCTTTTACAATCGGCGCATATTTTTTTTAATTTTTGAATCACACACATTTTTCAAGTGACCTCAACACATCCATGAGAATAACCTCAATACAACTGAGGCCCGATGGGCCTTCAAAGGTTTACCTCCCATACTTCAACACGACTTTAATTTTAACTTGATGAGCAGAACTTAATTAATTGGTTCGAACGTAGGGCTAGCTACCGCTACACATATTAGTTCCTGTTATTGTTCCCACACCCATAATATTTTTTCGACTTGGTTTCTCACGAATTGAAATTGATACCCACGATTCGCGCGATGCTGCAAATCCACAAAATTCAAGCTCTGTTCATAACTTATATGAAAAGTGAACATTAACGCATTTCACTAACATTAACGTTATCGCCAGACATGAAAGTCGTTTTTATTTAATTAAGCATTGGTTGAACAAACAAAACAACCGAATGAGTTTTAAGCCGTCGGTCAAAGGCACTCAACATTTAAGTTGTACATTTACATGAGTCTAGGCCTACATTTTTATTTTAATTATACATTTGTTAAAAGTGCGTAAGTATTTTTTTATAGAATTACAGAACAAATATCTGTCAAATTACGCCAAATACATTATTGCGAACCTCGAATTTTGCAATTAGATATATAAATAGTCACAACATATGATCATCACCAGCTAAAAACTAAAATATATAATTATTATGACATATATCATTTAGTATAATTCAAAAACAAATGAGCATGGAAGGCATGATTTGAAATATAATTTTCGAAGGCATACTGCGGCCGCAATTATTTCAGATAGTGCACAAAAACTATTCACATCGTCACCGACACCACGAAGTAACACTCCACGTAAGCATTTTTTTTCTGTTTTCAGTTTTTTACATTTTTAAACATTATTTATCAAGGCCTACCATTGCACGAAGTTTCAAAGCTTCAAGAGCTTTACTTTAATAATTACGCTAATTATCCATGCAACTTTTGCGCAAAAGTGACAATTTTCGTTTTCACGAAGTAACACTCAAGTTCCATGTACCACTGCAATGTATGGCGCGCGCTGGCCTGAAGTTGCACTTTCCTCGTGTTGTATACATTGAAGAGTGTTACTTCGTGAAAACGAAAATTTACAGTTTCGCAGCTTTTTCGGTGTCACAAACTAACACGCACATTTTTCGTTTATTTCTAGTTGATTTAATATACAAACGGCTGAAAAACAGCAGATTTAATAAATTCAATTCATCAGGTGTCCACAACGAGAAACACAACTGAAAATATTCTGCCGTTTTGACGCAAAGTGTCGTTTTAGAAGCGAAGGCGTTCAACTTCAGATGCCGTTTTCTCCGAATGTTTTGACTGGTATGTACATGGGTGTTACTTCGTGATGTTGCTGACGACATAAACAAAAAAGTACATACTTTTTCTACATTACCCTTCAAACGAATTAATAACGACAATAACGCACGCATTTTGCCGAAGATTTTAACGTTCTGGCAATACATGTATTCATACTTTATGTACATCTTCGCACTCTGTACCTTTCCTCAAATCTGCTCTTGAATTCCTTCTTCAAAACATGTCTCACTCCTTTTCACTATTACCACTATCACCACCATCACCACCCTGACCCTTTTCACCATCATGACATTCATCAACAATAGCAACTATTGCAAAGATGCTTTGCCGGATCGCTTCCCCTTCTTCGCCAGAACCCATCGCGTCACCACCACCGTGAACCTCACCACCGGCATCTGGGTCACAGACTGAGTTTAGATCACCACTGTGATCCCCAATCACACCATCATGCACCCCACTGGTCGCTCCTTCATCTTCGTCGGAGAAGTCGACGACAAACGCACAATTCTTGTGGCCGTTTTCGCCGCCAGGACTCCCCATGACAACCCCACTTCTCATTGTCTGACTCTCCCTGTAATTGCCTGTAGACAGTTCGTTATGTGCATCGTCCTGACAGTCCCCAGTACGACAGTGCCAATTAGGTGACAGTAAGCCAACACGGTCGTTTAAGTGACCCGGCCCTTCGGTTTGGATGCTTGCATGTTTCCTGTGTCTCAACTGTTGCTCGTGGTCGCCAAACCCGCGTAAGAAACGGGAGATGAACCAGACAGATGCGGTCTTGTCGACCACCTTCGGATTGGGGTCATCAGAGGGAATGGGCACCACGGGGCGAGTGGCCACCGTCCGGTCTCCGAGTTCCATGGCTTCGGGGTGAGAAGACTCCGGGCCCACCCTGACCGCTCTGGCTTTCCGCTTTGCCCGGTACTCTTGCAGAATTACCGCCAGACGATACAGCTCCAGCATGGCAAGCAGGGCGTTCTTGAAAGCGAAGAAGAAGAACGGGATTGTGAGGGGCACTAGGGGATTGAAGATGAGGTACAGACGGGTGCCAAGGAACGGTAAATCCTGCATGACCAAAGTGACCAGAATGGCCCAAGTCTCTGTGCCGCAAAAAAAGTGGCAGCGATCGGAGGATTCTTTGCCTCCTTTCAATCTAACCAGTCGCTTCTTTCGGGATTCCGGACCCAGAGGTACTACCCCAGCCACCCTTTTCTTTCTTCCTTTAGTGAGTGTCAGACTGAGAGTGAACTGCGGCAGACTCCACGTCCAGACGCTCAGCAGCACAATGACGTGCAAATCATTGTTGTCGTAAATCTGGACGACCTTCACTCCCTCCGTCACGAACTCCAAAATGTCGGCCGCCATGCCGATCTGGACCAATAGCAGCTGGGAGAGCTGGTCCCGTGACAACTCCCCTTTGGGTAGAAGCCATCTGCCGAGGATGAGGGAAAAAAGGAGGAGTTGATGCAGAATCAGCCCCCACTCTGGCAATGTCATTTCAAGACCCGGCAAAGATACCTGCAACCGAACATACATGAAGTTACATGAACAATACTTTTACTCATTTGTCTTGACCAGAGAAGTTTGAATGGTTCATTAATAATTTGTGCAAAACGAAAACAATTGAAAATCATGAGGGTGTTCATTAATTAAAACCTGAATCACTTTTAATCGCATTAACGTCACCTCCAACGTTTTCTTTGAATTAATATGACGTCGAAAAATGAATGATCTGATGGACCAAAGCCCCAGACAGACATTGAGTCTCAGGTTGTGCATGTGAAACTATTTCTGTGTCTCGGCTTACCTGATGTCCGAAGATGGGAGGCAGTGGTGTTTTATTGAAAGGCTCACACGTGACGACGACGTCATCAGTCACTTCACAATTATTGTAGCGCAACTGATACACGTCCCACTCGATGACCCACAGGCACGGCACGGTGCACATCAGGAACAAGGCCATGGTCGGTGAAAACCTGACGGAGAAAAAGAACCAAAGTCTTTTAAGGAAACTCATGAAACAGAGGGCAACCGATTTTTTTTTTAATCAAAAATTGTATCAGCGGAGATACTTTGAATGTTGGCTCCCCTTCTTTTCTGCCTTACATGCTGTCAAAAATAAAACAGGTGAAGTTGTGTATCATCCACGATGCATGTTTAGTATTTCATCATGGCACTTTTAACTGGGGCGGTTTGATGGCATTTCCGCTAGAATTTGTTATACTACGATGCCAAAAACTCCCTCATAATTTGTTCCTTGGCTGAGTTATGAACCCTGTACATCCCCGATATTAAAGCCACTCTGTTTTTCCAAAGGGTGGGACTTTTTTTGGGGGGGGGGGGGGTGGGGGGCTGTCAACAACCAATTTAAGCTCATTTTTGCTTTCCCCAAATTATGGGATCAAAAACCAGAGTGTTGAGGGCACAAGCCTCCAACGGAGGCCCGTGCCCCTTGTCCCTTTATGTTACGCGACTGGTAGGCTCAATTCCGCAGTCGCGATTATTCCGTGACAGAGCACATGTCCAGCACTGGGGACCATTTAGGGAGATACATGTACTTTGTCTTTTGAAAAGAAAGGAGCTTCCTTGAACAAATTTGCTGCACCAACTGTCAAACGCAAGAAGTAGGCCTTAATTTTTGAAAACAAATGTTCTTGAAACTCTTCACTTTTGGAGGGAGCGGGTGCTTGTGATGAATTTTAGGAACTATGATGTCATTACAATTCCATGAAAGCCAAATTTTGCACAATTTTTCACAAATTATCAGAAATTCTCAGAACACGAAAAGGACTTTGACTAGACAATACTTTGGTATGGTGAGAGCTACCTCTCCCCTTCCGAGAAACAAATAAAAGTTGACTTACCACTTCCATGAGCCGTGTTTCTTGACTCCCAGCGTGTAGGCGCCTTCCATGAAGATGAGAAGCAAGAACACTACCCAGAGCATCCAGAGTCGTCCGTCCTTTGCACTGACCAGCCAGACACACAGACCCACCAAAATCGAGAACAGGATTCGAACCAGGGACCCCTTGATAATCATACAGCACCGAGCCATTTTTTATGTTCAAGATGCTTTTTGTGAAGCAGTGGAAACGTTAAGTGTAGTCAGCACCTTAGCAAACTCTTACCCAATCGCTTGACCAACAGCCCTGCATAAAAACAATTGCGTTCATGTCTTGCGACTTCAGTATGTGTACCAAATGACAGTGATTTAAGGTTCCACAAAAGCACACACAATTATCGCAACGTTCGAGTCACTAAAAGGCTGGCCGGAATTAAAATGGTCTTCTCAGCTAAAACGTGGAACCGAAACTGATTTGGCTTTTCCCTAGCAACGCTCCGGAAAGAGGCAGAGAGTGAGGTGACGTTTAATCATTAACGACAATGAATCGGACCCAGCCTTCAACCATGCCGCGCAAACTCATCAACTCACCATTTGTCGGCTTTTAGTACGTTTCACGACTAATTGTTCCTTCTACAAACAATCGAGGGTGCACTTTGCGAGACACGCGCATACAAACCTTGTAATTTTTTGTTGTAGTGATTACAATCTTGAGAGTCTAATGGATGTATTGTCGGCGTACTAGAACTCGCTACGCCCCGATTCCCAGACAGACGAGTGGCATCCAAAAAGAGAAATGGAGGCAAAAAAAAACGAACGAACCTGAGTTGATCTTTTTATTTTCAAACCACGACTGCTTAAACAAAACCTTGCAATCAGCTTGTCATGAAGTGAATTCACAGCCCTTAGCGATGTGGCCTACTAACAGCCAAGCCGAAGACGGATGACTGATGACCCGTCTTTGAACGCTCATCCGACAGGATATTTACTAAGACAGGTTCCCTGCTCCTTCCGTCTGGCTTTGAATGTGCTCATTCTTTTTGTTGGGGGTATAGGGACCAGTCTTAAGTAATTGTCCACTTAAGCAGTACCCGCCCAGCGGATGTGTGCACAGCGATTTAGACCGCACGCGAGCAACTTATGAGCTTAATTCATCATCATCATCATCATCATCATCATCATCATCCCCATCCTTCATCAGTGTATGAAGCAAATGTTGCTTGAGAGTCCTCATGTCCTTTGTGTTGTGGTGACACCGATTTTTTTCGAGGTATATTGGAAAGGGAGGTCATGGAAATCAACACAGTCATCAATCGTAAAAGATCAAGTTTAGTTAAGTTAAATATCTGGAGATGACATGCCGAACATTTGAACATGACCCGATGACCTAAAGGGTTTTTTCCCCCGAGAAACAAGTAAAGTACGGGGGACTTTTTTTTGCAGGCGATCTACCAGAGGAAAAAAAATCTCTATCTAAGATATTTCCATTATCAACTTGGAAAATGTCTTTTGTGTTCTACCCGAGACATCCTTTCTCTCTCATATACAATGCTTCGGTTGCCAAACAGTGGCGTCACCAGACTTTTCAGTCTGGGGGGCACAGGGGGGGGGGGGGGGCACCAGCATTTGATGGGGGGGGGGGCACTTAGGTGGATACGGATCGCCGTCAAAATTTTTGCATACGGAGGATGGGCTAGATGCAAAATGGTGCCACATTTGATGCTAAATTCGATCTGAAGATATCTCAAGAAATTGCTATTTTTGAGGTAATAATTTTAACAACGCGCAGAATTTTGCAGAGGATAGGGGGGCACCAGCATTTGATGGGGGGGGGGGGGGCACTCGGGGGGGGGCACTCGGGGGCACTAGGTTTTCCAGGGGGGGCACGTCCCCCCCCCCCCTTGGCGACGCCACTGTTGCCAAACGTTCCTATGGAGCGTGCCTCACGTGACATGGCCCACACAACGCAACATTTTACCACCAAAAGTCTTTTTAATTAAATCTCTTCTACCCAATTTGTGGAGAGACACACGATACTAAGTTGGTTTCGTTTAATTATACACACATGTATCAATGGAAAATATATACATTTTCCCTCTGAAACTGAATTGAACAATGAAAAATACCACTAACACTTAATTGCATACCCGCACTAACCCCATCATTAGTTCGCTGTTGTCCGAGTTACATATTGTCTTCCAACCCTGTTGGTAAATAATACATCAAACTCGATGCTAGAACAGATTAGCCACGCACATGACTGCGCCAATGATAATCAGCTAGTACACGACACTAATAGCGTCGATTTCCCAAGACACTCATAAATTTCACTGGATGCAATTTGCTGATCTCATCCATTATGTTGTCCGCCTTGCTTTGGTTGACAGTCTGCACTTTCCTGAAAGTGCTGCTGACCGTCAATTTCTATTTTTATCTCCCCCCCCCCCTAAAATATAATTTCAAAAAAATGTATTTAATCAAATAATGCATGCACGCAGTAACCTCTTTTTAACCTTTTTAAGGCAAGGATAAATATGATTTTCCAGTGGGTTATGACAGTGTTTTAAATGTTTGGGCGTTTTTTTTCCTGCTGCATTTTTAACACAAAGCTCAAAATTGGCATAAAAATTGTGACAAGTCAAAACAATTGTAATCAATGCATTCGATTTTCCGTTGTAGTGTATTCTGGGTCAATATAGGTAATCGTGCCTGTGTTAAACTTCTTTTCCTTGGCGTGACCACATCTATTAAAGAATAGTTTTACTCTCCCTGGATGAAATGGAAGTACACGTTACATTCTGCTCACGATAATTACTCTAATTGTACAAATATCCAAAATAATATCCAAGCTGAATAAACACTATCAAGTTTTTCAAGGATTGAACACTACCGGGCACTGTGCAACATGCAAATCAAAATACAATTTAAAATTCATGTTAAATGTCTCCTTTTTTTATTGGTTTTAAACCAGTGAGACTCGCTGTAAAGACAATTTACAATGTTGACGCTGGGCATTAAACAAGGTAAGTTTCAGGTTTATCCTTAAAATGCAGACGAAGACCACGAAAATTGCACCACATATATTTGAAATCAAGCATGTGCTTTTAACAAGATAATGTGCAGGTGCGGATCCGGGGGGGGGGGAGGTGGTGGTCAAAAATTAGGATTTTTTTCAAAGAAATTCAAAATAAAATAATAAGACTCCCCCCCCCCCCCCCCCCTGTTCTGGTAATAATGTCCACGTGTGCATAAAATACAGACAGAGCAAGCTTGGTTAGGGGGTATTTGTACACTATTCTGTAATATAGTGTTAATAATCGTCAGATTTGAACAGTGCCCCCATTGAAAGTATGGTGCAAGTCCCCCCCCCCCCCCCCCCATTGATTTTCGGAGGCCGGAGACAAAAACCTGTCTACATTTCCTAATTTTATGCTGATGAACACGCCCCCTTCAAAAATTCCTGGATCCGCCCCTGATGTGACGCTGACAAATTTTGAAACTGATCAACTTCGGGTAAGCTAGTTCAGTTGGTCGAGCACTGATACAGGTTTTTCAGAGTTCAACATTTCATTTACGACCGTTTACAATTTAAAAAAACAAAAAAACTTGTAGACAAATATAACTTAAATAAACCTTAATTAGCTTTCAATTGAAATTTGTAATGTAAAGAAAGTACCACACATATTGGCAATGAACAAGTTGTAATTTTATCTTGTTTTATACAACGTCCCAGTAAATTCCCGTCATCTGATTGGTGTGTCGTTCATCACGTGTCACTAAATTATACGACGCAGCAGCATCGCAAAAATAGAAATTCCATTCCACGTTAAATGGAAGTTCCATTGACGGTCAGCCTTTTGGTGGCGCTGACCAATCAGATGAATAGGATTTATTCAAGTGTTGTATAAAACATATAAAGACTGTTTCACATTCGTGCAGTGGAAAGAGTAATTTAATTCGGTGACAGACGAATGTTCCATTCCTCTTGGCTTCGCCTCGTGAAAGCGAATATTCCAGCTGTCACCTCATAAAATTATTCTTACCATTGCACTCCCAAATCATTATTTGTACACTTTTTCCATTCTATATATTTTTTTCCTGTCTCACAGATTTTTAAGATTAAGATTTGCCAATATCCCACATTTCTCTTTCCAACAGCATTCTACTAGCTTTAAGCCTTTGCATTCGCATTGAATTTTTGAGGAAATTAAGACAACTTCATTTCAAATGACATACACGTACAAAACTTTCTAAAAGCTGTTTTGCACAATGCTGCAAACAAGATATCTTACAAAAATATGCACTGGTTCGGTGATATAGCAAAACTAGCCAAGCTGATCTCATCAGCCTTCTAATGAGCATTCCATGTTTATTTGATACAGGTTCAGGTTTTGGTTTTTCAAACCCCTGTTTAACCCCGCATCGCTTATTTTGCTCAGGTACTACTGTTTGGAACCTGAGTTTCAACCTGGGTTGAAAATCTCAACCCTGGTTTGGGGCAAGGTTGAGCTCAACCCTCATCGCTTATTTTGCTCAGGTACTACTGTTTGGAACCTGAGTTTCAATCTGGGTTGAAAATCTCAACCCTGGTTTGGGGCAAGGTTGAGCTCAACCCTCATCGCTTATTTTGCTCAGGTACTACTGTTTGGAACCTGAGTTTCAACCTGGGTTGAAAATCTCAACCCTGGTTTGGGGCAAGGTTGAGCTCAACCCGGGTGAAACCAGTCTCAGGGTTGACGCAGGGTTGGCGCAGGGTTAAAAATGTTCAAGTGTGAAACGCCGCACGTTTTCAACCCTTGATCAATCCTGCATCATCAAGCCCGAATTTTGTCTTGTGCGAAAAGGCCTTTGTGTCAGAAAAACACACACAAAGACGTTTAACTGGTCACTAAGATTACTCACAAAAGTTTTCAGTATGAGGCGAGAAAATATCATGTGACAAACTTTCACCCAATCAGAAGTCAGAATCTGTGGTTGAGGTGTCCTCAAAATGCTTATTTAAAAAAAAAAAAATTGCTGCAATATTTCAGACGTACTGTGCAACCTTAAGAAAACCATATGTATCTATCATCTCGGACATGGCCAGTAGGCAAAGTCGAGTCCAGTGGTTTGACTGTGGCGTTGAAATTGTAGTTGTTGATGACCGTGATTTGTGGCTTGCCAGCACACAGTCCCTCGGTCACATAGCTGGGGAGTTCCAACTGAGTAAGGTTGCTTGTGTAGTAACCAGCTATGGCATTGAATATCTGCAAATTAGACCATTAGCATTTGTATTACATTGTGTTTATATTGTGATGATCCCATATAACCATATGGTGCGGGGATGAGTTTCGGCGCTATGGAGGAATAACAGGCAGGCTGCTTTTGGGCGGTACAGTAGTTAATGGTTAAATTTAAGGGTATAAGTAGAATAAGGACGATATTCATCTACGCAAAAAGAAAAGCTGTGCATTGAATTGGGGTACAATTGTGTGACATACAAGGGCGGATCCAGAACACAATTTTTTGGGGGGCCAAAAGAAATTTTGGTCCCCCCAAAAAGTGGGTCAAAAAATTACGGCGTGGGGTTCGGGGCCCGCTTAAGGGCCCCGAAAAATTTTTGGATTCTAGATGCTCTGTGGTGCGATATGAGGCAATTTCTGACCACTTTAACCAATGTTATTTTGAGGAAAAGATGGTGGTGTACTCATTGCCTGCCTTTATTGCAATGTCATTTGGTTTCGTTTTTTGGGGGGGGGGGCCATGGCCCCCTTTGGCCCCCCCCCTGGATCCGCCCTTGGTGACATATCGCAACAAGTAATTCCTTGACATTCTCCCAGCCTTAGAAGAATGTTTCCCCCATATAACATTGCCATTACGAAATGTTCCTGCCCTGAAAAAAAAAAATCCTGGCAAGACCATTGATAAATAAAACTGTAGTCATCAAAAGAGGGGTAGGGGTTGGCATATGTCATCATTAAGTCAAGTCAGTGTTGGAAAGTGTATCCGTGATTTAATAAATCTGCCTCAAAATTTCATTACATTTAAGACCTAAGCTGCCAGTTTTTTTTTTTTAAGTTTTATTCAAAAATAATCTTAAAATTATAATTGCCTATTTAGAAAACAAACCTGGCACTTTGTGATCTATCTGTGTGTTGTGAAAACAAAAAGAAGAAAACAGGACCAACAAAAAAGTTTTGAGACCTTTAATTACACCAAAATAGAGCCATTTCTCAGAGATCAATTGCCACCTACCTTTTCAGCATTGTATACCGCCACCAGACTGCTATACATGGGCCACTTGGGATCTCGCATGAACTTGCTACCATTTACCTTGTCTGTGCTGAACTGAATAATTCCCCATCTAAAGCACACAAACAAAAACACCTTCCTATCGGCAACAGTCATACAGAAAGTCGGACAAAACTATTACATGTATCTAAACGGCGGGCAGGGCTGGTTCAACAACTGTTTTGCAACCCATGGGAAATCAACACACAAACAACCTGTGAAAGGTGTAATCATCCTTGTTGTCCAAGATGTTCGAAATGGTTATGAAATTGTGCCGCTATGCCAATTTTCGGGAAATCAGTTGTAAGTAAACTATAGGCTTGGACTACATTTCAATAATACAGTATGGTGACACCAGCGTTGTAGTCGAGTACTTTTTCCCGAGTACCGAGTACTGCCGAGTACTTAGGTTGCCGAGTACGAGTACAATGCTGCAAAACTTAACTAATTTTGCCCAATGAAAAGATTAAATGACAGTCTTGTAAGCTGTGACACAGGTCAAGGTACCGGTAGCTCAACTGGTATAGCGCATTGGTGCAGCATACCAGGCATTGAGACTAAATTCCTACTTTACTCCATTTTCCTTGTCAACGCTGTAAAGTATTTAACCCAGGAAGTTTCCAAGTAGTTATTTGATGATTCAAAGCCAAACATTGTTTCCTCACCTTTCTGGCAGATGCATATTGATGACGTGCTGTGGTGACCAGACCCAGTTATCTTCAGGAAGACCTGGCACCTACCAGGCAAACGGGAAACAAGAAATCAAAGCACATAATTGATATATGTAGATTTAGGGGAGTCAGGTTGGCGCAGTGGTTACTGTCCTCGCCTTCCACTGCTGTGGCCCGGGTTCGATTCCTGTCCTGGTCCACATGTGGATTGAGTTTTCAGTCCCTGCCTGATTCTGTGGTTTTCCCCAGAATACTATTCTGGGGTTTTCCCCCCACCTCTAAAACTGTTATTTGTTCTCATTGTCTCCTCTCCACAGGTTTCTTCAGGCTTGCGAGCAACAGTGTCTAGGGCGTTCTTGAGGAAGCCTTGGTTTCATTACCAGAAAGAACGAAATAATAAATACATAAATAAATAAATATTGCATACCCCGCGCTCTTCAAAGAATTGATTTGTTTTCTCCCAATTTTAGGCCTCTGCAACTCTCTGGAAAAGGAATTTCATTTTGCACACTAGAACCCACCCTGCAAGAGACAACTTATTGTCTGGCAGCCAATAATTTGATTTTTGTGATTTATTTTTTCATTTGATGTCTCATGTGAATAACTTTGTTTTTTTTTTTACTTTTATATTTTAAGGAAAACTGCATTTGAAAAAAACATTTTTGTTTTTGAAGTGAAACTCGAAAAGAGCATGGGGAAAACATCTTTACAACAAATAAATCATCAACAAATTATCATAGATGACTATATACCCTTGGCACCGGTTCATTCACATCAAAGCCAAAGTTTTCACTGCTGCCATAATAACTGAGGTCTCACATGAATGATTTCAATTTAAACCAACCTTTTCGTAATGTCCGTTGACATTTCTAACATGCCACTCCACTCTGTGTGCAAAGAACACCACAAAAAAATGGTTTCGTTATTGTTTTATTAGTTGGGTAAAAAATGTATTAGCAACCACTAAGTTGGAATCCGTATAAAATCAACATTAACTACAAATATATGGCATAAAATTGAGTAAATTAATAGAATTTAACAGAAAAAAAACGCAGAAAATTAATAACTAAGAAGGTAATGTATCAACAAGTAAAATAGGTAAAATAAACACATTGGCTAAACCTAATAAGAGTCTTAATATGTTGGAAACATAACAGTACCTTGTGCTTGATTCCACAAAGAAAGGCAATCAAAGGAAACAGAAACAACTAAGTCTGCTCATTAGTGATTAAGTTAATGACTGCAGGGAAGACTAAATGTGTGCTAAATTTTCCTTTTGTTTTAATAACACTGTGACAATTTTCAAAAATTGATTCCTTAGAGAAAAAAAAGATTCACCCCCCCCCCCAAGCAGTTAGTATAACGCCATTTATGGAAACAAATTTACCTGCTGAAGTTGATTCTCCACTGGTCCCCATTCTTAGGCGGTGCCCTGGCCACACTGTCATTCGTAACCAGGTCTTTCAGAGGCAAGGCAAGCTCAACGGTCCAGTAAGAATCTGAAACAAAAGCACAAAGTTGTTTTTTTTTACTAAAATACAGTATTTCAAGGAATATTACCTGTCAGAATAAATGACATTGACTTTGACTAAAAAACATACGATCACTCTCCTCGGAAACGTCTATGTTTATTTAATAATGCTGTGCTGGCTTCAGATCCTTTAAATGACAATATTTACATGCCATTTTCTTATTCAAAGAGAGAAATATTTAAAAGCAATATGTTTTTGGGCAGTCGGGTTGGCGTAGTGGTACTTTCATCGCCTTCCACTGCTGTGACCCGGGTTCGAATCCCGCCTGGGCCAATATGTGGATTGGGTTTTCAGTCCCTGCCTGATTCTGTGGGTTTTCCCCCAGAATATTCTCCTGGGGTTTTCCTCCCACCTCTAAAACTGTAATTTCTTCACATTGCCTTCTCTTTACTGGGCACCATGGGAGACCAGTGGATTCCACTGAATGGACTACCCAGTTAAAACAAGAATTAAATGAAAATAGGAAATTAAAAATAATAAGATTCTATGAGGTCATTTTTGAACAATGAACAATTGAAGATTCCTCATAAAACAGAACAAGAGCATGTAACTTTCACTTCAAAATGGAATTTGTAAAAAAATTAGCCCGGCAATTTTCTTTTACTACTTTTCAGTCAAAGGTGTAATCACAAGTCAAGAACAAGTCGGGTAACAAGTTACATGACAACAGGATTACCACAGTTCATTGGAAAGGTTTGTGACTTGACCAGTTACTACATGACTTGTGATTGACTTGTGAAGACTTTATCAAGACTTGGTTCATGTGCTTTGCTCCTACCATTAATGAGTGGATTATTGACAGGTCCATCAACATAGATGGCGCTCTTCATAGTTGGCATCTCAAAGCCGCTGTTAGGAGAGCCGCCATTGATGTAAGGCTGAAATAAAGAAGCAAAGCGGGCCAAACGAACACCCCATAAAAAAATTCTGTCTTGCTAAGCTTGTTGTCACGTAGAAGAAATCATGAAATGTAGGTGATTTCCAACAATCAGTCAATTGGCTAAATTTTGGAAATAAAGAGTGCTATCGACAAAATCATGTTCTGTGATTAAATGGTTGTGCATGGTTTTTCACTGTTTTTTTCTTGAAAACTGTAATATTCACTGAGCTGAAACTTCAACAGGTTTAAGGTTCTGAACTTTGGGTTTGAGTGGTGTTTTTATTGGAAACAAACAAAATGTACGAAAGGCAAATGATCCCATATGCCTTTAAAGTGGACAATGAATAAATTGAAGGGAATCCTACCTTATTCAAGATGAGATCCCATGTGGTGTTAATGGCATTAATTTCAAACTCTTTGTACCTGTCAAGCAAACAATTGAAATAAACGCTGAAATAAAATCAACCTATCCTTTTGTTTGATCAGTCACAGACAGTCAAAAAGTCAATCCTGTTCCCCTGCAATGCCTTTTACACAGGCTAGTCACTAACAGTCATATCTTATATCTTGTAGGCACTGTGACAATCAAATTCAGTCAACAGACAAAAGCAGGTGACTGGTAGGCACAGCTGGCTTACCAATCTCCTACAGTCAAAGCAGAGCTGTATCAGGTTGCATAACAATCACAGCGAGGCAATCCTGCTTTATGAAGGCAGGGAGCACTCAACTGTTAAAAAACAGTTACTTGATTTATTTTGACTACTGGGCTGGCCTTGTTGACATTGCCAGCTAGAGAGGGAGGGTTTGTAAACCACCAATTTAGGTGTGGGATCATTAAAAAATAGCAGATAATGCCCGGAGTAAAAGAACTTGATTTATTTACCAGTGTGTGCTTCCATCTGGATCAGTGAAAACCTAGAATGGAAAAAAATTAATTCATACATTGTACTTATTCAGGTCAACTGAATTGAACTGTGTTCAGCTGAATTTAGAGATAAGAATGTTGATGAAATGATTTCATGATGTTGAAATGTGATAACATTGAAATATTTATGACGTTTAATTCAACCTTTAATTGTAACAAAAGTCACTTTAAATTGAAAGGTTTATTTTAACATACCTCAAAATCATTGTCTTTGAAAACTGCAAGATAAGGGGGAAAAGTTGGCATTAATTAGGATCAGTTTATTGGAAAATGTGCAATTGGAATTTCAAATGATATATATAAATCAATATTTATTATTATTATTAAAGGGAAGATACAACATATTTTGCAAACATCAAAAAACGAAATGATCAAATTATCACGAAATATCTTACTGGATTGTTAGGGAATGACAGTCGAAAGCATCCTGTAAAATCGTGGCTTCTGGTGTTCTGACATTTTCAAGAAAACTTGTATTTTTCCAACGCTGGTCGGCCGACCAGCGTTGGAGAAAACTGACTGTTTTCAAAAAGTGCTCCTTATTTTTCATATTTAGTTATTCCGCATTTTCTTTGCAATTGATCACACACCTGTGAAGGGGTGCAAGCCTTCTAGACGGATTCTCTGACCTTGCAATCCTCCAAAGTCTATAAATTGCTCCGTTTCATCTTATGTGGGGTCAGGGAACCAGACTACAAGAACATGGTTGGTTTCTTGGATTTTCCAGCATCTCCAAACCCAAAACGTGAAGCAAGTCAATTTAACAATATTTGCTATAACATACTAATCCTCCCAATCCATTTATTTCTGAAAATTGCAGCAAAAGCAAATGTTGTACATTCCCTTTAACTGCGTCAGCAAACATAATCTTTGACTGATGGACAAAACAACCAATGTTATTGTAGCTTCTACAGAATCTGATGAGGAATTTTTTTTAGAAATATGTGACCTCTATATCGAAAAACCTAGCAGTGAAGTAGGATTTTTATGCTCAAATGGTTTTGAAGAGCACTCACCAACGGAATCATGTTTGGTTTGGTTTGCAAAGACATCTGTCTCCTGCAGATAGCCGCCAATGTAAAGGTAGGTGTCGTCATATCGCAGCTTGGCCCATGTCTCAAACCGAGGTTTGGGAAAATATTTTCCTTGAATGTCTGGGGGAAAAAAATTGAATACTCTAATATTAGGCCAAAAAAAATATATATTCGGTCTCTGGTCAGACCAAAGTTCCGGAATTGACGCGGCCACGCAGCTTTTTTTTTTTTTTGTGCTTTTTTTTTTGTCTTCAAGCTTGGATTGTACAGACAAGGTGGGTACTATTTTGCTTTTTTGGTGTCCTCATGTACATTGGTGTCCTCCATAATTTGCCTTGGTGCTTTCGATCATTTGCCTTGGTGCCATTTCCCATTCCTTGGTGCTTTTTGGTAAAACAAATTGAGGAGGTGCGGAAATAGAGGGCGCTGTTGGAGCTACCGCGGAACATTTTGGAAAAAAAAAAGATCGACGCGCATGATTAAGATCGACGCGCGCGCTGACCAGAGACCGACTTATTTTTGTTTTTTGGCCTTGGGTCCAATTTTTGTCATCACAGGTGTGTCCAAAACTAAATACAGTGAAATCTCGATAAGTCAAACCTCAAGGGAACAGGTTTAAAATTTGACTTAAGCAGAGTTTTGAGTTAAGCACGGTTGTATATCATTACTACTGAAGGGAATGGATTCTTTGTTTGACTTAACAGTTGTTTTGAGTTATCAGAGTTTGAGTTATCCAGATTTCACTGTATGTATACGTCTTTTCAAACAAAGTGTTACAAAATTTACAAAAACAAAGTGTGGTAAATATATATGGCAGATGCCAGGAGAAGTCGAGACTCCTACTTTGTAATTGTTTGTACAAGACCTTCTTCCATAACGATTAAAATAATTTCTCCACCAAAGCAACCTAGTACTGTCTTTATTTTTTTCTTTATTTTGTTCTCTGTGTTGTCCAAGTAAAAAAAAAAAAACAGTTTCTCATCCAGCTTTTAAAAAAAAGGAAGTGGGAGGCCCTTTTTTCCCCAAGACCTTTTTACCAGATTTTGAACTTGCATACATATAGCTACCTTGATGCTGGAAACATATAAAGACAAAATACATTAAAAATATTAGGGCCTATTTAAAACTTAAAAAGAAAAAAAAGAAGAAAACAAATTGGGCCAGAGGTAATAGGAAATGGACAAGAAACTATTCTATTTTTTGACTTGGCCTAAACACTTTACTTTGTGCAATTGTAATTTGTATACTAAATGTAGGCCTATGGGTCTAGTAATGTAAACAATAGACCCAACGTGTAATAATGGCAGAGGATATTTGACCATGAACCGGTCCCTGATTGTTTGCAGTATTGTACCGGCACGACACACTGAACATGCGCAGTGACTGTTTTTTTTGGACTGAGAAATTTTACCGGGATGAATCTTTGTCTGGTTCCGCACCAACGATGTTGTTATGAAGAAATGGAATTCCAACTTATTACAATTTCGGACTTCATTTCCCTAAAAAAACTCCTTTTCCAAAGCCACAAATCAGAAAGAGATGAAACACTCTGTACAGCATTCGATTTAAAACAATAAAAGAAGACAACATTTATTTTTTTGGACACATGCATGAGCATGAGGGTGCTATACGATAGGCCTATGCCAGCTTAAGAACAGAAAAAATGCAGCTCGCAGCTAAACAAACACTTCATCAAGTTCGTTTAATAATTCCTGAGATTTATTTCCAACATGATTTTAGGTTAAAAAAAGTAAAACTCATTTCATCTCATTTTACAAAAAGAAAAAGGAATGCAAGGATAGGCCTACATGTACATTGTAAAAAAAAAAGGGGGAAAAATGTTCCAACCTGACGCCACTTCCGCGATTGTGTTCAAAGTATAATTATACTTTAAAGAGTCAAGAAAATTGTCTAACGTCAAGTATTTCCTAACAAAATTGGGGTAATCCTTACTTTTAGGACACCTCTATTTTTTACAAGTTCTGTTCAAAACTGACTTTTGCAGATGACTGTCCAGTACCAAAGTGACTTTTGCAGGCTAAAGCAGTTTTTTTCTTCATACTCATGTTAGTTGTAGTTTTGAAAGCACTTTCAAAGAAAATGTGACTTTCCTACCTTTTTTCGCAGTCAGACGTGCATGTTGTAGTTCTCACACGCGTGAAAGCCCTACATAATGAAAGCCCGATGCTGATTGGCTGCTAAAAAAATTAATTAGTCTGGTTCCCAGACCAAAAGATTCTGACTACTCCTAAATCTTTTGGTCTGGGAACCAGACTAAAAATAAATAAGATGTTTTTAAATTTTTTATCAGCCATTAGCCAATCAGCATCGAGCTTTCATCGCATCGAGTATTCACGTTTGCCATCTTGGTTTTTGAGTCTGTTTTCTGGTTGTCATCGTCGTCTTTTACCCCTGAATTTCCCTCATAAATCAAAGCCCTGCCCTCTTTCCACAAAATTAAACCTGCTGATATTCAAGAAGGTGTCATTGCCAATTGTTCAGATGTGCCAAGAAGTATCAGAATGTCAATTTTGAGTGTCATTTAGTCAACTGTTTTGGTGAGTCTTTCCCTTCCTATATACATGATATAGGAACGGGGTCCTAAAAGTAAGGATTACCAAAATTGGAAATGTTTCTCAGTGCTAGTCCGAGTAACTTGGACCCAACTTATCGCCTTTTTTAACATTTGGACATGGTCTGGCGATAGTAAGGTCCAAGCTAATACCGCAACCTGGACAACACCGTCCCATTTTCCAACAAAAAACATCAGATTTCACCTTCAAAACGGCCTCCAAATTACTAGATATGCCACCTGAGGTACAAGTAGACATCGATAATTAAGATGGTTGTACTAAAGTTTACTTACGATCCGAAAAAAAGTGAAATTTTCCGTTCATTTCGGAGAGCTCCCCTCGCGATCTTGAACACGTTAAATTTCCGATCGTGTTTAATGTTTGAACGACGCGATTTCTTCTACATGCCCAGCGTACATTCGATGGTCCCCGTATCCCGAGTGCGATTCCGTTACCGAGCGCGCGCGATGCATCGATTATGATAATGAGTAGAATGGATCACGTTTGTAAACACATGTGTATTTCAAACGATAATAAGAAGTCGGGAACTAGCGCAGCTTTTATGGCGGATACCAGTTCAAGCTGGTTCCTGATTCCCTTTTACAGTTCGAAATGCACATGTATGTGTTTACAAACGTGACTCATTATCATAATCGATGCATCGCGCGCGCTCGGTAACGGAATCGCACTCGGGATACGGGGACCATCGAATGTACGCTGGGCATGTAGAAGAAATCGCGTCGTTCAAACATTAAACACGATTGGAAATTTAACGTGTTCAAGATCGCGAGGGAAGCTCTCCGAAATGAACGGAAAATTTCACTTTTTTTCCGGATCATAAGTAAATTTTAGTACAACCATCTTAATTATCGATGTCTACTTGTACCTCAGGTGGCATATCTAGTAGTAATTTGGAGGCCGTTTTGAAGGTGAAATCTGATGTTTTTTGTTGGAAAATGTTGGTTTTTGGGACAGTGACAGGATGATGTTGTCCAGGTCGCGCTATTAGCTTGGACCTTACTATCGCCAGACCTACTCCTAGAACTATGAGGCTCCGCGTGAGCGGAGCCTCATAGATGTAGAAGCCCGCAAAATTGTCTGCAGCACAAAACACTAATAAAGTACAAAAACGTCCATCAAAATGCAGACATTTCACACAGAACCGCTGCACAGTTTGCCCCTATACTCCGTACTTTACCTCTTGACATACTCACGTACCTTGGGCACAACTAACATAGGTGGATTCTGTCGGTTTTTAGGCCAAAATGATGAAAAATATGCCCTTTCCGCACTGAGCCAACCGAACACTTGAAACGTGCACGCATATGATCGAGCGATGATTTTCGGTTCGCTCGGAGCGCGCCGCGGGGGGTACGGTACATGCACTTGTACGCATGCACATACTATCATTTCGCCTGTACCGTACCCCCCGCGGCGCGCTCCGAGCGAACCGAAAATCATCGCTCGATCATATGCATGCACGTTTCAAGTGTTCGGTTGAAACGTTAGTGTTAGTGTTTTGTGCTGCAGACAATTTTGCGGGCTTCTACATCTATGAGGCTCCGCTCACGCGGAGCCTCATAGTTCTAGGAGTACGCCAGACCATGTCCAAATGTTAAAAAAGGCGATAAGTTGGGTCCAAGTTACTCGGACTATCTCAGTGCCACTGCCAGGTTCATTTCTTATCCTTTTTTCAATGAATGACCTTCATTGAGACGATATATAAACAAAAAAGTGGCGTCAGGTTGCAACATTTTTTCCAATTGTCCAAATTATGCAGGCTCACACAACCCAAATTAATTACCAACAAACGGCTCAGTGGGAGAAATTTCGGTCCAGGCTTTGTCGACCAACTTGCCGTCTACCTCGATAACTTCACCCGGCTGCAGACGGTAAACAACGTACGTCCGAGGCAAAGGCAAGGTGTCACAGGTAACTTTACATAGGCCTACCATTACCACTAATCTGATCTGTGAGAAAATTATCGCTAAAATGAAGACGACAATGCAAACTTTCGTCGAAAGTTTGGACTTGATGAATGAAGGAAATTTCGCAGTGGAGGCAGCCATGTTGAATAGCGCCACCTGTCGACAACCACCAAGCAGGGGGCGGGGCGGGCGCGCCTTTCAAAATTGTTTTGTAGGAACATTTTCAGGAACATTTTAAAACATTGTTTTCCCCTGTACGATTTCTTGAAAGAACTTTACACTCTGAAAATGCTCTAGCGATGCACCATACGTGGCCAGGATTTCAGGAGAACCTTGAATTTTGCTCAAATTATTTCATTATCCAGCAGAAGATTAATTATACGAATGGATAAGATCAAGTGAATGTGAATATCAAACATAAAGTCCCAGTCAACGAGAATATTTCATATTTCCATGCTGGACCTCTAAATCGCACCACAATTTAAGGTATGAAATAGTTTGCACTTTAGTCACTGTGCTTTCTCTATCAAAAAATGACAAATTGTCCCTTTTCTTTCAACGCCCTCAAAGCATATACAATAAGAAAACACTTCTATTCGTAATTTAGAGTATTCTAAGAAAGCTGTCAATAATTGAATCCCTCTAACCTAACCCTGCCAGATGCAACACAGTGCATTAGGTTGAAAGTCTGGTGCACTTGGATGCATTCAGCTACCAACACCAGTGCATACACAGCCACTTCTGAGACAATGAGAGCTAGTCCCATTGAACAATGCCACAGTTGTATCCTGCTGCATTTGGCAATCACAGACTCTGAGGCAGTTTGGCCTTGAGACTTTTGGCCTGATGGATCTTGCTACACTTGGCAGGCTTGTCACTTAGACAAGTGTTGCATGTTGCGTTTGGCTGGGTTTCTAGCCAAAATACCCTGGAGGGTTAGGTTTGAACTTTGCAACCAGAGATTTACAGATGTTTTAAAAAAAGCCATTCAACAACACCGTATTGTCATTAGATAATAATTTTGTTTTTTGATGTTTGGAAATGTTGTATATTACCTTAAACGAAGGTTGCAGCAGAATAATAAAACATTGTAACTTCCCCATCTCGTACCTCCAGTTCTCTTCAAGCTGCTCTTCCAATACAACTTCATTACGTCCGGTGTGAAATAACAGCAAATCACAGCAACTGATCGGAAAAGAAATCTGGGGTCGTACACAGTTGGATTTCTTGTTTCTTACATTTGTTTTAATTATCTCCACATCGAATTCACTGTATTTACAATTTTGTACAAACCATTCTACAATGGTGGCTTCGAAAATCTTTTGCTGAAATCCAATTGGAATGTATTTTTCATGTGGGCTTGGGCAAATTAAAAATACAGAACTAAGTTGAAAGACTTTAAATAATATTGAACCATAGTATACATGCACTTTAGTCATGCACAGAACTTCATACAACTTACACATGTGTGCTATCTATCCAAAAGGCACCAGTGAGAGTGGAATGCTGAACATAGTTAAAAATATACACAATTTTATTTCAGGATGAATACGGATTGACACTACATGCCTACAGATTAATCTATGTTCTTACAGGTCTCTCTCAAATGACGTCATCTCCTACAGACCAGCCACGTGCATCGGCATTTTGAACATCAACTTGCATAACGCGCATCGGCTGCGTCATATTTCGAACACATTTCGAGCAACAAGCGCACGTGTTTGGAACATTTTCAACTCTGCGCAATGCGTGCTTGATTGCGTAATACGCAGTTGCAGTTCTCCTACAGAGATGGCTGTCTTTGAGAGAGACATATGCACACTATGATCAATGGACAAAGATTCTCTTCCTTTGTGTGCAAGCAGCACACAAAACAGTAAACACCTCTTGAGAGGTAAGAAGTCTGCACCGGTAAGCAGGAGGTCGTGGGTTCCAGTCCCACATGAGGTAAACTTGTGGATTTTTTCTCACAAGCCCTCTGCATCTGACAGTATACAGTGCTCACAAAAAATTCAATCAGACAAAGTACCTCTCGATTTCAACCCTTCAAAGTCCACATGTTTACTTAAAGAGGATGTGGAATGCTCGAAGACATTTCCGTCATTTTTTGGGAATACATGTATGTAGCCTAGGGTGTGATGAAATAAAAACGACTATTGTTTCTGTCATGAAATGAGTACAAAGGGTACTTTTGAGAGCTATTTTTCAGGTCCTGTTTCGACCCGAACGTGCAATTTGTGTAAAAGTCGTCGTTGCGGGCAGCAAACAAAACAAAGTAAATCGTGACGTAATAAACAGGACTCGTGTATGCTACTCTGCATCGGGATTCCTGTTTATTACGTCACGATTTACTGTTTTTTTTGTTTGCTGCCCGCAACGACGACTTTTACACAAAGTGCACGTTCGGGTTGAAACAGGCATGACAGGACTTGAAAAACAGCTCTCAAAAATAACTTTTGTACTCATTTTATGACAGAAACAATAGTCGTTTTTATTTCATCACACCTTAGGCTACATATACCCGAAAAATGACGGAAATGTCTTCGAGCATTCCACAACCTCTTTAAACCTAGCTGAACGGCCCTCAGTGCAACTACTCACTGTACAGTGACACTAGTGATAGGTGAGGACACAGTATAGTGCCATTTCCATTTTCTTTGCTATATTTTTGTTCCCATTCAGTTGAAACTGAATCAAGCTAATAAGGGTCTTGACTTTGATACCATATCCTCACTTAGCTCGTTTATAGTAGGCCACAATACCCTCTACAGTTGCCACAAGCATGGGCATGCGGTTGCCATCTCTATAATATTTGCCATGGAAATGGAACTGCAGGCTGTCCTGTGGTGAAATTTTTGTGGAAACACACTGACTATGGGCAATTCCATGGGCAAGCAGCACCTCAAATGTGATATCAAATTAAAGGGGACAACAAGAACTTTCATTTGAGTGATGTGGCAGTGAGATGAAGTACGGAATAGGTTCCATCAGTATACAGTATGAGGAACCGTTCAAATGCAGGGCATATAATTTTTTGTTATGTCCTTTTCTTGTAAAGTGAGTAATCGACAGAAGTTTATGTTGTTGGCCTTTTTTTTAAAAATAGTTAAGTCACTTCATTTCAAGGGATCTGCTGTGAGAAAAATTCACCCTCAATGCTTTGACTTCATAGAATAACAGTGCAAAGTTGATGGAAGACCCCCTCCAAATGTGATGTGAGTTACCATGGAATTGCCCACATGAGTTTGTCACTGTGGAATCCGTTTATAACAGTAACACAAAGAGAGATATTATGGGAATGCTATTGCCATATATTTGCCTAGTACCAATGCACACTCACGCAAAAAAACGCACACGTTTTCTTCCATGCCTTGTGTTCTGTTTCAGCACATAGTTCACATAAATCATGTCTGAAGCTTAGTTTAGCAATCTGGAGTGGCTTGACATACTAGCAAAGTGGACAGTTGAAACCCACGGGCAGGGTTGGGGTGGAGGGTACGTGTCACACCATGCCAAAATGGATGACTTTGACCGTCTTGGTGGTTCCGTCCTCCTTTCTTTCCTGTCCTTCACCTTCCTCGACTATCCCGCCTCTTGCCTCTGGGGCTTCTCTGCTCCTCTGGTCATCATCAGGCTCTGTAATATAAATGCAGTCAAATTAAGAGTTGAGCCACGTCCTCATTACTTGGCTATGGCTGGTAGTAAAGCACATGTCTATGGCAAGTTGACTCAGCCACTTCCATAGAGGCTGGTAATTGAAAGGCGTAGCCGCTATTCAGGTGTGGCCTGATATGAGAGGAACTCAGCAACACTTCTGTTGGCAGCAGCTTAATTCCATTGCTAGACTACGAAGAAGCCAAAAACAACTGCCAATCGGTATTTGTATGACTGAATGTACACACACGAATGCAAAACCTGTATCAGTCTCATAACCCTACAATGCTTTGCAAATGACAATGAGTTTTGTAAAATCATGTTTACATTACAGGCTTCCAATGACATTCAAAACAGCGTAGTGGAATGAGAAAACAAGAAAGGCTTTTGGACAAGGGTGATTTTGTTCAAGGGGGATGGTTAGGGCAAATTAATGTCCCCTCACCCATTTTTGTAGGTAGATCCCAATTACAATACTCGCCCACTACCTCCCAAAAATATTCATTACCCAAATCTGCACACATTTAACATCCACCACTTGTTTATGTTCCTCCTACAAATCATGTAAATGCAACAGTATGCTGCTGAGAATTGAGCATGTGCGTACATGCATACATACATATTTGAAAAACGCCCCCTAGAGTAAGCTTAGCATCCATGCCCCCCCATCCCCTAATGAATTTCCCAAATTGCTGCTTCTCCTCCACCCCCTCCACCCCCCATCAAAATCAAGGAACAGCCGCTTCAGGATTTCTTACTTTGGTTGTCCCATCCGAATGGATTGTCTGTCAGTACTTGGGTGTAGACATCTCCAGGGATACTGGCAAGACCTTCCGAGGCATCAAGGTGAATTTCCTCTAAATCAGACCTGAAAAACACAATCCATGTTTTCAAATAAAGCCTTTTTGCAAAAAAAAAAAGTACCGTAGGTGACATGAACTGTCAAATGTAGTGTACATTCCTTCACTTACGAAAATACGTAAGTGTCACATAACTGAGGCACATACAATCATGAGAAACAAAATACACTCCTGTTCAATTCTCTCACACACACGACGCAGAATTAGAAGGTTGTATGGCTTCTGACTCCCACAAAAGAACTTGAGAGCCAGTTCATACCTGCTGTGAATGTGAACCAAAATTTATGACTTCTCGTCAATTCTGTGCGCTGCAAATTTGCCAGAGTCAGACACATTTCAACTCTGGGGAATTTTGTTTTGTGACATTAAACCTATTATCAGATGGAATTTTGCGTCGGGGTGATATAAATCAAATTAGGTTTCGCCCTTCACCGACGTTTTTTTAATTTTTTTTAATTTTTTTTAAACACTGTATACTCAGTGTGTTACCTCCCGAGTGAAAGTTGGAACAAATCACTCGGGTGGGACTCGAACCCACGACCTCCTGCTTTCTGGTGCAGATGTCTTACCACTCGACCACCGAGCTAACGGGATCGGTTGGCCGGTTCGAATCTGATGTACATAGCAGCGGGTACCGCATAAACTATTATAAGATGCAATTTTGCGTCGGGGTGATATAAATCAAATTAGGTTTCGCCCTTCAACGAGGTTTTTTTTTTTTTTTTTTTTTTTTTTTTTAACACTGTATACTCAGTGTGTTACCTCCCGAGTGAAAGTTGGAAAAAATCACTCGGGTGATTTCGGCCTCACATTTGTATGAACCAGCCTTAATACTCAGAGAGCTTTTTCAGTATACAATTTTTTTTTAGTCCTGTTGGGGTCTGTTGCCAAAAGGGGACTAAAAACATTTGCAACAATATATTTATTTCCCAATAAATCTACATTCCCATACAATGCTGGGGTGATTTTGAGTAGTACACGCAGTAACAGGCAGGGGCGTTGGGGACTGTACGGAGACCAACTGGTTAAACCCAAGCATTATTTTCTCACCCCAGACCATAGGCGACGTCAATCTGCTCTTCAGCCTGGTACCACGCCTCTCGTTCAATGTGTCTGCCTGCTCTGACAGGCTCGGGCGAGGCCCTGCTGGATCCTGGGCCTCTCTGTTTCTCATCTCTACCAGATGCTCCTGTAGCTCTGCCGATATTTAAAGAAAAAAGCATTCAAGTTGAAGAGTGGTTTTAAAAGACTAATTTGTTGATTGCCATTACTGAGGTAGACCAAAGACCAAACACCAGGCCTCATAACACACATGTATATGAGGAAAGACAGCCTCATGCTTCAAATGTCTTCTTGGTTGCCTTGGTTGTCTTAGCTGTGCCGCCTCCCTTTAGTTTGATGGGCCTATTCTCCTGCACACTCGTGTGTCGCGTTTAACGCAGTACCCTATCAGTACGCGCGTAGGTATTACAATCAGGTTGACCCTTCCGTTGTGGGTCGATCTGACAATCGACGTGCTGGCCAGGATCAGACTTCAAACGGTCCGCCATGGTCCATCACGGAGGTGGCTCCACGGTTCACATGTAATCTGAAATCTGAAGTTTGCATGAGCACTGAGTGTACATGTACATGTACCACCTGGGCGCATGTATGATGCCACCCTTAAACGTGATGGTTCCTAATATGGGTACTCAGATAAGTCTATCAGTGAGCCAAGAAGTCTACGCCTAAGAGACATAAATTTTCAACCTCGTGGGCAACTTCTCGCATAGATTTTCTTGGAGTTAATTATCTGTTCTTCATCGTTTCAAAGAGAAAACCAAGTGCACACACAAATGCACTTAAGCCTTGTAGATGAACACCATTTGTTACTCACAGCTTCAACTTAAAGCATATCCAGAAAAACGTGAAAAAAAAGAGGTAGTTTGGACAAAGTTGTGAGTAAATGGTTTGGTGTTTAGGGGCAGTACAGTCACTAAAGGGCTTCAAAAGTCTAAGGGCCAAAGTCACACGAGGCAACTTTCACAGGCAACTTGGAGGCAACCCAATAGACTACAAGCTAAAGGAACCCTCACGATGAACAGTTGACATTTTTCAACAGTTTATGAACATTCCTTGCATATTACATGGAATAAAAATTCGCCTTTCATCGTCTTCTTGGAGATTGCCCAGAACAAGTTGCCCGTAAACAGCCTCATGTGTCGTAACTTTTTGTCTCTTTACCTTGCTGGGGATGCAGGTCGAGGTTGGTCTTCGCTCCCGCTGCTGTAAGAATCACTGGAGAAATCCTCCTCTTCAACGGAATCACTCAAAGAGTCAAAGTTATCTGGGAAAAATAACCCCCAAAACAGAAATACTGAACATGTGACGTTATGACAATCTTGAATTTCCAAAAATATTATCCCAAGAAGTCCACTCCCACAAATAAAGCCAATAACCCACAGAAGCTGCTAGCTCAATGGATTGTGTTGTCACTTTCATCTACTTTCTTTCATTTGTTACCTAGCTTATGCATAGGGTTTACCCCTGCAAAATACTTCAGAATATTCCAACAAATGTCTCGGATTGAGGAAACATAGAAATCCCTCGACTTCGCTCATTAAATCAGTAGGTTTGTTTTCAGTGGATCACCAATATTCAAACATGCCTTTTAAAGCTATAGTCCATCATTTGCAGCCATCTGAAAAGTAACTGGCGTAATTATTGTTGAAAAACATACTTGGTTGAAAGATAGTAAGTGGACTAAACTCCCTGTGAAATTATTCTTTCTGGCAAGCTGTCATTTTGAAGTAATCAACGAAAGAAGGCCTTTCCAACGGTGCGTCTTAAGACGCACCGTAGGAAAATTTAAACTAGTAGTTCGTTTTGTTATTCGGCGAAGCGCGCGCAAGCATTGGCACGACGCACAGGCGCGCCCGGTTGCTATAATTCGTCGGATCAGTGCGCGACATCGCGTATAGCTGCAATTCAAAACAATTCAAAACATGATTCAGCAACTTTTGATTTGAAATTGAGATCCTAGAATGCTGTTTTTCTCGGAATATACAGCTGAAGCTGAGCTGAAACTTCATCAGGTTAGTTATTCAGTATCCTTCATTAGATTTTGAACACTTTTGTTGGTTCAAACAAACAAAATGCACAAATTACAAATGATGGACTATATCTTTAAAGTTTGTGTACAAAAGAATCTGCCATGTTTTCCCCACGCATTTGAGATTTTTGAAAATTCATGAATGTTTCCAGCAAAAGTGCCTATGAAGTAGCTAGTTTTAAAAATTACCCTGTTTTGTTACAAAGGACCTATTTTAAGCAGCTGCTTGAACGTTGTGCAAAGCCAAGCAGAAAATATGAGTCCAGCAACAACCTACGAGATACAACACTTCACCAAGGTTCTTTTTCAGTTTGATTATTTTGTACCTGATTCAGAAGGCATCTCTTGCTCAATCTCATCTGCTTTCTGCTTAGCGACCGTCGCTAGGGCCATCTCTCCCTTGTCCAATGCAAGATAGTGAATGTCCTGATATAAGGTAAAAACAAAACATGATGCGACTTTTGCCATGATTTGCTGGTTTCCCCTCCCCCCCCCCCTAAAACCAAACTCTTTTTCTCATTTTCTAAGTTATGAAATCTTCCACTTTTAATGCATAGTTCTAAGATCGGCACTTCAGGGCCCAATTTTATGGCTCCGCTAACCAAGGAATTCCGTGCTTACCCGTCACCATTTTCTGCTAACCGCGCTAGCATAACAATTCTGTGCTTACCCTGTCAGCACAGAATCCTATGGGATATATGCATGGTCAGAAGCCAATATTTCTCGCTAATCCGTAAGCACGGAATTTTCTGCTAAGTAGGAATTTTTCAGTGCCAGTGACTGGCAGGGACCACATTATGGGGAAGTTTTCTATTGTTCGGAACAGTTGGACCAAGTTATGGGGACTTTCCACTTCCACACAACATTTTTTTGTGCGGAACACGACATGTAGTTACGCAAGTGTATACCTTACTGAGATCAGGAATTTATTATTGTGCTTACCAATACAAATATCAAGCTTTCTAGCTTATGGAAAGTGACAGTCACTTTTCCCAAGTAAACTATCCAGCAGATGTTTCTCATGCTACCAACTGCTTTAGGATATTAATGAAAAGCCGAATCAAAAATAAATTGCAGAGATATGGACGAAATTTGTTCTTCACCTGAAATTTCAATGCTTGGTTTTACCCAGTCACATCATATTGTTTTTAGTAACAATTAACTGGCCAGCTAACCCCAGCAAGCTTTGAAGTTGAGTGGTTAAGACATCTGCAGCTCATTTCACGAAACAGTGCGTAACTTACGCCATGCGTAGGACTTGCGCAACAAATTTATTGCGCAGCTGCGCAATACTTTACGATTGATTTCACGAAACATGGTGTAGCTGCACAACGTTTTAAATAATCTAAACATCTTAGATGAGATTAATAACAGTTTGTGTATGATTTTGTTTGCTTATGAAACAGTTATTCAATTACCTCCGCCCGCCATTTTGAAAGTAGTTTTGTCCCACTTTCTTCGGAATCGTGCGGCAACTCTAAAAACTATGTCACTAGTAAAATAGCTATTCACTTACTTCAAACACAAAGCTGTAAGTGTTTTGTATCATCCTTAATAAGTTGTGCAATAACAGGCTTCACAATGATCACGAATTGCTGGTAAAATAGGTCATTTTCAGTCGCCATGCCACAACTTACACCACCTAAAATGATTGCGCAAGTTATGCCATAATTTGTTGCGCAAATCGCGGATTTCAGCACTATGAAACTTTCGTGAAATTGTCATAACTGAAATGTTGCCCATCTTGAAATGTTGCGCACCTTACGCAATATCTTGTGGCGCAAGTGGACTTACGCCATTGCGTGAAGTTTCGTGAAATCGGCTGTTGCACTACTAAACAAGAGGCCTTGGGCCCAAGTCCCAGCCACAGTACAAAAAGGAGCAAAGCTGATTTAAAGATTTTTAGCGACAAGGTTTGTGTTTGCTTTTACCATGAAGAGGTCTCTTGAGTGGAGGTCAACGGCAAGCAAGAAGGCCTTCTCAAAGCGCTGATACCTCAACAGATAATGGAAGAATCGCCGCGCCAGACGACTGATGGGGTCGCGGTAGTCCACTACGATCACCTCAGACAGGGGCCTTAGAGGGGCGTAGAAGCTGCCCAGACTAGCCTCTAGGGCAGCTGGATTAAAAAAGGGGGAACGTTTTAGTAATCTGCATTTCCTTTATCTTTCTGGCATTATCTTTATAGGTGCGAGAACCAGTTTAATAGCAGTAGCAACATGTATGCTGTATCACATCACTGGGAGGGAAAACTTACAGATCACATACGAACAAAATAAAGTACTAATTGGAAGTTAGTTTGGTAATACCTCATGACTCTCAATCACCATCGAAATGTGAAATTAATAGCTAAAGTAGAACACAAACAGAAGTAGTAATATTAAAAAGGCAATTCTAGCGTTATGAAAGGAAATGTAATGTCTGGGACAGTGATTCAGAGAAATGATCCAAAACTCCTAATCTGTCATCTCCTTGACCATTACTAGATAATGGATGTATAAGATTTGAAAAATACATTTGCAGGTTTATTCACTGAGCTCTTAAAAGCTCGGTCACGGACATTTATTAATGCTGGAATTGCCCACAAGCATTTTTTATTCAAAAAGGTTGACGAGAAGCATTTTGGGTTGGTCAAAATTAATACATTTTCCCTGAATGCACGTCAACTTTTATTTCATACTTTGGACTTTAAGCATGCATAAAGAAAGGAAAGCTTGCAGATCACGTAGGGAAAAAATAAGTACTAAATATGAAGTTGATTTTGGTAATAAAATTTAATGTAATATATAAAGTACTTTTGACACTGAAAGATTGCCGAGAAGCATATTGGGTAAAAGACAATGGACAACCTGAATGTGGTTTTTTTTTTTCTTAAATGCAACTCAACTTTCCTTTCGTATTTTGGACTCGAGATCAACATGTAGCACTATGCACGAAACGGAAAGCCGTGCAAATCGAAACATTACCTCTTATTTGGGACAGAGATTTTTAGCTAGAGTGTCAGATTTTACAACTGGATGATTACAGCAATTGTCTTGATCTTACCTTCCCTGTCAGGGTTGAGTGGTAGCTTCAAGAGATTATTGATGATGGTGGTCAGGCAGGTAAAGCAGCTACCGCTGTCCGTGTTCCAGTTCATCACATTCAATAGGTTAACAGCCTCAACCAGAAAAAGAAAGCAAAAAATAATAATACATAAAATACTAATAATAGTAATTACATCAAATTAGGTTTTGCCCTTCACCGACGTTTTTAAACACTGTATACTCAGTGTGTTACCTCCCGAGTGAAAGTTGGAACAAATCACTCGGGTGGGACTCGAACCCACCACCTCCTGCTTTCTAGTGCAGATGTCTTACCACTCGACCACCGTGCTAACGTCGGTGAAGGGCAAAACCTAATTTGATTTATATCACCCCGACGCAAAACTCCATCTTATAATAGTTTATGCGGTACCCGCTGCTATGTACATCAGGTTCGAACCGGCCAACCGATCCCGTTAGCTCGGTGGTCGAGTGGTAAGACATCTGCACTAGAAAGCAGGAGGTGGTGGGTTCGAGTCCCACCCGAGTGATTTGTTCCAAATTTCACTCGGGAGGTAACACACCGAGTATACAGTGTTTAAAAACGTCGGTGAAGGGCAAAACCTAATTTGATTTATATCACCCCGACGCAAAACTCCATCTTATAATAGTAATTACCTTGGATTGGACATTTGGGAGACATTCCCATAGCTTGTGCACAACATTTTTCAAACTTAAATGTGCCCTAACCCAATATTCCCTTGTCCTTGTTCCACGAATTTCGTTATGTTTACTCATTAGACCACGAGCAACAAATATAATCTAATTGCGACAGTAAAATTTTGCCTCTAAAGGGGGGCTGTGACATTAGGGAGACATGAAAATGTTTCCCTAATGACCGATGTCTCTTATTGTGGTAAGAAATTACGATAACGTGTCTCCTTAGTGGTACCTTTACACGTATAATAATACAGAGACTCAATGCCTATTCAAAACCAGGGCCCAATTTCATAGAGCTGCTTAAGCACAAAACTTGCTTAAGCACGAAAAAACATTGCTTAGTAAAATTAGGTTACCGGCCAAAACTCCATGCGATGTACATTGCTTGTGACTGGTATTTAGCGGTTGTTTTTATTTAGCATAACAATCACATGGAGTTTTGGCCGGTAAACTGATTTTATTAAGCAAGACATTTTTGTGCTTAAGCAAATTTTGTGCTTAAGCAGTGCTTAAGCAGCTCTATGAAATTGGCCCCAGAATCACCTTTTCATCACACCACATGCAATCCGTTGAGGTGTTTTATAGACCATGTTACCAATGACGTAAAAACCGCCAGGCAACCCAAACACTTAAGCATCTTTTGCATGTTATTTGGCCCACGTTAAACTTTTTTTAGTGATTGTGGGATTTACTATTAGTTGTTCCACCACCGCAAGTGGAAAACAGAATAATGTAGTGCTTCCGTGTCCCATATGCAACTTGGCCGAATCGTCACGCAAACTTGATGCACAGTCAAGATGCAACGTGTACGCTGTGGTTGCGTTTCAGCTGTTAACCCTTTACATGTGCATGCATGTAGTTAAACGCATGAATCTTAAAACAACCTGCAATGGCATCGTGGAATATGGAGCATGCAATATGGACAAATACCACACTGTTGTTGCCATGGATCCACCAATCAGGATCAAGGACTCAAGTTTGCTTAAAGGCATATAGGATAATTTGCTCTTCATGCAGTTTGTTCGCTTCTGATAATAATACCGCTCAATAGCCAAAGAAGAATGTTCAGAACCTAACCTGTTGAAGTTTCAGCTCAGTGAATATTACACTCTTCAAAGAAACAGTGAAACACCATGCACAATCGTTTGATCATGAAACACTATTCCGTCAGCAGTATTTTTTTATTCCAAAAATCAGCCAACTGAATGATCGTTGGAAATCACCTTCATTTCTTGATTTCTTCTAAACGACAGCAACCCAGACTGAATAATTTCACGGGTGTTAAGAGTACCAGTCCGGCCTTTAATTCAAGTAAGAGTTTTGATAACAATTTGTTGGTTACTTTTGGGATAAATTCAAATGATCCTATATGCCTTTAACCCCTTGCCAACAGGTTGTTACGCCTCACTGCACAGGCTTATACACATCACTGCACAGTAGCCTCTGTACAGTAGCAGCTGCCTTGCAGCTGCCCCCAGACAGCATACCACGGCATACTGGGCCCTGCTATAGCAAGGAGGGATTAAGGATGAAGTACCAAGTCAACAGACCGTAAGGAAGTTCTCTTTTCTATGATTACCTCGTTGATTTGTTGATGGTTCAGGTACTGCTGGATGAGTTCCTGTGGCCCCAACTGGCCTCTACTAAGCACTCCCAGGTGAAGCTGCAAGATTGATATGGGGCCACTGAAATGTAAAGGAAGAGCAGAACTATTCATGATGGACCAAAAGTACATGACCTGTCACCACGAAATGAGCATAAAGTCAGAAATTTACCAATTTGCAGTACAGACGGGTAAAGTCAAAATCTGACAGGGTGGTCACTTTTTTGTTTTCAGGTCAACCTCCATCTGTTAGTCCTGTGCTACCTTTTCTCATTGATTTTGTTCCATCAGAAATCTTTAAAACCTCCATTCATCCTGGTTTATCAGTTGACTCTTCATTCACTTGAATACAACAGCAGGATTTTTAAATGCAATTTTTCAAAAATGACTTTTACAATCTAAGATTAGTTGGTGGTCTATATTTCCATTCCTGAAATCAGTACCCCTAAATGTTATATACATTACAATAATAATAATAATAATAATAATAACAACGGGTTGTAATATAGCACTTTGAACTAAGATCAAAGCACTTTACATTATTATTACCCTGCTCACTGGGCCAATGAAACATTCTAAATACCATCTCAGCTCCCTGGGGAGTTTACAGCTCGATGCTGCCATTTTGAGGCAAGGCAGCTACAATCAATCACAATAACCATCTCTGCCCTCACAGGTACTCATTTACTCCTGGGTGGAGAGAAGCAATGAGTGACAAAGTGCCTTGCCCAAGGACACACGCCCCATAACCCCAGGCGGGAAATGAACCCATAACCTGCAGAATTACCCGCAGACCATGAATTCAATGCTCCAGACCACGAGGCCACAGCACTCCAATTCAGCAAAAAGTATATAAAAGTAGCATGTTAACAACTTTCAGTTTGATACTTAAAGGGAATGTACAACATTTGCTTTTGCTGCAATTTCCAGAAATAAATGGATTTGGAGGATTAGTATGTCATAGCAAGTATTATTAAAATCACTTGTTTCACGTTTTGGGCTTGTAGATGTTGGAAAAACCAAGAAAACCAATCATGTTCTTGTAGGCTGGTTCCCTGACCCCTCTTAAGATGAAACGGAGCAATTTATAGACTTTGGGGATTTTAAGGTCAGAGAATCAGTCTAGCAGGCTTATACCCCTTCACAGGTGTGTAATCAATTGCAAAGAAAATGCAGAATAACTAAATATGAAAAATAAGGAGCAGTTTTTGAAAAAAGCCAGTTTTCTCCATAGCTGGTTGGCCAACCAGCGTTGGAAAAATACCATTTTTCTTGCAACTGTTGGCACACCAGGAGCCACGATTTTACAGGATGCTTTAGACTGTCATTCCCTAACAATCCAATAACTTATTTCATGATAATTTGATCAGTTCGTTTTTGGATGTCTGGAAATGTTGTATCTTCCCTTTAACATTTTGGGAAAACAGGGAATACTCCATTCATGATTTAATCATAAACTCCAATTTCCTCTTTATCCTTTCAACTTCGGAAAATCCCCACATGCCTACTTCCTTTAATTGTTACTCACCCATTGAAAATCATCAAAAGAGAATCTTGGGCATCGGCAATGCAGTCAGATAAACTGGTGGAATGGCTCCACACGAGGGTTCCAATTGTGACCGGGGATCTGTTTCAGGGGGAAAAATGTTTTCAACGGAAATCAACCATGTCAAAATGATCACAAATACAGCCAATGTATTCTTTTGGCGCAAATTCTAATGCCAATTTGTGACATAATGGAAAAAAGTATTTGGGCTACACATTTCCAAAAGTACGAGTACGAGCTGGATTTATAGGCTCCGTGCACAAGTACCCCCTCACAGGCAAGAAAGGGAGAGTTGGGGGAGACCATCGGGTGAGACATTCAGCCGCAACGTCCGACGCTCACGCGAAGACATTATGGCGTTGTGCGCATTCAGAAGAAAATAAGTAGTGCAACTCTGCACTATGCGCGCGGAAACTAGTACGCGCACGTGGTGTGGCCCATCCACGAGGTTCTCAAAAGTGGTTGGCGCACTGAAATCATATAGCTGTATAGTCTTGGTATAATCAGAAGATAGGTGTAGACACAAATCATTCTTACCTGAAACACTTTGTGAGTTGTAACGTCGGTAAGCTGCGAGATGTCTCCCCGACGGTGAGTAGATTGAGAGGGTTCAGAGCCATGTCGAAACACTGCTATGATGAAAGTGGGAATAATATTCATGTTGGGATCTGGGCACAAGGTCATGGAAGTGCTTACTAAGAATACTGTTTAGCAAATTTATGTTCTAAGCAAAATCCAGCTGACAGCCAGTGTTGAACAGTTAGTCTGAGTATCACCCGTTGTCTAACGGAACCCTCTCCGTAACCAATATCTGATTTATGTGAGCAAAGCACATTTTATGCCATCCCACGCGCCAGCCAATCAGAGTCGATTTTAGAAATTGTGACGTCGTTTCGAAATGTGGACTAAGCTGTTGATTGGTCAATTTGCCTGCCACGGGTTACCCAAGACCCGATAGAAGGCACCCAGTGAATGGTCAGAATCTCAAGGTTTAAGACGCAGTCTTGTTTTCGAATAATTATTCGCTGACTCTGCTCCCATATCATCGACCCTTCCTGTGCAAGGGGGTATTCCACAGACTATCAAACAGTGTGCATCACAAGACATGTTGGGTGTCAACCTGTTTCTGCTAAATTAACATTTTATATGTCTTGCGGTTATGTACTATGTTCACAAGTACCCCCTCTATCAGTCACAAAGAGAGAGTTGGGAGAGAACACTGGGAGGGACTCGAACATATAGTCGCTGTACACCTGTTGCTCACATTAATAATACCGAAGTCTTATATAGCGCACGTATCTACCAACAATTAGGTACTCAAGGCGCTGGAAATTATGTCTATTACTAGAGACAGGTAAATGAAGTACATGAGAAATATGAGAACCATTATGTAGCACCTTTATAATGGTTTACAAGGTGCTGCGGCGCATTAAGCAGCCACTGCCAGAAACACCGGGGCAAACCCCTTCTCTTTAGCGATAAGTGTCACTGGGTTCTTTAACATGCATTACACAACACACAGGACCTACGGCTTCACGTCCCATCCGAAGGACGAAGCAATAATGGTAAAGCGCCTTGCTGAGGAGCGCAAGCACCATGTCCCCACGGTCAGGATTTGAACCCATGCACCACGGCACACGAGTCGAACACCATAACCACTGGACCACAGCACCCCAATAATTTTACGGTTCTGTTTGACAAAATGAAAATTACAATCTTTTGTTGTCTCCAACCAGGTTATGTGTGTCACTCGATTTCAGTTTAAAGGCATATAGGATCATTTGCCCTTCATGCATTTGGTTCGTTTCTGATAATAACACAACTCAAAATCCAAAGAAGAATGTTCAAAAACCTAACCCGTTGAAGTTTCAGCTCAGTGGATATTACCACTTTTCGAGGAAACACTGAAAAAATGTGCACAATGATTTTTTGTTGATAGCAAGTCAATCAGTTAACTGATCATTGGAAATCACCTCCATTTCTTGATTTCTTCCAAATGATGGCAAGCCAGACAGAATTTCACGGGGTATTTAGTACCAGTACGATCTTTAATCCATGTAAGCTTTTTGATAATAATTTGGTAGGTTACTTTTCGAGATAAATGCAACTGATACTATATGCCTTTGTTGTGCCCATTCTTGAAAATCACGCATTCTCGAGAATGGGCATGCACATTCTTGAGAATGTGCAACTGGATCCTTGCTCAATCTTGGCAAAAAATAACTCTTCCAGATTGAGCGCACATTCTTGAGAATGCGCGACAAGATAACGGTCTTGTCGATGCCGAGCACCGGCTGCGCTTGGCAAGTCTAGCTGAATCCTCGTTCACTGATTCTCAATAATTATACTGTTGCAACGCAAGGCGCTGAAAAGTAGAGTGGATATGATAAGTAAAGGCGTATTGATATGGGGGGGGGGGACGGGAAAAAATAAGAGACATAATAATACTAGTGCAAAGAATTCTGATTTTTGGGATAATAAAAGCGGGGGGGGGGGGGGGGGGGGGGGTAAGAATGATGAATGTGAAGAATGAAATGAATACTGCGACATCCCATAGTGCTAATGCTATTTCCCATTTAAATTGCCACCAATTTATTGTTCACATCCCACCATAACATCGTTTTTTTTCTCGTGGCACGCATATGATACATGCAGGGACTTGTAACTTGTCTAGCCTAAACAAAGCACTTCCCAGACTAGTTCCCAGTCCTCCGTTATTACAAAACTTCCCATAGTGGGCAGAAAAAAGCAATAATAACAGGTTTAATATGATTCAAATTATCGTAGTTATACGAGTACAGAAGCATAGAACATTTTCTTTCCTCTTTATATGAATTGTTTCCCTTTTAACCGCTATACAATTCATTTAACATAATTATGTCGTGCAATGTTTGTTAAGATTGGGCAAAATTCATAAATTGTGCACGTGATATTCCCACCCAATCTTAAGAATGAGCGCTCATTCTTAAGAACGCGTGCTCGTTCTTAAGAATGGGCGCTCATTCTTAAGAATGCGCGCCCATTCTCGAGAATGTGCATGCCCATTCTCGAGAATGCGTGATTTCCAAGAATGGGCACAACACCTTTAAAATAAAAAAAAAAGGCTGCATCAAAGATGTCAATGATTATAAACGGTGAGCCTACCTGAATTTCTCCTTTGTTGCCAGAGACAAGGACCAGACTACCTGCAGGGTGCCATGTGATCAGGGATGACACCTGACAAACAGAAAAAAACAACAGCCATGAAGTTTGTTAATGGCTTGATCAGTCACAGACAGTCAAAACATTTCTTCCACTTCCCCTGCCGTGCATTTGTATACAGACTAGTAGTAAACAGTCAGATCACATTCCTGTAAACACTCTGACTAGTCAAATTCCATCAACAGACAAAAGAGGTGACTGGTAGGTACAGCTGGCATATCAGTCACCTCCAGTCAAAGCATGGCTATATCAAATTAAGAAGGGAATTAAGAAATGTTAAAAACAGTCACATTGATTTTAACTGCTGTGATGGCGTAGCTGAATTTGCCAGCAAGAGAGGGGTTTTAAAGGGCCCATGCAATGTAATTTTTTTAATGCAGTCCTTAAAAAAGCACCTCTGTGTCCCATTTAACCTTATTTTCAATTTTCGTTTAGCCATTTTCAATGGTATTTTGTTGCCTTTTTGGTTTTTATGCTAATAACAATTTCCATATTTATGAGCAAAAATGTGATGTCATTTCAGGCAGAAACCTCTATGTTACAGCTATTTCAGTACCAAAAGTTGCCAGAATTGTAGATATTTTGCTGTCGTGAAATGTCTTTTCTTTGGTGATTTATTGTAGTGTCAGTACATGGCAGTAAGCCAATGAGCAAACTTTTCACACAAATATTTTCAATGAGCAAATTTTGGGTTCACAATTTCAACAGAAAACCCCTAAACTGAACAGTGTCTTCCTGAAATGACTTTACAACAACAACGCCCTCAGTTGTCTGAAAAAGCATGGAACATTTTTAATGTTTAAAGAAGTGCACTTTTCAATCAACTTAGCCAAATACAGATGTCAAATAGTTTTCATACATTTAAGAGGAGTGCAAATTTCGCAGAAAATGTGTTCCTAAGAAAAATATATTTCATGAACCCTTTAAGTTTGTTAATTATTAAAGATGTAATTTCTTCAATAAACAAAGTACACTCAGTAGCACTGACAACTCCGTCGCCCCGGAATATTGTTGTTTTTTTCATTCAAAATGAAACGCTGCATTATTTGTAAAAATAACAAATGGTGTAAACAATGCTGTTAAATTTATTACACTGCAGCAGAAAAATGTTTTTAAGAAAATGTCTTACCAAGTCTGACTGTACGAACTGAGTGACTCGTTTGCTCTCGTCATACAACACCTGAAAAAAATTACAGGAAAAAACTGAATATTCATACTCATTCATAAATACCTAAGACAGTTTATCCATTCCTATTGGTCGAGAGCCCGTCAAGTGCCCGGTGTTAAACGGTTGATAAAACACCGGCTGGCTGGTCTTAAACACTTTTCCAGTGTCACACGAAAACTCCTAAGAAAATCTGGTCCCTTTGAACATTCACAATCCTCACTCAGCATGCGCAATACTAACAATGAGTCAGTATTTCATAGTCACAAATTCACACTAAACCGGAACAGCTGCGTTCTGCGCCACTTCGCCATATAAGGAGTTGTTTACGATTACTCGCGAGAGGCATACAATAACTAATTAGAGGGGTGTTTAAAAAACATGAAGTAAACTTGTCAAACAAAATCGTTGGAAATTTATAATTTTGATTTGTTTGGACTGTTTAACCGGCTCAGGTCATTATCAGCATGCAGACTCTCCAAATTGGTCTTAAAAACAGTGTTTGAAATGGCCAAGCAAAACATTTATTCCCCTATTAATGGCAGATCTTTCAGAAAACTGAAAGAGCTGTCTTGGAACTACAGTTTCCTCGTCCGTAAACTTAAGATGAAAGCACTCACCAACTTGCCATCTGAACAGCCCAGGATTAACTTGTCTTCAGAGTGGTTTCGCCCGTGCGCAACAACTCTGGCTGAATGAAGAAAGTAGCAGACAAAATGTTAGGGGAGTTTTATACTAAATTTGATATGAGTAATCAAAATAAAATGTGACTTCAACTATGGAAAGAATGTTTGTTTTGCTCACTGACTGCATTCAACTGTAGTCCAAATGTCCTAATGGGCCATTGACCCTTAATGCTAAATTGGTCTGGAACAAATTTCAGACCTTTGGAACAACAGCAGTGGTACCTAATTACCATGTATTCGGACATCAAAGAAAAAGCTGACTGGCCAGGAGAATGATTACAAACAACAACTGATCAGTACAAAATGTAAAAGATATGATATTTATTTCAAACCACACACAAAATCTGAAGCTGTGGATTGTTTCTTTTTCTGGAGAATAATACGACACGATCCTCCTAAAATTGGCTTAGGGTGACACTGGTCTATTATTCAAATTCGTAACGATTTTCACTGGTGCTTTAATTACAGTCTAATGAAAAAAGGTTTGCTTACCTTTGAGTGGTATTGTAGTAACAGTAGCTCTTTGAATCTACAAGGGAAAATGTTCAGGAATTGTCCAAAAAGACTTGGTTTAACGTTAATTAATTGAAATGTTTTATTTAATATTTTTAGACGGCAATCTTTAAATATTTGGTTAATTTCGGATTTGATTCCAGATTCATATATTGATTTTTAGGAAAAATTAAAATTTGAAATTGTCACAATCACATTCTTGCCAAGAAAAGTATAACATTTACCTTAATGATTTTTTAAAGGGAAATTATAAAAACTGTAAACATACTTCATAAAGCTCTTGGAATGCATTCATAGTAAAACACTGGTAGACCAATTAGAGAAAACCCAAAACACAAGACAAACATACCCTTGTTTTGAGCACTCATAAATGCAAGTATCTACGTTGTAATCTCCGGACGTGGAGGATGAAACCCCTTCCAAAGTATAGATGTGTCTTGGTTGACTATGACTGGAAACAGGCAATGACCAAAGGCAAAGGGTAAACGTGCAGATAAAAGTAAAGAGAGATTTTGATTTTGATATATTTCGGGAACTAAAAGTAAACTCCACTGGGATTGTGTATGATTTGCACTTAAAATAAACCATGTTGGTATCCATTGTTTTTTAGACTGTGAAAATTGATTAGCGGTTCACGCAACATATTTTAGTCGTTTATATACGACAACCTGATAAATCTATGGTACATTTCCTCACATACCCCAGGAACATCACCTCAAATGTTCTTAAAGAGTTTTGAATATTTTTATCCCCACTGGTCTAGAGTAGACCCTACGCACAGGTTAGGTCAACGCAGATGTGCATGTCAACGACCAACGATTTGACTTCTCAAGTAAGTGTATAGGGGTGTCAAAACAAATATTAAAAAAAACTGTCTGTCTGCAAAAACAATCCTTTCATTCCCTCTCAAAGACCTAAAGCAGTCATAAAAATACCATAGTATAATACCACAAATATTGTGTTTACTGTTTAGTGATATAGGCCATATGGGTGCAGACCAGTAAATCGGTCCGAAATTGCCTACGCCGGCCAAATCACGATTTGCATGCCCTCAAACTCTTCAGTATTTGAGCATGCTGTGGGCCATGAACTTGAGGGTTTGTAAAAAAATATGGGTGGAAGCCGTGCACAGAACTGGGAGCTTGCAGTTCTGTGTAATTTGGATGTACATTGTGTAATTTGGACCCTAGAAGCGCTCTATTTTGCAATGGAGTGTAGGCATGTTTTTTCAAAATGGCGATGGGCTTCAGGACTATTTTCAGGGGTGATAATCTTCAGATGAAAATTTCTCCTAAAAGTCATCAGTTGACCCCCCGAAAATTGAAAAGAAAATGAAAGATGATGAAATAAGCTTTAATTTGATGTGTGTCTCGAACACCTTGGAGAGTTGTGAGTATTTTTCCCGAATTTTTGAAGTGGGAGCATTTACCACTGGGGTCTATGGAAGTTTATTTACTGGTCTGCGACCATATATTTTGTACACCATGGAAAGACAAATGGCACCCCCAGTTTCCACTGGAGTGGCATTGAACCCCCCTACTTCTTGGGTTTACAAAATCTTTTGGACTAATTGACAGCAGACAGTTTGTATGTTGCATACATGTGGTATATACGGGGAGTCAGGTTGGCGTAGCGGTACTTTCCTTGCCTTCCACCGCTGTGACCCGGGTTCGAGTCCCGCCTGGGCCAATATGTGGATTGGCTTTTCAGTCCCTACCGGATTCCGTGGGTTTCCCCCAGAATATTCTTCTGGGCTTTTCCTCCCACCTCTAAAGCTGTAATTTCTTCTCATTGTCTTCTCTCCACAGGTTTCTTCAGGCTTGCGAGCTTACAGTGGCTAGGGCGCTTTTGAGGAATCCTTGGTTTCATTACCAGAAATGATTAATAATAATAATAATAATAATAATAACACTGGATATTTTATACCTGAAGGTGACATCCAGAGGTTCATACTCAGTGCTGACAAAACACAACTCTTCCAGTTTGGATCTGCAACAGCAAAAAATAGAACTACATGTATTTGGAAATTGATTCATTTGGAACAATTTAAAGACAAAATCTGCACTTTTCCATTCACGAGGCGAAGCCGAGTGAACTGGAAAAGTCCAGATTTTACAGAGCGATAATATTCCTCCCATTTCACAATTTAAAGCCACTCAATATTTGTTTTATATAACTGACATATAGATCCTTGTCATTTGATATATTTGAACTTTTATTTCAACATTGGTGGAAAATGTATTTCTCTCTTCCAAACCACCCCTTCACGAAAATGTTTCAATACAACTTAGTAGCGCTCTCTCTTTGTAACAATACGCGCTACGCGCAACGCCGAATGCGCACACCAGCATGCATTTGCACACAAATACCGCGTCATGGAACAAGAATGATCCTAACTGTTGCATAGTATTTCCCATTCCCCATGGGCGAATGGGACTTTTTGAGCCCCGGCATGAATGGCAGCAATAACGAATGTCCTGTGATGTGAGTTTCACCAATCAAATGACAAGGATCTGTATGTCAGTTATATAAACACTGCTATATGTGCCTCACCCATTGACTGCATACAGGAAGACATTAGCCCTCTCTTTGTCACTAGTCATAGGAGTCCAGGGCCAGGCTGAGGAATCATCCCTGCCAGTACAGCACCAGACTAACACCTGGGGGCACATATAAGTAACAAATCAGGTTTCAAGTATATTTCACACTACTGAAACACATAAGATACAAGTAATGTTGATGTCCCCTAATGTGGTGTGGCCCCTGAGAGATAGTGCGTTTTTTTAATATAAATACTGTATTATAATTATTATTATTATTACTTACATTTTTTGCCTATAGCGCCTTGCTGGAGCAAAAGATTTACCTGAAATTTCACATCAGGCTCCAAACATTCCCGTTCATGAACAAATTTAGCAGAGAAATTTATTTTGGTGTGATTCTCCGATTTTATCCGAAGTGCACAGTGCACCCTTTAAAAATGCGCCAAAAAGACAATAATTTTCTGCCAAACTTCTAGTTGGGTGCATGAGTAGAAATAATAATGGTTTATCAAAATTGTTCAGCTTTAAAGAAATTCTTAAATGTTAACTGCGCCACCGAGTGCACCACGTTAAAAAACATAACTATAAAGATTAAGGCCAAATACACTATTGTCTTCCCTACCCGTATTCAAATCAACACCGGGGTCAATTTCACGAGACTCATCGTAACTTACGATGCATCGTAAAGTTACGACGTGTCTTAGCCTTGCGATGAATCTTAGCTGCGATGCATCCTACGAACCATTTCACCAAACTCATCGTAACAGCAATGCATCAAATTAGGTTTTGCCCTTCACCGACATTTTTAAACACTGTATTCTCAGTGTGTTACCTCCCGAGTGAAAGTTGGAAAAAATCCCTCGGGTGGGACTCGAACCCACGACCTCCTGCCCTCTAGTGCAGACGTCTCACCACTTGACCGCCGAGCTAACGGGATCGGTTGGCTGGTTCGAATCGGATGTACATAGCAGCGGGTACCGCATAAACTATTATAAGATGGAATTTTGCGTCGGGGTGATATAAATCAAATTAGGTTTTGCCCTTCACCGACATTTTCTAAACACTGTATACTCAGTGTGTTACCTCCCGAGTGAAAGTTGGAAAAAATCTCTTGGGTGGGACCCGAACCCACGACCTCCTGCCCTCTAGTGCAGACGTCAGTAACAGCAATGCATTGCAAAACTTTTTTTTAGCATATTACGGTGACTATTTCATGTCTGTAGTATCCGAACAGGAAACAGTCTTCCAGTAACCACCAAAGAGTCGTCAGATTTCTCTAAAAAAAGTTTCAAATTGCAAAACATAATGGCGGTCGATAATAGTTGATTTGAGGACAAAACAATGCTCGAAACAGTTGTTTGACTGGAATTTTCTGCTTAATTGTCAAGGTAAGTCACATGTACGCAACAGTAATTTACATTTAGATAATTTAACGAACATTATCACATGATGTTGGTTTTCTTTTTTTCACTTGTCATGCCGTAAAACTGGCTTCCAAAAGACACTTCATAACTTACGATGACCCACAGACACGTCTTAACTTATGACGTGTTCCACACCGTCGTCAAGGTACTTACGATGTGTTCAACTCATAGTAAGTTTCGTGAAATCGATTTTAAGAAGCATCATAAGTTGCGATGGGTTATTTTTTCGTAAGTTGAGTTACGATCGATCGTAGTGCTTCGTGAAATCGACCCCAGGTCCACTGTAAGCAGAACCGAGTCCCCCCAAACTCGGGAACCCAAGGTGTAGGATTCACACTTACACCAGGTTTTACATGGGTAGGCTATAGATCTCGGATGAGCTACCCGGGTAGAGCCTCTAAACCCTGGTCCTGACCAGGGTCAGATTTTAGGTAAATAGGTAAACGATGAAGAGACAAGAACTAAAGATGGATGACCAACTCACCCACTCCTGGCTGACATTGACGGACAGCTTTCTCTCTCGTTTGGTCTTAACCCCAGGTAGGTCTACATGGGTTATCTAAAAATACAGAACCAACAATAAACTTAAAGATAATTTACTTTTCAGAAATGTTGTACCGCTAACTGATCATAATGCAAGACACCAAGGGATAGCCAATTGTCTTCTAACCGAGTAACTAAGTGACTGATTGACTGAGTCATTAAGTATAAACTATACTTAATAACATCCTGAACTGAACATTTTACACTCAGGCTGACTAGGCATGCCTAGACTCGTTTGACCCATTTTTATTTGGTATAAATGTCAGTTAATATTATACACTTGGAGACGATTCGTCCATGAACTGAGGGATCATCTATGGGCTTTGTGCACACAATACAAGTACCACTATTACATTACATTTGTGGATCGAACGATGAATTTGTTTATTTTTTTCAGTCCATGAAACGTGGCGTTATGTGGAGCGCTGTGGTCCAGTGGTTACTGTATTCGACCACAAGTGCCGTGGTACGTGGTTCAAACCCTGACGGGCAACTTGGTGCTTGTGTCCTTGGGCAAGACACTCTACTACAATTGCCTCTCTTCACCCAGGAGTGTAACTATTCGTAAGAGTGAAAAGCCTGCCCAGTGTAACAGGATCCAACCGGGTCGACTGTCCCGAAGCCAAACTACCTCCGAGTCTGTTGTTGCCAACTGTAATGGGATATAGCAGTGGCATTGTTCCATGGGACTAGCTCACATTGTCTCAGAATTGGTAGGTGTTAACCCTAACCCCCTAGGCCCTCTGGCAAGGATGCAACCTCAATCCTGGAAAATCCTCCAATTGCCACCAAGAAAAAATTGGATTCAGCCTCAATCCTCCAAAATCATCCGTTATTTCTTGAATTTAGTCTGTGGGGGGTGATGACCACAGCCTCAATCCTCTGCCAATTACTGCTATGGTTTGAGGCAGTGCGAATGGCGCTTAGAAGCAGTGCGGATGAAATACAAGAAAAAGATAGGGCTGATTTATGCATGGCTGAACATAACCAATGCAGGATATGGCCTACTGGCTTGACGTAATGCATCCTCCTCAAAAAAAGCGATACATCTTTGCCATTCATTCTCAATCCTCTAAAATCATCCAAAACCGGCAGGAGGATTTTGGAGGATTGAGGAGGGTTAGGTTAATGGCCCAATGCAGCAAGGTCCCACAGACGTTTACACCTGTTGCACTGTGTTGCATCTGGCAGGGTTAGGAAATCCTGGTTACCAACAGAGGAAAAGGTCTCTCCTTACCTTTGGATCGTAGGAAGACATCTTGTCCATCTTCTTCCCAGTCTCTTGCCCAGAGGAGGGTCGCTTACTGAAGTACGCATACCCGAGTTTGGGTTTATCGGGAAAGGTACAAACAACGAAGGAGTCTGTCACAACAGCTATGTTGAGGAGAAATGTAAACAGTCACAGTTTTCTTTATGTGTAAATGTGCAATCTTTCTCATCTAACGACTAATTTCACTCTCACATTTCATAGTTGTGCCGAAGTAATTCATTGCGAAAATGTACTTAAATGAATGACCCATATTATGGGCCTACTGATCCTACCCGTGAATGGGGGACAGAACAGTTTGTCACTGAAAATGTGAGGTTTTTTAAGCGAAACAGCATAAAACTGACTTACATATGGGCTGCCATGCATAAAGCCACAGTAATGTTAGACACAATTTGTAAACATTGGTACACTAAATGGAGGTTTAAATCCTATCCAATCCCAACCTGAATAAATCAAATCTGTTCAAATCCCGAATCTGTTCAAATCCCGAATCTGTTCAAATCCCAAACATTCCTCACCGCTGTTAATGTTCTCAGAACAGAATTTCCCCTGTAGCGTTTTGTCTATGAGAATGCGCTCCACATCGCCGCTATGCGCCGATACTTGGAACGACAGCAGGACACAATTACTCAGCATGACCTGCAAAAACCAAAGAAGACAAAAGTGTTTATGGACCCAATCCACCATACCCCCTCACAATACACCCAGCGCCCACACACACACCCTTACACAGGCATAGAAGTGGGGTACTTCTTTTGTTCTCGTGTACTAAAATTTTGCAATGTCGCACACTAATTTGAAAATGCTCTTATTTTATCCAGAATTAGTTTCCTGGGCTGAAATTCGGACTTAACATCCCTTTTCTAAAACTCTTCCATTTGCGACACATCAACATACCTTGGAAATTCCTAGTTTTTGAGTAAAATCCATATATCTATTTCGTGAAAAACTTGTGGGGTACCAATGCAAAACGGTACCCCGCAAGTCGGTGGGCATTCCATGATCTGAAATTTTGGTTCAATTCCATCGGTAAACAACAGAGTTACTGAGGATCAAAAGTAGGACATGTTTTTTTTTACACGTAGTACAAGTGTGTACAGTGAGCTAAGTACATGTAGCTTACAGTGCAAAAATTGTGTTTTTCGCAAGCGTCATCAATGTGAATCTGTTTTGGTTTTCCATGTAGCCTGGTTTTCATTCTCCACAAATGACATTCAAAACCTTTCTTTTTTATTGTCTGAGACGTTACTAAATATATAAGGTTAGTTACGGGTACCTGCATGATCCCATAATCTGGAACCAGTTCCTGAAATCAGCGGTCGGGTACCCGGGTACTCGGGTACCTGGTTCTAATGCACATATAACCAACTGATCAAATGTCAGTTTGGCTTCCAGTGTTAGGCTGTGTCCCACGCTACGGCTGGGAAATAGCATGCGCACCTATGGAAGCCACTGGCTAGCCGCTACAGCTACTTCCCATAGACTCATGTGTAATTGCCGGCTGCGGCCAAGTGATGTAGACAAGGCCTTATTCCAATTTTCAGGGATGTGATTGGTCTGTGACAAAAAACCTGAAAATGTTATGCATGAAGTGCAAACTCTGGTGAGCGTGAAGCGCGAAGCCATTACGGCTAGGGGTCCGGGGCCCGCTTAAGGGCCCCGGAAAATTTTTGATTTTAGATGCTCTGTGGTGCAATCTGAGGCGATTACTGGGCACTTTCCTCTGAAATTTTGGAGCAGAATTTGTTTTAATTTTAAGAAGAATTTTCCTTCATTTGTTAAAATGTACTCTTGTTCTTATAAAGTTTTTTCTGTACTCAAAGTTGAGAACCATGCATTTTCAAGTTACCTCGCCGTATTTGCCATGCTTTGATGTGCTTTGGGTGTTTCACATGCACATGGGATACGAGCGATTTCATTCCACTCGACGCGTAGTTGATAATGTCATTGCAAACATTGCAAAACTTGCCAGCGGTTGCTATTTTATCAAAACACTCTTGAAATTCATGCTGATGCCCGTCAATAATAACAGAGTCCCGAAACCATTCCCACCGGAACTTATTTTTCACATCTTTATCAAGCTCTCACACTGATAAATTTCCTTGCGACAGCCATGTTGGAAGCATACGTACACAAACACTCGTACTCCGAACCGACGCACGTAAAACAACAACGCGCATAATCCACGTGATCATGGGCGTCGCGAGGGGGGGGGCAAGGGGGGGCACTTGCCCCCCCCCCCCTGGAAAAGCACAAAAAAAAAAAAAAAAAAAAAAAAAAAGGAAGAAAAAAGGAAGAAAAAAAAGAAAAGAAAAAGAGGCGCGAAGACAAAGTGGTGTAAATTTAATGAGTTGGGGGGGGGGGAATGTCCCTGCCCCCCTCTAAAACTGATAAATCGAGAATGTGTTGAGAAATACAAGCCTTTTTTGGCAAAAAAATCTAGAAAAAATCCTGGCGACGCCCATGCACGTGATTGTACTGTACTGTATGACATGCATTGTGCACGCTAAGTAATATTAGTCTGTACACTTGACCAGCGCAACACGTGCATCGCGAATACCGACACAGGAACTAGACCTAAATAATCACAACCTCAGACTCGAGTGAAAAATCACATGATCGCACTAACGGCAACGCATGCTCTTCAACTTCGTTCTCACATTGGGTATTCAATATGTGCATGTGTTAAAAGATATATCGATCAACGAAGTAATGTCCGATTTCGGCAAGCAAAACTCATTATGAGTAGATAATTACCACATTTTACCCTCTATTTCTCAACAGATTCACATGATTCACGTTGGTGGACTTTTGAGGCCCAAAAAGACGGAATTCCGGAAAAAAGACGGAGAAATCACATCCCTGAATTTCACTGCAGCACTCTAGCTGCATTTGATACCTGTAACCAGCTGCAAACAGATTACTACTGCTTAAAGCTACAGTCCATCATTTGTAATTTGTGCATTTTGTTCGTTTGAAGCAACAAGAGAGTTCAAAATCTAATGAAGGATACTGAGCAACTAACCAGATGAACTTTCAGCTAAGCTTCAGCTGTACATTCTGAGAAAAACAGCATTCTAAGATCTCAATTTCAAATCAAAAGTTACTAAATAATGTTTTGAATTGTTTTGGATTGCAGCTATACGCGACGTCGCGCACTGATCCGACGAATTATAACAACCGCGCGCGCGTGTGCGTCGTTCCAATACTTGTGCGCGCTGCGCTGAATAGCAAAACAAACTACTAATTTAAATTTTCCTACGGTGCTTCTTAAGAATCACCGTTGGAAATGCCTTCTTTCGTTGATTACTTCAAAATGACAACTTCCCAGAAAGAATAATTTCACAGGGAGTTTAGTTCCCTTACTATCTTTCAACCAAGGTTGTTTTTCAGCAATAATTACGCCAGTTACTTTTTGGATGGCTGCAAATGATGGACTATAGCTTTAACAGCAAAAGTCTACAGAGAACCAGTTATAAATCTGCATATACTTCTTGTAATGTTGGCTGGTACCCTATTTCACCTAAGTGATATTGGCAATGCCTTAATTGGACTTACCTGGAATTGCCGCCTCGATCTCCATCTTGTGAACACTACCTGGTGGCTTGTCAATAGATCCTATGAGATACAAACAGAAGCATTATGTAGCATTGGCCTGTCTCATATAATAACTCAATATAACATAAGTTAATGGTCCCAGACTGATGGCTCCCAGGGAGTGCAAGTTGCACACAATCACATGTTAAGTAACGTCGACTTTGGGCAGCACTTAATGAGAGACAATAACATTTATTGCTTGTTGGTGTTCCTGAGAGTATAACACCGCGTTCCCACTTGATTTGGAAAAAGGTGGATCAAGATCCGGCATTTTGGTGTGATCGTTATAACAGTGGTTTAAGATCTTACCGCAACGAAACCGCAAGTCGCGTTCCCACTTATGCTTGATCCACCTTTTCGTACGGAAATGTTGGGTCCGAAAGGTCACTGAGTTCGGAATTACGCGCGCTCTGTGTGAGTGCCATTGTTGCATGGTTGCATGCTAGGCCAGGATGGGTCAGTTTTCAAACAGCACTATCAGAATTCACAGACAAAAATTACGCGAATTCACCAACATAAATCACGGATCCGTAGAGGATCCGTGCGTGCATAAATTAAAAGGTGAAATCCAACAGAGCCGCTCACGTGTGACATCACGGCAGAAACCAATGCATCGATAAGGGATTCCCTGGTTCTGAAGCTTCTCATTGGTTAGAAACGGTCACATGATGTACTACGACATCATTTTCCAATTTTCTATAATCAATACTTCAGATTTGTCACCTCCGTACGTACCGCGTTATCGGCACTATTCTCATCGCATACTCGTAAGCTTTTCAATGATTCTGTGCCAAAGTGAAGTCTTTTGGTGAGTGCGGACTCAGAGTCATTTATGGATAGAAAAATAAGTAAAATTTCAGGAATGAAAAAGGTTTAGTAATGGACGAACACGCAACAAAAATAAGGCCTATAGTGTAGTTTTAGGATACCACATGCGCTTTTGCATGCGCGGTGCTAGCCCGTAGTTCAGCGGTTGTTTATTGTGCATGTTGTAAACGCTGAAAATGTTCACATGAGCTACACGCCTGAAAACGTGTTTCTTCGTTCATGAGACCGCAACATTTTCACGCCACTCGTGCACCGGGCGGATGTTAACAGGTCAAATTGCCGGATCTGATCCACCTTTTGCGTTCCCATCTGATCGTGATCCGGCAATTGCCGGATCTGATCCACCAATTGGGGGATCTGTATCCTGGTCCAGAGGTGGATCAGAAAAGGTGGATCTGATCCTGATCCACCTTATAACGGTTAGCGTTCCCACTACACACAATTACCGGATCTGATCCACCAATTGGGGGATCTGATCCGGCAATTTGGCAAAAGGTGGATCAGATCCCCCAATTGGTGGATCAAGTGGGAACGGGGTCAAAGCCTCTGTATTGATGACCTCATATTTTGTTTTCATGTGCACTTTCCTATGGAGCCAGTGGGGGTTCACGGTCCACTGAGCACCATAGGAAAGCACACACATATTAACAAAGTGTGACATCATCAGTACAGAGGCTTATTGCATGCCTTCATTTTGGGAAAGCATAAATCCTTGTGCGTGTATCATCTGAACTGTCACGTCCTTCGGATGGGGCATTGAACAAGAGTTTCTGTACCAGGTGCTGGGGGGGGGGTTAAAAAAAAACCTAAAAAAAATTCATTATAAAAAGAAGCTGCATTACCTATTTGTCCGCAACAATCGGAAGAAAAAAAATCTGACGCGCCCCCCCTCCCAAAAAAATCCTGGATCCGCCCCTGTAATACCCATGATCAGCACATGTACAAGAGCCAAGAGCACTTTGGAAAGGGAACAAAAGTGTTAGCGAGATGTTTCAGTAAGGATACTTTGCCAACTACAGAAATCCATAATCAGAAACATCGTTTTTAATACAGTATACATTTAAACACTATCCATATCAGTTTGCATGGCCCAATTGCCATGAACAACGGTGGGTATATGTTAATATGCGATTAGCTCGCATTTTCTGAGGCTGCAGTTCAACCCCTTGAATTGTTGTATTTAAAGGGAAAATACAACATTTGCAAAAATCAAAAAATCAAACTACCAAATCATTTTGAAATACCTTGCTGGACTGTTAGTGAATGACATTGTAAAGCATCCTGTAAAATCATAGCACCTGGTATACTGTCATTTTCAAGAAAAGTGGTATTTTTGTATCAATTTCCAATGCTGGTCGGCCGACCAGCGTTGGGAAAAAACTGGCTTTTTTTCAAATACTGGCCCCAATTGACCATCGCACTTGTTTGCAATCGATTACACACCTATGAACGGGTACAAGCCAGCTAGACTGGTTCCCTGACCTTACAATTCGCAAATGTATGTAAACTGCTGTTTCTTCTTATATGGAGTCAGGGAACCAGACTACAGGAAAATGATTGTTTTTCTTGGTTTTTATAGCATTTTCGAACCCAAAACCTCAAAAAAGTCAGTGTAACTATATTTGCTATATATTTCCAACCCCCCAATTCCATCCATTTCTGAAAATTACAGCAAAAGCAAATGATGTATATTCCCTTTAAAAGTCCAGACTCTTCAGACAAACCTACCTCAACTTCTTTGAGTAGGTCTCTGAGTTTCTCTGGTCGTCTGTTCTTGGGTGTCCAGAGCAAGTCTCTACCTGATAATCAAAAAACAACGCATGTGGTGGTTCCTTTTACTGTAAAATGTCAGATAAAACGTTACATGGGTTTCCAATTAAAAAAATAAAAATATTTTGGTTCATTATTCTGATAACAATTATATAAAATTGTAATGAGAGGGTTTGAGATGTAACTTCTAGATCAGATCTTATTTTTCCACTGAAATATTATGGACTACAGCCGACAGGGTATCTCCCCCCTCCCAAAAAAAGGTAACCCACAAACAAAGGAACAATATGAACAAAATATGAACTTGATGACCGTTATTATTAGTGTTGTGTAATGCACGTAAAAGAACCCATTAACACTTATCGCTAAGAGAAGGGGTTTGCCCCTGTGTTTCTGGCAGTGGCTGCTTAATGCACCGCAACACCTTGTAAACCCTTGTAAGGTACTACATAAAATGGGTCTCATATTTCAAATACTTCATTTACCTGTCTTTAAAATAAATTCATTAGCGCCTTGTGTACCTAATTGTTGGTAGATACGTGCGTTATATAAGACTCCGGTATTATTTTTAGGGTTTTATCACAAACTAGAAGTAAGCTTTCCATTGATATCTTGGATGCATTCCTAATAATGTTTTACACCACGAAGGTTTTCACGTACCATTTTCAAGACAATGGAACGCATCCGTGATGCATGACCAGGGGAATGCATCCAAGATATCAATGTAAAGCTTACTGCCCATAGTTTATGATAAAACCATAATAATGGTCATTAAGTACATAGGTTGGTCGTATTATCTTAATTTGTGGTTTACCATTTTGGGGGACACCCTAAATAATAATTTACTCACTTCAGCAAAACAAGAAATTGACTCAAACAGACAAGTTATAACTTTGCAACTTACTTTCTGCATATTGCTGTTTCTGGTCCAGGTAACCTGTAACAACTGCAGGGAGAAAAATCACAAATGGTTAAAATCACCTCAACAATGAAAAACATAGGCTTCTCAAAGGCTTCTCTGTAACTTTTTTAGATGGAGTCAAGGCTGAATTTTTAAAGAATGATAACATAACTGGTAGCAGGGACATGGACCAGAGCCAGAATGGTACACCTTTGATCTGGGATTTTTGGGGGAAAATGGAATTCTACAATGGTAGAATTTACCTGTTTCTCCCTTGTCATGATAGGTGTGACAGCCAACATCAATATCTGCAACAACAAAAAACGAAACAAACAAAAAAATTATGACAAGGGAAAGGAACTAACTAGTTATAAAGGTCATTATTGATAAGTAACAAATTAACCACAAATTAACCACTAAGTAACCAGTGGTCCACTACATGTAGTTAGCGGTGGAAATATAGTTCTTAACCTTTTAAGATTTAACCTTTGCAGCATAGAATGCGAACCAGACAACAGAACATTCATGGACAGAGCACCATTAAATAACTGTAAAAATATGGACGGTACCTTTTGGCAGACACGCTGAGGGAAACTTTGCAAGTTAAGGAAAACGTGAAGTTTTATAAAAAATCGTTAAAGTACCCAAAGACGCGACATTTTGTAATCTTCTTTTTTTTATGCAACTAATAGCAGAAAGTGTTTGGTTGCTGATGAACTGGATGAAAATCGCCACTCGAGGGAGTATTGGCAATGCAAAAGGAGAAATTTCTGACATAATAGAGTTGCCGCGATAATAGGCCTACAGGGTGGTCCTAAAACATACAACTCATACTTCCACTATTCAGTGACCTACACTATTGATATGCATGGATAGGAAATTTCTTGGCAGGAAAATGATACCAAGAACTCCCGATTCGGTCCAGCAGTTCCAGTAGTCTAATTAGGATAATCGCACACAGTGAACAAAATGATTATCTTAACTCCCGACAAAAAATGGCGCTGGAATCATAACTACTGAACCAAGTTCTTGGTATAATTTTCCTTCTCACAAAATTTCCTAGCATACATATCAATGGTTTAGGTCCATGGTTAATTGAATTATGAGGTTGCCTTTTTGGGGTTGTTTTTTTGTACCATGTAGCCTATAGAGTCCGACTTTTCATGAAAAAAAATCCCAAATTTCCCATAATAACGTCATCACTCAATATTGTACATCTTGATTAAATGGTACAGACTTTGGCCTCATGTCAATGATTGTCTTTCTGCTTAAAGTACAATCCATCATTTGTAATTTGTGCATTTTGCTCGTTTGAAGCAACAAAAGTGCTCAAATAAAAAATCTCAAGAAGGGTGCTGAACAACTAACTTCATGAAATTTCAGCTCAGCTTCAGCTGTATATTTCGAGAAAAACAACATTCTAGGATCTTGATTTCAAATCAAAAGTTGCTGAATCATGTTTTGAATTGGGCCTGAATTCAGCGTCTGCGACACGTTTTCACTGAGCCGATTGCAGCTGTGCGATGTCGCACAATGATATTATAGCAACCGTGCGCGTGTGCGTCGTGTCAACGCTTGGGTGCACTTCGCCTAATAAAAAAAACAACTACTAGCGGAATTGTCCAACAATGCGTCTTTAGACGCATCATTGGAAAGGCCTTCCTTCGTTGATTTCTTCAAAATGACAGCATGCCAGAAAGAATAATTTCAAGGTGGGAGTTTAGTTCCCTTACTATCTTTCAAACAGGTATGTTTTTCTACAATAATTACATCAGTTACTTTTTGGATAGCTGCAATTGATGGACTGTAGCTTTAAAGAATGTCTTCTTTTTCTTAAAGAGTTGTTGACTGCAACTCCTCACTAACCGCCCCATCTCCCCCCCCCCCCCCCCCCCCCACCACCCTCCACTTGAAAAATCGTTGACTTCAATCCTCGGTCCACCACTGAGCTCTCGGACAGAACTAAGTACATGTGAGAACTACGTTGCCGAAGGGAAAACCCACCATTAACACTGACATCTTAACATTTCTTAAAGGGAATGTACATCATTGGCTTTTGCTGTAATTTTCAGAAATGAACTATTTGAGGGGTTAGTATAATAGATCAAATATTGTTACAATGACATGTTTGAAGTTTTGTGTTCAAAAATGCTGGAAAACCAAGAAAAACTAAAATGTTCAAGTAGTCTGGTTCCCTGACTCCACTAAGGATGAAATGGATCAATTTATAGATGCCGGAAAATTGTAAGGTAAGGGAACCAGTCTAGCTGGCCTGCACCCGTTCATGAACATGTAACCAATAAGCACAGAAAATTTGGACTGAAAAAATGGTAAATTTGGAGCAGTAGCTGAAAAATAGCTGAAAAATTGCTCCTATGGGACTTGACCGTTTCCTCACCTCTGATTGTGACCGATGACTTGAGGGACCAGATGTGAAGTTCAACCATGCAGCTAGCCATGTTAGGCTTGGTTGCCGATGCCCATTGATGTATATTACCGGCGCGTCCAAACTTGCGTTTGCAAGTTCCCCGACATCTTCTTAATCAACGGATACTGTGTCAACTGTAAAAAGAAGGGGGAAAAAATGTCTTGGTCAAGGTCAATGGTACTCAAGTCAAATAACATCTGTGTTCTGTTATGCAGGTCTCTTTACTTCGACCAGCTTAATCTCAGTTGAGAAAAAAAACGCTATAATAAAATAAATTCATTATTTATTACATGGCAATGACCACCACTGCTAATACACGTATTGGTCATGTCAAAAATACGAAAGACATTCAAAAATACGAAAGACACGCACACACATCCGTGCCTCAAAACAAATGGGATGCAAAAACACTACATGTACATCTCCATTCTACTGGAGAGTAATTTTAGAAGTCATTTTGGAACAATAAAGACTGTTTTGTTTAAGAATTTAGGAAATAGGGAATATACAATGTTTCTTGAAACGAAGTGGCTATTTTTACACAAGCCGTAACACATTTTTCACAGTTACGGAATTGCAACATATTACATTGCGAATCTTTGAGGTTTTACATTCCTAGAGCGATTGAAACGCTTCAGCAACATGAATTAAGTCAGATGATATTCAACATGGTATTTTACTAGCTAGCCCGAATGCCTCTGGCCGTAAACTATCACAAGCTCTGTAACGTTAGTACGAGCTTGAGATAGTGTATGGCCAGGGGCAATCCGGCTATAGCGAACTATTTATTATGATTCCAAACACATAAATTATTGAGTTTTCCTGCTTAGTTGTATCATCGCCAAATATTTAGGTATTACTAGGCCTAAGTCCCAAAACATTATTAAAGTGTCTTTTCGTTGGAAAGACTCCCATATCTGACCATCACTTGTCACCCTGTGCACAAACCCTTTGGGACTGGTCTGAAAATGTCTGTTTTCTCAGTACAAATTCAAAATTCGTCCCTGCTAATCTTGACTGTTTAGGACATATTATCACTTTCTGATGGCTGATACTGATAGGTCATTTAAGGGAAAAATTACGGCGATCGTGTAGTGTAGGGGCCCCCCTTTTTTTATCAAATTAGACTCAAAAATGTTTTTTATTGCTCAAAAATCACCTTTACAATCAAATTTAAAGCAGACTTTTCTCAATTCTAATGACACCTGTTTTGCAATTTTGAACAGATTCTTGGGGTAGAAATCACGATTTTCCTGCGCGGTTTGTGTCTTGCGATTCAGCACGCTGTGCTTGCTCACGGTACATCGCGCAGTGTTTCGCCATCTTTATTTTCGGGTTGCGTGTTGTCGCCACGCTATCATCGTCATTTTACCCCCAAGTTTCCCTCAAAAAATCAAAACCCTGCCCTTAATCTATAACATACCTGTTTATTGAGAATGTCGCTGTCACGCCCCAACTATCGCATCGGTCCCAACTATAGTTGGGCCTGTCCCAACTATAGTTGGGCCTGTCCCAACTGTAGTTCCACAGTTGGGCTGGCCCAACTATAGTTGGGCCTGTCCCAACTATAGTTGGGACGGTCCCAACTGTAAGTTCCATTGTTGGGCTGGCCCATCTATAGTTGGGCCACTCCGATCTTTTTATTTTGCGGTGTCCCAACTATAGTTTACATTGATGTACAACCATAAAACGTTCCCTACAGCTCTGATACACGTCTGACTTTACTGGGGACCACTGAAATTAGCTATTGATGGGGCAAATCTATAGTTGGGCCACCCCAATCTTTTTATTTTGCGGTCCCAACTATAGTGTACATTGTTATACGATTATAAAACATTCCCTACAACTCTAATGCACATCTGACTTTACTGGGGACCAATGAAATGATCTATGGGTGGGGACCATCTGTAGTTGGGCCACCGCAATATTTTTATTTGGCAGTCCCAACTATAGTTTACATTGATGTACGATTATAAAACATTCCCTACAGCTCTGCTTACATGTCCGACTTGGGACCTTTGACATTAGCTATGGGTGGGGCCCATCTATAGTTGGCCGGTCATGGCAATCTTTGAATTTTGCAAAATGTTGCTGGATAATAAAACCCAGCAGCTGGACAACTCGTCCAACTAGGCAGTACCACGTGACCGGCCAGCCTTGCGGCATGCATGCACGACGAATACACGGTGCCATCGCCGCGGAACATTTAATCCAACAAGATCTATCAAGCATGAAGCATCCGGCGCAACTCCAGTCCTAACTATAGTTGGGCCGACCCAACTGCCGCACTATAGTTGGGACAGTCCCAACTATAGTTGGGACCGATGCGATAGTTGGGGCGTGACAGCGCCAACTAGTTTGGTCGGTCAGTAATAATTTTAAAGTGGATTTTGTTCCCTATAGGAACCGGGCCCTACACTACACGATTGCCAAAATTACTGATGGCCAGTTTATGGGAATCTTTCCTTTTCGTTCTCTTAGATAGAACGGGGTCTTATATTATAAACTACATGTACACGACTACCAGAAAAGCATTTCTAAGAAGATCAAAAGAAGGCTAAGCCTAAGCAAGGCTGTGATTGGCTGTCGTACTGAGTTGCCTTAAAACAAAATGGCGGCCTACATGAGAAACTCCGAACAGAACGACAACGTCGAAAGTGAGTTTTACTTCAGGTTTAAAACGACGATAATCAGCTTTGATTGCATGCAGTAAATGATTTAAATGTTAAGTACATAACCTGATGATTAAAAATAGTATCACGACAAACTTACCCACGTAAACCATAGAGTTTAAACACAGCTTACACGAGACGTTGTGCTGCTGTTGACACTTATTTACCTGTTGACTTACTTACTCTCAGGGCACATATGCTATGATCCGCGGGATTGATCCATCACACGTACGCGCGCATGCCTATATGAGTACGAGGTTGATCCAGTGGTAGGGTATTGGGGGCCAAATGTGATTTGGCATGGGTGAATTATAATTTATATAATTATATGGTCGGAAAAACATTTAATATCTGTTATTTAAGTCTTGCCCCCTTACTGCAACCTACATGAGTTGAACCTCAAACACTTATTATAACAAATGTGTTGAAAACAAGTCGAAATTAAGATTTAAAAACAGTCAATATTTATGTGAGAAAATGCAAGTCTTTTTCATTGTGATTAGTTTGACGACGTTTGAATTAACACAAGTGTCACTGTCAGGACGGTTGGTCCTAAATTACACTTTTAGTTTTACCAAGTGCAGACACGGATTTCCATAATTTACAAAAAGTACCATTCCTTAAAATTATTCCAGGAAAGAATGTACACATGTAGCATACTCCGGATGCCACCTTGGTGGTTGTGTACTGTACATATTGTAAAGGTACTTCTACTACTACCCAGGGTAGTATTTTCCAGCAAAGTTGGAAATATTTCTAAACATCTAACAAACTCATTGGCTTTTTTTTTAATTTATTTTCAGTATAATTGAGGTTATATTTTTATAACTAAATGTAAAACCCGAGCGCCAGAAGTACTATTCATAACAGTGTGCTACCGACTAAAAGAAACAAAATTGTATTATTTTTAAACAAAGTTGAAAATGCTCCTGAATTTTCAAATTCATGTTTATTTTTCTTATTATTAATTTGCAGTAGCACACAAAATTGTAAAAGCACAGTGCTCATCAGTACATGTAACTAACCAAACCAAAGTGGACAATCATCCAACAAAGTTGACCTCTGCTATCCAGTAAGCTTATTTTAGGTTTAAAATTTCTAATAGTTTTGAACCCAATTTTGTTGTCAGGTGAGAGTAGTACATGTACATCACGTGATGAAGAAATGCATACTTCCAAGAACATAGGAGACAACGCAGCCGCAAGGCAGAGCATGTTTGCTCACATCGCAGCCAGCAAGGTGCTGATCAAAAGCCAGCAACGGGGCGAGGAAGACCTCAGCCCAAAAGAGAAGCTCAGTATCCTGTCAGAGCTACTGGACCACAAGCCCGCCATCTTCCTCGAACGCTTCAACACTTTCCTACGTGAGGAAGATCTGGACCTCTTCAAGCATCTCGCCGGGGACTACGAAATAGACTTCTTCCTCAAGCAGGCAAGGAAGAGGTTGAATGCCGGGAAATCACTGACAGGAGTGAGAAACCGGCGCTATGAGGCTCTTAAAAAACTTGAGAAGGAGGGTACCTATTTTGAGGACAAGGCCATGAAAGATCGCGACCCTCTGATGTTTGAGGAGTATATCGGGCAGTACATGACCGAGGAAGAGAGAAAGGGGCTGCTAAAACCCATTGACCACAGTGACATGAGATTCTCTAGTATTCTGATGACATTCATGGATGAGCAGGAGATCAAGGAGTTGCACAAGAGGCAGAAACAAGAGGAAGATGACATGATGGAAGAAGAAGAGGAGGAAGAGGAGGACGAGGAGGAAGATGAAGATGACAGTGAAGATGAGGGTGAGAAAATATCTGCGGGAAAATTTTTTTCACCATACAGTATACAGGGTGGATCAAAAAAACCGAAACCGAGATAATATTGCTAATTGGAACAGAAGTAGGGCACATGTGAATCAAAGGGAGAGATATCCTCTGTTAGGGTTGAATCTCCTCTTTAAAATGACACCCTGGTCATGTCCTTACATTCACGGTTGACTGAGCAGTGACCAATTTTATGAAAGGGTCTCGCGCCACTTTTAATGGTGACATCTCTTTTTTCCCCACCTGCCTTGATTGGCAACCATAGCCTTTCACTCTATCTGTCACAAATGACACAACAAAAACCACAATTGAAAAGTGGCGCAAGTCTCTAAATCGACCCTTTCATAAAATTGGTCACTGCTCAGCCAACCGTGAATGTAATGACATGACCAGGGTGTCATTTTAAAGAGGAGATTCAACCCTAACAGAGGATATCTCCCTTTGATTCACATGTGTCCTACTTCTGTTCCAATTAGCAATAATATCTCGGTTTCGGGTTTGTTTATCCACCCTGTAAAACCAACATGTAACTGATGGTCAGTCATTGCAAATCTGTTTAAGTTGGCAAAGTAATTTTAGCTGCTTTGCACTAAACGGCAACATCGAGCTCTATACTCCCCAGGGAGCTGAGGTGGTCTTACTACGGTCTTATTATTATTATTTATAGGTGTTTATGGAGCATCTTCAAGTACCAGGCGACAGCCAGGTGGGGCAGCCAAGGAATGGGAACCAACACCAGCAACGGAAGAGGAAAAAGCTATAATGAGACAGGAATTCCTCAATCACATGCACCAGAGATTCCTGAGCGGTCAGGAAACGGACTTTGACTACTCGGCCGTTGACAGCAATGTAGAGTACGACTCGCTCGTGCTCAGAGCTCAGGACGAAGAGGAGCATTACTTTGACCAGGAGGCGGCAGAAACCTGGAGCTTGGGGTCGGAGGAGAGGACAGACGTTGAGAACAAAGATGCTGATTGTGATTTTGATGAATTTGCAATGGCAGATGTTGAAAACAGGACAGGTGGAACCTTATCTGGCAAGACTAGAGAAGGGAAATTCAGTATGGCCCCAAAGGAAATGAATATCAATACAAGTACTGTGAAGCCAGAGGATATGCAAACTTGATGGAGTAGAATGCTTGGAGAGCTTTTGAGGATTTGTGGCATCGGTGTGTGGTTCTGGAGTTCATAGCCCTACTCCAGTCTGTTCGTCTGCAACCTCAACTCCATGGGCTGCGTGCGCATTCCTTATTAGCTAACCCTGGCAGTGTGGAATACGAAGATGACGCTGATTGACTATTCAGAACCTACTGCGCGTGTATTTCAAAGGCTACATCACATAATAGGCCTATGCGCTCGCGTTATCCTGCACGACATGTCATATACAAACATTTCTTTTCAAGAATGTCAACGCCTCTGCGATATTTACAGTGTTGTAAAAGGGACGTCAGAGGTGTGCACGTTATAAATTCTAGCAACGCGACGTCAAAATCTCATGTCTGAAAGGATTTATTCTACAAATTAAAAAACTTCACAATTGAAAGCAGTGTTGCGCATTTAACACATCGAATCAAGTCCTAATTCAAATCTCCCAAATAGTGGGATATTTACATTACAAAATACCAGGGGTTGAGATCCCGCAAGGCATGATGGGAACCAACATGGTGCAGCAAGATCTGACCCGTGAGAACGAGGTTGGTCATCTATGATTGTTGAAATAAACACATGCACAGCTTATATTCTATGAAATATGTTTATTATAGTTCTTACTCTTAAAACCAGTGCATGAATCAACAAAACCTGATTTTAAATCGTTCACAACGTTAATTACCCAACACAATATTAGTCCTCACTCAAAGAAAAACATTCTCATGATGTTTCAAATAAAATAAAATGCAAGAATATGATATAAGCGTGAATAAAAATATATTAATGCTCAGCCCAACCATCTTCACATAAGTTCTCAATGGAAAGAATACAATAGCACAACAAAAATAAGATGTGATTCGTTTCTCAAAGTGATAAGGAAGTGGACATGTGTTCTGACTTGCAATCATTGTAAACACACACACAAAATTCCAAAGCCAAAGAAAAAAAACAGTTACATGTAAGTATCGTTTTCCAACGTAAATATACTCAGGCAGTGCTCTCAATTTAAATTTTCAGCAAAGTCCTATTTTGAAAACTTTTCATTTTTACCAAGGTAAAAGTGTGTAAACTCATACATTTATTGAAAAGGTGTACATGTAAGTACAATACATGTAGTAATGTCTGATAAATTATCTGTTGGTAGCTGTCATAAAAGGTCAAGTGATATTATTGTTTCTGTATTTTTTTTTTACAAACATGACAAAAATGAAAAGGCAAGAATAAAACGAATGTACAAATTCAAGCAAATACATGAAAAAGTCTATGAAATAATCTGACAATACGTCAAAAGGACAAGTGAAAAGTATCATGTCAATTATTAAGGTTGATTTACTGGGCACGAAAAGGGATTTTCATTGCATGTGTTGACATTCATTGTCAATTATTACACCTAGTCCTAAAAAACAGTCCTCTATGGTGGCTTCGAAGAGACATCGTGAATATGGATGTTACTATTCACAATAGAACTCACGAATTGCTCCACATAGCGATTGACGAAAAATTCACGTCTCACTCTCCGTTCGCAAATATTGACGTTAATATTCCCGAATATTGACGTCAATTCCTGAACACTGACGTGAAGTTTTCGATGCAACTATTGACGCCAATATTTGCTACTGGAGAGCGCGATGAAATTTTTGTCGTGAATATTGATGTCAGCATTCGCAAATTGCGATGTCCCTTGAAAGCCACCATAGTCCTCCCTTCTCTATTTTGCTCATACATTGTGAACATATTTAGTGTAATTCTGCATAATTGATGTGCAAGATTATATCACTACAACTTTGAAAAAAAATCATGTGTTTTCCGGTCTCATGGTAGGACGAATTGATTCCTGGACACCATATACTAAAACAACTCTGACTCAAGGCCAGGCACCAGACTATTCCAAATGATAATGTGCATGATCTTTTAACATGCAAACGATCCAGTATTAAACAGGGCGAGAAAGCAGCTAGTAGGAGCATACTGCTCGACTCCATGGGGACAAGGTTGTCTCTCTCGCTTCAATGTCATAGGACCCTGACTTTGGAGGCTGTGGCTCAATATGGATCCATGCTTTCGGAACATCCATGCTTTCGAAACATCAAATCCTATGATTTGAGGCCAAATTCATAGCATTTTCATTTGGTTTTATTAAAATTATTCTGAAGGCAAGGATCAAGCCAAAGTCAAGGTTTTAAAAACACTATAAAAGGTTGAACAGGAAGCAATCTCTACCGGTAAGCCACCCCCCCCCAAAAAAAAAATGTCACCATGGGGTTATTCTGTGTCAAATCACCTGGTGGGTCAAACCCCACCCCCTTCAAATTAGTTCATATTTGTTGTATGGGGTAATATTGGTTGAAAAAGCTGAAATCTTAAAAAAGTTTTAGCGCCACCTCTATATCAACCCCATACACTAAATATGAACTAATTGCAGGCATGCAACTTTTCCTCGGATCTGCTGATTTCCTCGTTTTTTACTTCTCATGAATGCCATTACCAATTGAAATACACTGTACAAAGTCTTGTGTGGTTTGGAATTTCCTGGGTTTTTTTCTCAAAATTCCCAGTACCATGCCTGTAATTGAAAGGGGGTGGGGTTTAAACTTTCAAATTTTGGGGTGACTTGGCACGGAATGAACCCATGTCAAAAAATTATCACACAATCAAAATTGTGGAAACTGTCTTTGCAACATAAAGATATCCATTTGGAGAGAGCGTTGAATGGAAATATATTAGTACAGATTATAAAAGTTTCTCAATTTATGTATACTTCACTGATATGGAAGGTTTCAATACAATTTTTAAATTTGAGCTGGGAAATTGGAAAATAACCAAATACTAACATTAAAAGGCAAGAATATAAAAATCTAGTAATTATCAATGAATACATGCATGATTTCTTTTCAGTAACACACATTCATAAATACCTGAGACTGTTTACTTATTCCATATAAGGAGATTTTTAGCACTACACGCGTGAGGCAAATACTATGTACCATAAACATGGCTAGATGGGTGATCATAAAGTATGAAGTGAAATTGTGAATTTTTGACTTGTTTTGATTTTTTCACCGAAAGGTATTTATGAATGGGAATAAATATGTGCTTGGCCAGTATTAAACAAGTACGTTTAAAACCGGCTAGGTGCCTTGTCGCGGATAATGGCCCAAAATCCAGCCGGTTTAAAATGTACTTGTTTAAAACTGGCCAAGCACATATTTATTCCCTTATCAATAAGCAAAGTGATTTTATCATGTTCTGTTATTACAGTAAGGACCAACGTCAATCTACAAAGTACACAAAATATATATCCTCTATTACATGTAGATACAAAGGTTGGAGATACCTAAAATGCTAGAAGTTAATATCTAATTAAATTTAACTTTAAACAATATCGAATTAATTTTTTTTTTTTTATCAAATTAAATATAATTTGTACACTGTTACAACAGGATCTCTGATCCATAACTTGTCTCTCACTGCAATTGTGTTTTTTTCCCCCCAAAGTGTCGAATCTCTAATACTGTACACATAACACAAAAAACGGCCAGTTTTATTACCCTGATCACGAAGTAATTGTTCTTGAAGTGTTAATTCTTAATTTAAACTATTTAAAGAAAGTACTAAGATTGGTTATTTCACCTTAACTGTGGTAATTGAGGAATATGAGGAATGCTTACAAAATTTACAAAGTTTTAAGGTAGAGTAGACTATTTGTCTAAAATCTAAGGATGGGGGCGTAACAACTAACCTTATGAACTTTTAGCTCAGTGAATGCTGTATATTCCGAGAAAACAATATTCTAGGGTCTTGATTTCAATTCAAAAGTTGCCAAGTCATATTTTTAATTGTGTCTGAAATCAGCATCCGGGACACGTTCTCATTCAGCTGATTGCAGCTACGCGATGTCACACACTGAACCAACGAGAAATAGCAACCACGCTTGCATGTGCGTCTTGTCAACACTTGCCCGCACCCATTCATAGATTCGCCCAATTACAAACCAACTACTAATGGAAATTTCCAAAAATGTGTCACTTGACGCATCTTTGGAAATAACACTCTTTTAATAATTTCTTCAAAATGACAGCATGCCGGAAGGAATCATTTCACAGGGAGTTTGGTGTTAATATCTTTAAACCAAGTAAGATTTTTAACAATAATTTAGTCAGTTATGTTTTTGGATAGCTGCAAATGGTCGACTCTACCTTTAAGTCCAAGCTTGGGATTTTCTCATTGTAAATAGTTGGTCACTTCTGTTTTGTATGACTGTTTTTTAAAATAGATCGAACTGCCTTTCAAACTTGGCTATGTAAGATCAAATAAAGATTTATGTATAGCTTAGGCCAAAAAAAAAAATGAGTCGGTCTCTGGTCAGTGCGCGCGTCGATTTTAATCATGCGCGTCAATCTTTTTTTTTCCAAAATGTTCCGCGGTAGCTCCAACAGCGCCCTCTATTGCCATACCTCCTCATTTTTTTTTTACCAAAGAGCACCAAGGAATGGGAAATTGCACCAAGGCAAATTATGGAGGACACCAATGTACATGAGGACACCAAAAAAGCAAAAAAATACCCCACCTTGTCTGTACAATCCAAGCTTGAAGAAAAAAAAAAAAAGCCAAAAAAAAATAAAAAGCCGCGTCCCCGCGTCAATTCCGGAACTTTGGTCTGACCAGAGACCCAATTTTTTTTTTTTTGGCCTTATGGGCATTGTTTTAATTTGTGACAGCTTTACGTGGGTTGTTCGATTTTCATAAAAAATCCCCACTAGATCCAACGGACATTTGCGAGAAATATTAAACTGATATTCGACACCACATTAGTCCAAGTAATTTTCTGATGTCAAACGTAACATTGTTAGGTTCAACAATTAAGCATGCGTCTACCATGTCTCCTTCACTAGAAATCAATTTCAATGAAATGAAATCCACTTTTAAAATCAAAGTCACTAGAGTGGCATCAAGTTCTAAATTGTGTGGATATAGTATGCTTTATATATACTAAAAGCTCATGTAACAAAGATATCGGGTGAATTTACAATTATTTCAGTGTATGTATGATATTCCTGCCCGTGCTGTGCAAAACCCAATAAAATTTATTATATCCAAAAGTATTAGCGAATTGAATTTCAATGTTATTTTCCAACCATGTCGATTATGTGGATATATCAACTGCTTTGGACGAACAACAGTTCAATAAATATTATGATTTCAAATTTGCAGTGAAAGGCGGTGACAAATGCACTTTTTAATTCAATGCTCATTTTGTCATAGATAAATATGACAAATATTGCAAAATGCACATATATCGCAAAATATGTCATCAACACAATTTAGAGTACGTCACATAAATTTCACTGCGACGCGAATTTGTCAGGGTAAAGGAGAACATTACAATGAAACTTCAATTCTTGACGTCATTAAATTTGCCTTGCTTTTGGTTTCGTATGACAGGCATTTACTTTTCTGCAGTGAAAATTCAGATCTCCTCTTTATTTTATATTTTTCCTTTCAATTTTTGTTTCTGAGCTCCAAACCTGTACAGGAAATAGTGCCAGTACTGCATTAAAACTAAACCATTCTGTGATATAAATCCAATCGTGAAAAATTCAAAAAGCATTCTACTCGCTCACATTAATTTACAGAAAGATAATAAATTGGAAGCAACACTTGCAAATCGATAAATCTCACGTCACACAATTAATGCTGACCGCATTGTTCATTTCTGTAAATACCAAATATGCAGTACAAGGTTCCCTTTTCTTGTGACTTAGCAATACCTCAAGAATTAAATATCAAAATAAAATCTGATATTGCCAGGACAAGTATAAATAATTTGTCTGCATTGTCTGCAAAATGGTTTAAATATTTTTCTTTCATCTTAAATACAATACTTGTCCATTAGTCTGTGTACATGTGTGCATACTGTTAATACCAACATGCATAGTGTTTTGTTTATTGCAACTGCCTCTCGATTCAGATAAATATCTCATAGACAATGATTTGCTACTTTCTTCAGGTTCCGTACGGGATATACACGTAGAAAAACAGCTGTACATGTACGGTGATATTTACTGACAATGTAGCAAAAGTGTAACAGCTTTGCTACCAGTAAATCTGTCCAATTAAAAAAAAAAACAGCCACCAATGCACAAATTTTTTTTTCCAGATTTTTTTTTTTTTTTACAAATAGGAAGATCAAACAAAAGAAAATATTATCATTGACCTTGTGCACAGCAGCCATCTTGAAGGTGTTTTTTTTCCCCACAGGGATATGTAGAAATGCACCTCTCGTGTATTTTTTTTCTACAGTATGTCCCAAAAAAGCGTCTGTCTATTGTTGAAATAACTACGAAACCATGAAACGAATTTTGAAAATTTCTGACTGTGCAAATGCTCCTCATTCTCGGCCTAAACCCCTATGAGTGTCATTTAATTTCCCTAACGCCTCACTGCACAATGGTTAATTGATCACAACATCATTTTTGGACACCGTGACTACGTTCCTTGCCTTGATAAATTTCACTGTGTTATGTAAAGCTGTGTAAAATCCTGCATGTTGTGAAACAAATGCTGATGTGGTTTGGGATTGGAATCATTTGCCCTTGAGCATTAAACTGAGGTCTTGCCATGATGACTGATAGCCAGGCAAATGATTCCAATCCAAACCGCAGCCCTTTTCACAACATGGAAGGATTTTACACAGCTTATATAACACCGCACTGAAATTCGTTAAAGCAAGGAACTTGGTCACAGTGTCCAAAAATGCTGTTGTGATCAAATGACAATTGTGCAGTGATGCGTGACTGAAATTAAATGAAACTCATAGGGGTTTAGGCCAAGGATAAGGACTTCATGGCTTTGTAATTATTTCAAAAATAGTAAGACAGACACTTGCCAGCTTTGTCTGTTGACCCAGTTTGACTAGTCGCAGTGCTTGCTTGACTAGCCTTCGTTAAAAATATAGCAGGGGAAGTGGAAGTGAATTTTGAATGTCTGTGACTGTTTATTAAAAAGCAGGAGGGTTCAAGTAAAAGGACAACACCTCCAAGATGGCTGCCGTACGCAACGGCTCTATACAATATGGACATGAGGCAAGTATCAACTGCCACCACTAGCAGCACCTGTGTCCCGGTTCGGTTCCGGTTCTTTAATGGATGTCTCTAGGGCCAAGGGAGTCAGCCATTCCTTGGGTAGCATCTTCTCCATGAAGGGAAGGCGGGCACCAACGGTCGCTAGTCGGTTGATCCAGCTGGGGATGTCTCGCCGGCACAGGATCTGGAATCGAGTAAGCAATCACACGTCCAGTTTAATGGCTGTGGCTAGCAGTAATACACATGTCTATGGACAGTGGTTTGAGTCGCTTCCATAGAGAGGCATACATGTATGTAATTGTAAGCCGTAGTCAATTAATTTGGAGACGGCCCAAAGTTACAAATTTAGTTGTCACTTTTTAAGAAAGAAAACTCAATCGAAAATGGCACTTTTTTCAAGTTGTGATTTCCCCCACATGGGTGTGGTGTTCTGACTCTGTGTGTAGATGACACTATTCATGGTCGCACATTAGCCGACAGTGACAGGATTTTTGCAGGAAAGAAGATTGATGTTGTTGAAGGAACATTATCAGGATTGCCCCTCCCCAATCTAAACCCCCAATTAACCCTAACCCTCCTCAATCCTCCAAAATCCTCCTTGTGGTTTTGGATGATTTTGGAGGATTGAGGCTGAATGGTATTTTTCAGAAAAGTATTTTGGAGGATTGAGGCTGAATGGTATTTTTTTAGATAAGGATTTTGGAGGATTGAGGCTGAATTGTATTTTTCAGAAAAGGATTTTGGAGGATTGAGGCCGAGTGGTATTTTTTCAGAAAAGGATTTTGGAGGATTGAGGCTGGATGGTATTTATCAGAAAAGGATTTTGGAGGATTGAGGCTGAATGGTATTTTTTTAGATAAGGATTTTGGAGGATTGAGGCTGAATGGTATTTTTCAGAAAAGGATTTTGGATGATTGAGGCTGAATGGTATTTTGAGGCAGGACTGTCTGACGATTTTGAAGGATTGAGGGGCTGGGTACCCTTCATTTGAACATAAGTGCAACATTTTTGGATGAGGAGGATTTTGGAGGATTGAGGATGAATGCATTTTGGGGCAGGACTGTCTGAAAATTTTGAAGAATTTAGGCGGTGTTGTAAAATTTTGGAGGATTTTGTAGGATTGAGGATGGTTCCTAGCAAAAAGGCCTAGGGGGTTAGGGTTAAGAAACACCCATGCTCTTATTGTAAATGGTGACAAGTTCTAGGATCCACCTAGCCGTTAACTATGTTTAATTCCAGCAGTAAAATTGGGATAACAAAAGAATCACATGACCTTTGGCAGTAGTTAAGTACATGTACATGCATGTTCTCTTTTAAAACTGCACAATCCAAGGGGTCATACATTAAAGTGGTGCAGTGAGCAGTGAAACAGAAATTTTGATGACTGAAATGAGGTTTGAAATGTTGCATTATTATTATTATTATTAGTCATTTCTGGTAATGAAACCAAGGATTCCTCAAAAACACCCTAGGCACTGTAGCTCGCAAGCCTGAAGAAACCTGTGGAGAGAAGACAATGTGAAGAAGTTACAGTTTTAGAGGTGGGAGGAAAAGCCCAGAAGAATATAGTCTGGGGAAAACCCACGGAATCAGGCAGGGACTGAAAACTCAATCCACATTGGCCCAGGCGGGATTCGAACCCGGGTCACAGCGGTGGAAGGCGAGGAAAGTACCGCTACGCCAACCTGACTCCCCTTAGTTTCACATGTAACAACGATGAAAACTGGACCCAATTCAATGAAGCATTTAGTCGGTTTGATGAGAAAAGTGTACAACATCCTCCGATCAAGATTCAATAAAGATTTCATTTTGTTCATGAAGGGATAACAGACGTTGTTCAGGAAGCTAAGAAAACTTGATTTATGGAGGTGATGTGCTATGATCTGAAGAATCATTATAAAGAGCATGGAAAAAAGGAAAATGATATGTGGAATAAATCACACACCTGTACTAACTCCTGAGCAAAGTGGTTGCAGTTTTTGCGTATAAGATGGTACTCATCTCCAGGATATTTCTTGCCGAGGCAATCTACCACTTTGATGACGGCTTCCTCGGGTAGATCTGTGGTTCCCAGAGATATACATTCCCTGCAGCGGAAAACATATGCATGGAAAGGTACGGTAAAACTTTTGAAACATCAACATTAACCTAACTCCCTTCTGAGTTTTACTAAGTAGAGTACCAAGTCCATCAAAATCCATCACTGACTCTGCTTCACATAATGCTTCAGGACCAAATCAATTGAAATCCACCACTGCTATAGGTGGGTTTTGATGGAATTGGTACATATGGCTTATCTGCCAAAATCTCCCAAAATGGGAGAGGGATGGTTTTGAAGGAGTTGGGAAGGTTAGGGTTCTTGGAAAGGGTAAAACTTTGCAAGAAATTTCAAAGTAACCTGTCGGAAACTTCATGAGGACCACAAGAGTGATCTGAAAATGTAATCCACTTTATGCCCTCATCAATACAATTATTTATTCGATTTAAAATCTAAATTTATTTTTAGAGGTTAGTAAATATGTTATGGAAAGACATGTACATACTTGAACTTCATGTATAAGCATTTTTGGAAGTATACGTTACGACATTATTTTGTGTAAAATATAAACTCAGGTCATATTTTTTTTCATCATTTGAATTCAACAAAGTACAGGATTATTAACCTTTTAGTGAAACTACTGCATGAATTCACATCACATTTTCTCCCGTTATGCATGTTAGCACAACATGTGTCCATTTTCTCAAGTGTCGAATAAATGTGACTAAATTCATTTGAATATATTTCATTTGCAAATAGGAACAATGACTGTATTGTGCATACCAAATCATGTGAGGTGTCTCATATCATTTTGAGGCATTTGTTTATCTTACATGAAGCATATCTTATAATGTTCATCTTCTAATTTATATTAATCTTCTAATTTGATAGATTGCCTGGACAGTAGTGCCATTATGTATACCATGTTAATCAAATAAATGCTTAAATCAATTATCAAAACTTAATAATATTATTTCTTTCGGAAGGAATTATCGAAACTTAACAATAAATAGCTATTGGGCAATTCCACACCAAAGTGGACATGACACCAAAAAATTCAAATACATGTGACTTAAACAAATTTGGCATCAAATGAAAGCTAAAAGTCTATATTTTCAAGATTTGAAGTCAGAATTCTATTTTTGATACATTTCGGTACCAAAAAATAGGATTACGTAATAATCCTGTTTTAATCCTAAAAATGTGATTAAAAGTGATATGAAAGTATTCTACCAATACACACACAAAAATAGGTACTAATGCCATCAGTTTCTGTCATGAGAAAGTATTGGCCTTGAAAAACTGACTGAAACTTGTTTTTAATGTTTTGCGTAATTTGTTTCGCTTCAGTGACTTCTAATATTTCAGCCTTCGAAAATGTCCTTCCGTTACCGAAAAAATACATATTTTTAATTTATTTTTAAAACTTGCAGTATGAATGCATTGAAAGTTATTGTGCAAAGCAAGTTTAGGTAGGCCTTCAATATGACATTATAGCTGACACTGCTGCACTTCTCGTTTTTTAATTACAATTAATTAAATCATGTCCTTCCGTTACCAAATTGGTAACGGAAGGACGGTAACGGAAGGACAAATCGTATTTTTATCAAATGTTACGACATTTGTGCTCATGTTTGAAAAATGAAAATCACTGCAAATACATGCATGTATAATGAGCATTGAAAGGACATTCATGTGACCCACCTTCACAAAAGCGGGATAAGCAGGGCAAGGTGTTTGTTACAAAGGATGGCACAGGCATGTACTACATGTACAATGTACATACATGTATGTACATATATGTATGCCGACGTACCAGTACTTGTACATGTATGGAGTTGTTGCAGAAAATCAAATCATAAAGTTGCTGCCATCAGGATTCATGGACAATAGAGAAAAATACAATTTCTGTGAAGCCATTCCAGAAGCAAATTAAGTCAAAAATGAGATGGAAGAAAGTACCGGTACTTTGGGGCACTTTCATTCAATTTACATGTGTAAGACATGTGAGGTGCAATCTTTGACAAATTATGCCCAAGTTAACAATTTCAGTTTGGATGTTTATAAGTTAATTGTTACTACTCTAAATCATTGTAATTTGATTTCAAACATTGAATTTAGAGTTCAATTAAAAGCAACACCTAGAAGCATAATGATTCTGAAGCCATCAGTTCTACCGGTGGATGTTTTTACATTGTACATGTAGGCTGGTCGCCCCCCCCCCCCCCCCACCCCACTCTTTAGGTAAACCACTGAACCTACCGGTATTATTATTAAAAGCTGTTGGTGAACATGTAACCAATATACTCAAGTGTTCAAATACTGTGTATTTAAACTTTTAAGGATTGAGGTGATGGGTTTGAAGTTCATTTCTGTAGTTGTCTTGTGTTCGTGAATGATGTCTTTTTGGTTGTTTTCATTTTTCTTTTGTTATCATTAATTAGCAGGCTTCTATCTTTATCTCAATAGTTTTTGGGTATAATTATTTATGCCAGGTCTGCATATTGTTGATTTCACATTCAGTTACACATTTCAGCAATTTGTTTCACTTGTATAATTAGTGTAAATTCACATTTTGTTCATGCTATAATTGAGTAAACCTTTTGTCCTTCCGTTACCGTCCTTCCGTTACCAAATTATAATCCACTTAAAACGTTGTAATTATATTACCGAAACACTTAAAGTCAAATGAAAGGTGGTATAGTATAGATAAAGCTTCAGGGATTCCATTTCCTACCTTTAAAATATAATTGCCCCATAAAATTCACAGAGTTTACGCAAAACGTGAGTAAGTTGGAAAACCCTTGTCCGTTTTACCGTCCTTCCGTTACCGACCTCATTAATATTCATAATTCAAAAACGGGAGGCATTCATGCCCCCCAAAAGTGTGGAAATTGAAGGTAGCATTATAGCAATACAATTGTGACATTTGTTTGCTGTAACTATTAACAGTGTCTGTGATACACACATTTGAAATTTTGTTTAATGAGTGAAAACGTCCTTCCGTTACCGTGGAATTGCCCCATTGTGTAATAAAGGCTATTGTGTTGCAAAAAAAGTGAAATTCAGTGGTATACATGGTTGGAAAGCCCACAAAGTAAGCTTTCATTTGGTATATAATACAGCTCTATAGCCCCTCCCAATCTGGAGATATGACGTATTTGCAAATAGTTACTTCCTTGGAGTTCGAAGTACACAACTGAGAAAACAGGCTTTGAAATAGCTGGCTCTGTTGTAAAAGTGGGCACGATGCACTCATAATTGGGGTTTTTTTCCCCACTTTATTCATCGAAATCAACATTTCTGTGAATGAACCCTGAAACTTTAAGTAATAAAGATGTCATTCATGACAAAAAATGAAAATCATGACGAAATGTTCACCCTCTCAACGTTGAGCGGGCCATTACACGATAATGCACAGCACGACTTAATACCCTATCTTTCAAAGGACACTTACTTGAATTGAAACTGTTCTCCTAGATCATCACAGTCCCTCGGCTCAATCTCAAAAATTCCAGTAAAAGGGAAGGGATGACCCCCGAAGGCATATTCTGTTGGACAATCATTAAAATATACTGGTGATTCTAAGAGCTCACATATTTAAAGGGAATATACATCATTTGCTTTTGCTGTAATTTTCAGAAATGGATGGAATTGGGGGGTTGGAAATATATAGCAAATAGTTACACTGGTTTTTTTGAGGTTTTGGGTTCGAATATGCTATAAAAACCATGAAAAACAATCATTTTCCTGTAGTCTGGTTCCCTGACTCCATATAAGAAGAAACAGAGCAGTTTACATACATTGGGGAATTGTAAGGTCAGGGAACCAGTCTAGCTGGCTTGTACCCGTTCATAGGTGTGTAATCAATTGCAAACAAGTGCGATGGTCAATTGGGGCCAGTATTTGAAAAAAAGCCAGTTTTTTTCCAATGCTGGTCAGCCGACCAGCATTGGAAATTGATACAAAAATACAATTTTTCTTGAAAATGACAGTATACCAGGTGCCGTGATTTTACAGGATGCTTTACACTGTCATTCACTAACAGTCCAGCAAGGTATTTCAAAACGATTTGGTAGTTTTATTTTTTGATGTTTGCAAATGTTGTATTTTCCCTTTAACCCACAAAACAGAATTTCAATTTGCCGTGTCCAAAAAAAAAAAATCAATTACTTTCAACATCATCTGAGTTTTTATTACGGTCATTCAATAGAAAAAATCTTCAGGAGAAGCCATAATGCTGTTTTTTCCTCATTGCAAAACTAGCAACTTCCTTCCCTTCCAAAATACTTTGCCAACAAGTTTTAGTTCTGGAGGAAAAAAAAATTAGGGGCCGTCCCCTAAAGTACATATGCACGAAAAGGTGACTTTTTAGATTTTTAGATCCCCCCCCCCCCCCCGGCATACGCTGTGGTTCCACACCCCCCCCCCCAAAAAAAAAATTTTAATGGCTGAAGTGAAGGGTATAATAACGAGTTTCAATGCATAAAAGCTGCTCCTGATAGGTATTAAATTTGAGAAATTACATTGATTTTATGACAATTAATATTTAACCAAATTATCACTCTACGTATATTGTACACATTGGCTTGGACCCCCTCCCTTCCTCCTGTACACATGGTGCATGCAATGTTAACATCCCCCCCCCCCCTTTGTGCATGCATACTTTATGGACGACCCCTTATCTTGATATTTTGAAAAGTAAGCAATGTGTTCCTTTTAAAAGTACCTTCATATGAGACAAAGGCTAACAGAACAAATTGTATGAAATGTCAAGTAAACTGGTTTTTCTTACAACAAAGAGCCCTCACAAAACGATACACATACATGTACATACATGCACATGGTGCTTCTGCAAAATCTTTTAAGCCCGGTTCACACTTTACGCGAAAGCAAGTGCAAAGCGAAACTCATGTCATCAACAATGGTGGAAGCGCTTCGAACATACTGTTGACGTCACAAATTTCGCTTCGGTTTCGCTTGTGCTTGAAGTATGAATAAATCTTCAAGTTAGTTAATTTGGCTACAATTACAATGTAAGGTGTATTATGGCTTGAAGATGGATGCTATTCTTTGTATACAATGCATTATTACCTTTCCCATAGACCTCGACACCAGCATGGAACACTCCTAAGCCCAATGTTGATGTGTACTCATTGGTCCAATACTGTATGATATGGAAAACAAAAATACATTCCTCACTGAATACTTTATAAATTATCCTCATTTGTGGGATACCTGCCATAAAACTAACTCACGCTGCGTGCGGTGGCCTAGGGCCATGGGCTCCGTGCATAAGTACCCCCTCAGTGGTAAGAAAGGGAGAGTTGGGGGAGACCACTGGGTGGGAGAGACATTCAAACACATCGGTAACATGACGCCTGATGCTCATGTGAAGAGGCTATGGCTTCGAGTACATTCACGTGCGTACTTCGTACCCTCCAAGCCCTCCAAGCAAGCACACGTGGTGTGTCTCATCCACTGGGCTTTTGAAACTGGTAAAAAAGCACCATTTCTTGGTCCCGCACGGAGCCCAATCCAAGGTCATGACACTAGCAGTGCCTGCTTTGTTGCAAACCTGGGGGAACTTCCTACAAGTAGGTGCAGGTTCACATAACGTTAACCCTGCTCAGTCCAACAGGATCCAACAATTTTACATTTCCATAAGATCCTTTTGGACCTTGTATATTCCTGCTGAAATTTGTTGGATTCAGCAGGTAACTAAAAAGGGAACACGGTTGGATTCTGTTGGATTCAGCAGGCAACTGAAGACATTCATAGTCGGATTCTGTAGGGTGCTAGTTGGACTCTGTTGGATTCAGCAGTAACCAATAATATAGACAGTTGGATTGTGTTACATTCTGTTGGATTCAGCAGGCAACAGAAAAATAAGGCTCGTTGGAATCTTTGGGATTGAGAATGCCAGTTACATGTAAGCTTAATGCCAGTCATTTTATATTTTCAGATACCCAGCAACTTGGCAAGTTGGATTGTGTAGGATTGTGTGGGATTGTGTGGGATTGTGTGGGGCTGTGTTGGACTGTGTTGGATTGAGCAGGAAACTACATATGAGTAACCGTCTGACTCTGTTGGATTTAGCAGGGCAGTCCCAGGAATCTGAATGCAACAAATGCTACTAGAAGTTGGCTTCAAGAATGGTGAGGCTCACTTTGGAACTAAAATCATTCAGTAAGTGCACATAAACTTGTGTTTTCTGTAGACAATCATGATCAGCCATGATAAAACATCAACGGTAATTCAGCACGTATGAAACTGATACCAAAAAATGATGTTGTTTTCAGTTTTTGAGTTTCTGCATCACTTTTACTGCTTCATACAAAAAAAGTAATGGATCACACAAAATATAATGCATCATTCTATGGCCGGAATATTACTTTTAGAAAGGAAAGGCATTTCCTGTAAATAATCAGTTATTTAATAGGGCTGAGTCAATTCGAATAATTGAATATTCGAATATTCGACCTTCCAATCGATCAAATATTCGAATATTTGGTTATTTGGCCATTCCAAATTCCCTCGAAAGCAAAAATATGCCAAACATGTACATGTAGTCAACGTATGTGAGCACGTCAGCATGCCATGCATGATTTCTTCACAGGTAAGTCAGGTATTTGACAACATCAGTTGTTCTTCAGTCGTCAGTAATTTAAAGATTAACAATCACCAGAGAAGCTAGAGTGAAGGATTCCTTGTTTGCATGGGAGACGTATTAAGCCGTGAACCCCAAACACGGCGGGTGGCATCAGCTATTGTGACTCTCCGACCCTGAACTCGCAAACAGGAACCGAGCATATCTATTACTGGAAGCTTCTTGAAGTCTACAAAACGGTGTACTTCCTAGTCACAGTATTGAGGATAAAAAAAATCACTTTTATAGTAATAACTCGCACTTTTGTCACCAAGAATTGAGGAAATGATTTTATATCATTTTAAATAAACTTATTCTCAACAACCAAAAACTCCAAGAAAAAAACCTATGATATTTAATGTCTTTATTAAATGAAATATGGGTCTTTGAATTGTAAATGCATATTTAAGTTTATGCAAATAATGGGCGTGGGCGCGGCATACACACGCCCCAGCTTGACACGTGCAAAGCAGTATTTCCTTGTTTGCCCACAGGGGATGTATTATAACATAGAGCAAGGACCCAAGGAGTTCGTACTCCAAGACTTCAAAAGTAAAATGATGGTCGCCGCGCTCAAAAGCTACAATAGAAAGCACCTGGCGCCAGCTTGCTCAGTTGCTCACTACGCTAATCTCGACACAATAGAGATCCGCGCTCACTAATGCCAGAAAAGGAGTTTGCATGGCTTCGTAGACAGTACCATGGTAAATACGCATGCGCAGTTGTCATACATCGCTAAAAATGAATGATTTTGAAGTGTTTGTTCGCAGTTGGATGATACTGTATATAAATGTGGTCAACATCACTGGAACAATCATTTCATGAAGAACAAAATGCTCTGTACCTTTAGTGTGAAAACTTGTGAAATTTTCCAAAAAAACACATTTCATCAATGATATATTGCCAATTAAAATGTCTGAAAATACATGAAAACTTATCTGAAAGAAATCCAATTTATCTCCAAATTACAGGGACAGATAACGCTTTTAAGCACCAACAACTGCACATTGCTAACTTGAGTTCATAACTCACATCTAACAACTTCGCAGTTGTAAAAACCTATCTTGTCGTAAAATATATTTTTCAAAAAAGAGCAGCAACGTGACATGACTTATTATGCAGCATATAGGGAGGTTGTTGGTTACCAACTAAAAAGGCGGCGACGATCATCGTGTTCAAAGGCCGCTGGCATTCACGCTTTGAATGGTCAAGGCTTGCGGTCACAGTGCTGTAGCTATCAGGGATGTGATTTCTCCGGTTTTATCCGGAAATCCGTTTTTTTGGGCCTCAAAAGTCCACCAACGTGAATCGTGTGAATCCGTTGAGAAAATAGGGGGGTAGAATGTGCTAATTAATTATTCATAATGAGTTTTGCTTGCCGAAATATCCGAAATTTACTTACGGACATAAACTTCGTTGATTGATATGTATGCCGCACGAACATATTGGACACCCAATGTGAGAACGAAGTTGAAGACCATGCGTTGCCATTAGTGCGATTATGATTTTTCGCTCGGGGCCGAGGTTGTGGTTATGTAGGTCTAGTTCCTGTGTCGGTACTCGAAATGCACGTGTTGCGCTTGTCAGGTTTGCAGACGAGTGCAGCATGGTACACTGGTACCCTTCGCGTGCTAACAGAATCAATGCTATGATGAAGGACCGGAACCAGTGACTACTGCAAGTACTCACAGGTTCGTTTTCCGTGTGTATAATCGGCCGAAGTTGGATCGTAAAAATAGTAAAATACCAAACAACCATCGATGGAAAAAGAGGATTTCTGCAAATTAATTCACAGAACGTGATCTTCATTTTCTGTGTATGTATTTTCCATTGAAATGACGAGATTGCAAAACTCGAACCTGTGGAGAAACATCGTAACGTGTTTCTGCAGTCCTGCAGAATTTTCGGCCACTTGGGACGGGCTGCCGGCCGTACACAGTGCAGCAATGCACACTACATGTATACTGCGCCGGGCCGGCCGTGTGTACGGCGCGATGTTCGGCCGGCCAGACTGAATGTTTGCGGCGCTAGCGGCCGTGATGTACATGTACGTTAAGCATAATTGTGGAATGACCCACCTCAAATATATAGATTTTTAATTAGGTGAGGCAAGTTTTAATCACTTTTGATGGCTAGTCTTGATAATTTTTGTGGCGCAAATGAGAATAATCCAGGCACAAAATAAATGAAATATAAACTATTCCTTGCTTTACTACAAATATAGAAATGGTGAAATATTTTTTTCCAACAATACTACCGACGCTATTTTGAAAGGCATGTTATCGGAAGCAGAAGTGATTTAAGTTTACAATTTTGATTTTTTTTTTACAAAAATATTACAAGATCTCCTCTGAAATACTCTAAAATGCACCAGAAAGCTTCTAAAGTTCAAAATTTTTCGGGGCCCTTAAGCGGGCCCCGGACCCCACGCCGTAATGGCTACACGCTTCGCGCTCGCCGGAGTTTGCATCCCTGAGCTATAGACATTCCCGAGGTATTGGTATGTTAATGGTCAAAATGTAAATCGCCCAAGAGTTCTGACTCCTTGGGTCCTTGCTCTATGATTATAAGCTGTGTACCCAAAACACGAAGGGTGACATTTCAGCAACCCACCTAAAGAAAAAAAAATCTCCAGCCGAGCTCTGGCGGGCGCTTTGTTGGCGGGCTAATTAGGGCACAGGTGCGCTGACCCGGTTCTTTTGTCTGGCTAAGTGCGTGCTCTGGAGATAACTTTCTAATGGATAGGCCACTAAAAGGTTTGGATATTCCAACTTGCAAAATTTTGATACTACATTTTGTCTAGCGGTGGTTTTCTATGCTGGGAATCAGGGGTACGGTGAGGTGCGGTGAGTTGACCGCAAAGTCTGTCTGGCGAAATAAATGAGAGCTCTTTTGAGTTTGAAATCCTCTCTGTTGTCTGCCATTTTTCTTGCGTTTTGCTCGACTTGGAGGACATAAGCCAGAGGTTCCCGCTATTATTACTGAAAGTATAATTGCTGAACTAGTTTTTGAAGTGTTTATGTATGTTTTATTTGTGCAAATATTGGGTGCAATTATTAGCAGACTAACCCAGCGAACAAAGCTGATGGACAGCGAACGAAAATGTGTTCGATAAAAGGGTGCTCTGATCAGTTGAGAGAACTAGATTATTTTGTACATGTACATGTATATAATTACGGAGGCATTGAGGCGAACATCTAACAGCCATAATAAATTTACCCCTAAAAGTAAACGAGAAATTCTTTTAGAAATATCACAGAGTTCGTAAGTAAATGAACCGAGGTTTTCAAAACGTTTTAATGTAATGCTGGGGTTCATGACAAGTTTTCTACAACACCGCCACGTGCTGTGGGCAGCATACTGCGTGCAAGGCGATTCCCTATAACCACGTACATTCGACCCAATTGAACAGGCGATGGAAAACTTTTAGGGGGAATTAGCTTCACTGTATCAGTGTAATGTACCGCTTCTTGTGCGACCCTGTGCGAGCAGTACGTCCTCAAAATAAGTACATGAAAACGGAAAATACAAAGGCCCACACAGAAAAAAGAAATCAAGTTCTTTGCATGAGATTGCAGAGGTCTTCTACATCGATGTTGGCATGCCATTTTCGCGATGTCAATAGCCGATCCAGTAAGCCCCTCCCACTGCGCACGTGGGCAAATTAACACGTGCTCCTCTCCAATGCCACGCTGCATTTTCCAATGCTGCACACATGTACATAGTATGTAACACCAACGCGCGGGGAAACTTGCCAGGATCGCATTGGGGAAAACAGCGGCGGTTTTCTTTTGAAAATAGGGATTGTAAGTAGGACAACAACAAACAAAAATACGGACAACAGAAACGTTACTACTCATGCTAGAAGTTTGATATGAAAAGGTGTCAGGAAGTGTTTTGTGAAGACATGACAGACAAAATGTCTTATTTATCTTGTCGGAAGCATCAGCAATTGGTGTTGCAGTCCGGCGTTAAAAAAATGGGTTGGCTTTACTGCAAGCACTCCCAAAGCAGAAGTAATATATGTATGGCATTATTGCTTGGCATATATACAAGCTACTTTTATGGGTTTTTTTGCAGCAACTTGAAACTTAACTTTGAGAATACAATTTTGTTGTTAAAAAAAGTTTTTTCCACCTTTTTTTTTCATTGCATATCACCACCGAATATTCTTCTTCGAAAATAAATATTTGAATATTCGATTACAGATCAAATATTCGGATATTCGGCACAGCCCTATTATTTAATATACACTGTATCATATTAACCATCAAGCAAAACTGTACATGTACCGGCTGGAAAATACACGTAATTCAATATGCTATGCAATGTGGATGGCTGAACACACATTGCACTGCAAGATTAATACTGCATGATAAATAATGTATTTGCATACGTGTACATGGTATCAGTTCATACAAAAAATTGTGTACACACTAATTAAACAGTGAACTAATGCTGGTACGTTACAACTGTATGTGGTACGATGCACAAACTGTGCACACACATACATGTACATCCTATACACTGCACATGGTGCCTGAATGTACTGTATTCCCATAAAATCTCGCAGGATTTTGAGGTCAACTTGCATGCTCTCTTACACTGCATTTCTTCTTTACGTTTCAACCCCATTGTTTTCCAGTTCTTTGGAGTATTCTTCGTGTGTGCACAAACTCTAAATACAATATAGACTGCGTTTCTTTGGTGTACAACAAAGATCTGGTACACGGCACCCTGTGGCGACATGTGCACAATAGGGAACAAAAGATGTGCACGTCTCCACAGAGCAATTTCTATAGGTGAATACGTCTCCACAAGGTTATCACGAAATAGATATATGGATTTTACTGAAAACTAGGAATTTCCAAGGTGTGTTGATCTGTCGCAAATTGAAGTATTTTAGTTAAGGGATAATTAAATTCGAATTTCAGCCCAGGAAATTATTTCTGGTTAAAATAGGAGCATTTTGAAAGTACACTTTCAAACTCAAAAACCTTAGTACACGAGAACAAAGACATGACTCCACAAGGATACAATTACAGTATGGGTGTACCATGTGTGTAACGTCCTATTTCTGCAATTTATTTTGTTTCCTGCCTGGGATAATCCAGTCAATGGCAATGAACGAAAAGAAAGAATTACAATTTACAGCATGTTAAAAACATTGCCAATTGATGACTATAATAGACTGAAAAGTGTTGACCTCAACTTCCGTAAACTTAGTCAATCAGGCAGATAACAACTGGGTAAATTCTAACACAGAGTCTGTGACTACACTAGTCAGTGTTGGGTACCGAGACATTCACATGAAAAATGAATGTGAACTGGTGAGTAGGGGTGTGCATTTAAGGGGTAGTACGGGAACCAGCTACCAAACTGGAAAAAAAAACACAGCTACCCGGGTACTTGTTATAGAAACCCAACCCCAAAATTCAAATCTCGGAAGTGGCTGTACAGATTGTGCATAAAGGGCTGCACGATAATACTACCACATCAGTGCGTCAATGCAGCAAGATACATGTGTGTACAGTGAGCTTTGTATTAGCTTACTGGTGAAAACTGCAAGTTCCACAAGCGTCATAAACGTGAAACCTGTTTTGTATATTTTTCCACGTAGCCTGGTTTCATTTTGAAAATTCCCCACAAATGACATTCAAAACCTTTCTTTTTCATTGTCTGAGAAGCTACTAAGTAATTTTTAATGTTGCTTAGGCCAAAAAAAAAAAGTCTCTGGTATGCGCGCGCGTCGCCGTAGCCATGCGCGTCGGCAAAATGAAAAAGTTTTTTTTTCAATACAAGATGATGTCTCAAAACCGCCAAACTCACTGGTTTGACTGGAATCCTGCTGCTGCACAATTTTAACGTGTTTTTTAGATGGGGTTATGATCGAGAATAAGCTTTATGTGGCCTTTCTGGACTCCCATATATTTGAACTAAGTTTAGTCGGGCACCATTTGCAGTCATCAGCCGACATTTGAAGCCCAAAAAAAAAAAAAAAACAGGTAAAAAAAAAAAAAAAAGCCACGTCGCCGCACCACTTTTGGGACAAGCTCCATACCAGAAACCGGAGACTTTTTTTTTGTGGCCTTATGGGTACCTGATCCCATAATCTGGAACCGGTTCCTGACATCAGCGGTCGGGTACTCGGGTACCCAGTTCCGATGCACAGCCCTACTGATGTGACTTGCACGCTCTAGTCATGAGTGACAGTCAGTAAGTGGGTTAGGTAACTAGCAAAAAGTTGACACACTTACCATATCATAGACATTGAGCTTGACTTCCGTAGCTGTCTTTAGGTCTCCATTGGGAAGTTGGGAAGACATAGCTTGCTGCATGGCCCCTTAGGGGCCAAACTTTAGGTTAAAACGTAAAGCAGTGTTAGTTTCTTGTACCAGCTTGGGAACCTACAAAAAGAAAATGTCAGTGTTGTAGTCGAGTGGAGTCCATCACAAGTCCTCTTAAAGCTACAGTCCATCATTTGTAATTTGTGCATTTTGTTCGTTTGAAGCAACAAAAGAGTTCAAAATCTAATGGAGGATACTGAAAAACTAACCTGATGAAGTTTCAGCTAAGCTTCAGCTGTATATTCCGAGAAAAAAAGCATTCTAAGATCTCAATTTCAAATCAAAAGTTACTGAATCATGTTTTGAATTGCAGCTATACGCGACGTCGCGCACTGATCCGACGAATTATAACAACCGCGCGCGCGTGTGCGTCGTTCCAATACTTGTGCGCGCTGCGCTGAATAACAAAACGAACTACTAATTTAAATTTTCCTACGGTGCTTCTTAAGAATCACCGTTGGAAATGCCTTCTTTCGTTGATTACCTCAAAATGACAGCTTCCCAGAAAGAATAATTTCACAGGGAGTTTAGTTCCCTTACTATCTTTCAACCAAGTTTGTTTTTCAACAATAATTACGTCAGTTACTTTTCGGATGGCTGCAAATGATGGACTATAGCTTTAAGTCCATCACAAGTCATCTACATGTAAAAGTCAAATCACAAGCTATTCAAATACAGGTAAACTGACATTGACAAAGGCATTCCTTTGTAATTGCTCATCCCCTGTTACTTGAGAACGGACTTTTGGATAGACTTATGATGAACTTGTCATGGACTTGACTGCAACACTTTTAAAAAGATAGGGCTGAAATGATATATCGATATATATCCGTATCGCGATATTTTGATACGATACAATATATCGATACGAATGTTAAATAACGATACAAAACGATACATACAACTGCGCCAGAATTCAAGGAAAAAAAGTACCACGTACTTGGCCTAAGTGTTAACAGGTTCACTAGTCCAATGGCAATGCATTCATGGACATGGTCACTTTCATTTCAATTTTCATTTTGCCATTTCTACAATTTTCCCAAATCACAAACATATTGTTGACTAGACCCGTGAACGTGGCTTGTAAACTACCACGTTCACGGCCCACGGCCCTTGTAGACCAACCTTCGGGTGTGCTCAAAATACCAGAAGTATTAAAGATAAATGACGTCGTTGCTCAAGTTGTCTCGGTAATATCAACGTTCGTCGGCCATTCCGTTCTCAAAATTGGCTTTCAGAAAGTTTGTTTTGTTGTTTCCCGGAATTCCCACACACTGATCACGACTCGACTGTCCACGACTCGACTGTACGCGATGATATGTGCATGGTGACCGTAAAGTCATGGCCAAATTCTGCTAAATGCACTTCGAAAATCTGTCCGATTTATAAAAAATCTGCCAAATTCCCCAGAATTACTCAATATAAACACTTAAAATCACGTGCAGATTTGTAGTATTGCCATAATTAAGGTTCAAATTACATTATGAACAATCTATAGTCACAGAATGATGTTATGAAATTGTGTAAATGTCAGGCAAATTTGCGTCAGTTGCTTCACGACAAAGTCCTGTTCCAGTGAACCTCAGCACCTATAGACCAACCAACCTGTCCCATTATGCAAGGGTTTGTGTAAAGAGATTGAAGCTTTTTTAAACAAATATATCTTCTTCTTTTTAAACTCGCTATGTTTTTCTGTCAAATAGCCATTTTTGCAGAATTCTGCCAGAAATCTGCCAAAAAAATCCATTCTGCAAATTTTCTGTCAAACTCGTTTTTTAACAAAACATCTGTCAAAGTTAGCCGAAAATCGGCTAAAATGGTCACCCTATGCATGTGATCGTGAACGTCACGCGCCGTAGTTTCCAGAACATCTAAACATCGGATTTAGTCAGGTACCAATGCCTTTTATATTACATTTTAGCTGTTTGAAAGATACGCGATACTAATTCCTGTAAGCCTGCCGGATTCATACGGTATTTTGCGGATTCAGCTGGATATAAAGTATTGCGTCAATGACATAAAAACAGTGTGCAGTCAGTGCATTACATACAATGCCCGGCAACCAGATATAGCCCCCTCTATAATAATCAGGACCCGAAACTTGCCCTGAATATTCGCTCGTACTCGAACTCCCCGGCCCGCCCCCTGCAATCAGGACGCTGGGATACGCTGATGAGCTTCACAGAATCCTGTGAAGGAAATGACCTATGACATATAAATAAAGCATCTGACTGCAGCTGTTCAAGACCGCACTTAGACAATGCGCGCAAATACTATCCTAAAACTTCGTATAGAAATGCACACATTCCATACCGGGTGTAATTTCTTTTTCCATTGCGGACTATGTGGACAAATTTTGAGCGTCGCATAATGCAATCATTGACCATTCGTGACTTCGAAACGGAGCCTGCTTATATTCCTCCATGGAGCAAGTAACGGGAATTGCAAATTTACAACACAGATAAGTTTTACAGATTTTCCTACATTATATAACGCTTTTGAATACAAAAGCATTTATGAATTGGAATAAAAGAGTAATAAGTCTTTACGGCCGTTCGGACGTTTGAAACCTTGCAGTGGTCGTGGCCGTGATGCCGTCACTCATGCACGCGTCACAGGTCACGCAAAATCTATCCAATCATAGCGTGAATTCATCAGAGTATCCCAGCGTCCTGTTTGCAGGGCGGGGAGTACGTACGAGCGAAGCCCTGAATAATGTTATGATAGTAGTAAAATGGGGTAAAAAATAATAAATGAAATGCTAAAGTTCCCAACAATTTATTCTCGAATTAAAATGCAGGAGAAAGCATCGTAGATTTTCCAACCCCCCCCCCCCCCAGCATGGCGCATTCGGCACGCCTTCGTCGACTCACTCCCCCCCCCCTTATATCACCCCACCCCACCCCACCCCGTTTCCTCGGCCTCTAAGCTAGTTCCTCAACGTGCGCAGCAATTAGATGCGATTTTTTGGAAGCGTTTATAAATGCTCAGCAGGATGTTTTCTTCAATGCTGATGGGTGACTACGGAGTCTACGGGCTCCATTCCCTCACCACCTACCTCCCCCAGACATTTCAGGTTTAATAGGCCTCTAGCAATAACTTTCCCACACGAAGTGATAAGTGTGAGTGCCAGATCCCACGCGCGGCAAGCCTCCCACGCACCGTCCCGGCCACGCGCCCTCGAGGTCTCACGTCACACGCGAAAATCCGGCCCCGAAAATTGACCAACATAAGCCCCCGATAAAGTCTCCCATAAAAATATTGCGTGATTTTTCGCGCGGAATTGTAGCGCGTGTATACCACACTTCATTGACAAAAATTTCATAAACAACTTCACAATTTTTGTGAAGTATTTAATATATTTTGTTAGCTTTTTTTGTGAAACTTTAAATTTTGTATTTTATAGAAATTATCTTCTCGTTTTTGGGTCAATTTTCCGGGGACAGACCTACCGACCGACCAACCGGAGACCGACCGACCACGAAGTGACATGTAGAAGCTCCTGCCAAGCTTAAAAAAAAATACGAACGTACTGATCATTATTGAACCATAAGTTGCTTCATCCAGGGATAAAGAGAATGACAAGTGGGTAAAACGACATTCATCTGAATTTTGCTAAATATTGGCGGCAATGTGTTTCCTCTTTTTTTCATCGTCATATTTTCGTTTTGCATGCATCATTGAAGTTTCCAACTCACGGTCATACGTTCAGATTATTAATGTTTCGAATGATTTTGCTCCTGCTTCTTGCGTTACACTTTTTTTAATAAGATGAACTGTGAGTGTGATTAATTTTACCGCTGGTGTTGTTAATTAGGAAAAACCGATCCCAAGGTTTCCACTCTGGCGCGCTCAAAATAATTAGGCCTGAACTCTTCACTCGAAGTCAGTTTTTCACCATTTCACGGTTTGTGTTTCTATGGTTCTTCCCGTTCCTATGGAAACGCGTCCTTCTGGTTGATTGTTTTATCGTTCAAGCTTGTACGTATAATAATTGCAAGCTAGTTACAATAAATCGTACTGTGATCGATGTTTCATTGCGAGCAGTCTTTCAATAATAGTCTGCAAAGCTTGTAGCATATGAATAATTGTTCCCGTTCGTATGGAAGCGCGTCCTTCTGGTTCATAATTAATACGTCGTTAGGCTTGTACTTGTACGTCTAATAGTATCATGGAAATAGGCCTAATTGGAAAGCAATTGTAATGAATCATCTTCCTAATCGGTGAAAATAACTGCGAGCTATAAGGCGTTTTTCTCCACTTGCCTCACGATTCTGACAAATAGAAGATGCGACTCCCTGGAACTTGTTCGTTTGTTCTCCTCAAGATGATGCTTTCTTGCTGGGTGACTCTGGGCTCCATCCCATGTCCTCCCACCTGGCAGGCATTTCAGGGGACTGGGTACTACGTGCACTCGGTTCCCATGACCTGGGCCCAAGCCAAGGAACTCTGTCAGAAGATGGGAGGCAACCTGCTGATGCCCAAGTCATCTGAGGAGAACGCGTTCGCCGACGCCCTGCTCGAGGGACGCGGGGCGAAATCGGCTTGGTTGGACTGCAGTGACAGGGTGGAAGAAGGCAAATGGCTGTGTTTAGATGAAACACCGTCAAACCACCTCCCATTTCACAATACAGCATCTAACCATGGAGATAGCCAAGACGCGGATTGCGGGCTGATCGAGACCGTGGACGGCAAATGGTACGCCGCACCGTGCGACCAGAAAACGACTGCCGTGTGTGAGAGAGAAGCGACGGTACAGCAAGCCAGCCTCGCCATGCGCTGCATAACCCTAGGAGAAAACGGTCGTCCAATAAACGATGGACAGTGCATTCACATTCCTCCACTCAAGTAAACAACGAACTTTATTTTCCTCGAAAATTGGCGACTTTTGAAGTGATAAACATCGCCTATTCGCAAAGCAAAGCTTGACAGTCTACGTGCAAAAGTTAAATAGTGAACAAACCAACTCTAGTTTACGTTTTTGGCTATTGGACATATAAGCCTACTTGAATTTTGTACATCTTTCTGCATACTCACATTCGAAGTGGGTGATATAATTATGTGATCTATCAACTATGTTCTTTTGTTCATCGAGACACCCCCAATTCAACGATTTTAAACAAAACTCCACCTCATTCATCTACTGGTGATGAGCAGAGCCAATGGAAAGCTAAATCGTAACTATGGCAACAAAGTTACATAACCCTCAGCTGGACAGTTATTTCTGAACAATTGAAAATTTACCCTGAAACAACTGAGAAAGTAATACCATTCTCTCACAACTTAGATTTAGAGTTCAATTAATTCCTTGTTTTCAGGCAGTGAAAATTCAGTTTTTGCAATGAGAGAAATCTTTCTGCATGCATATTTGCTGTAAGTATTCTCGAGTTACTTTGACAAACTTGAATGAAGCATATTGCTCATTAAAATATAAATATGTATCGTGTTTGTTTTCCTCCGAAATTTTATACTAAAAGAGGACGATGTATTTAATGATGTTTTCCATTTGGCCAGGTTAACGAAAGAAAAGAGGCACTTCTTTCTTTCTTTCTTTTTTTATTTGGGGGGGGGAGGGGGAGTCGCTTTTATTTTTTTGACAACAACACTCTCCTCTTCGCTACTGCCGGCTTCAGCACTGACAGTGCGTACAGATATAGCCATGTAAATTATACCATTCGTTCATCCGAGAAAAAAAAGATGATCAGACTTACAAAGCTTCAAATAATTTTGGGGGAAAAATGTTAGAACATATTTACAATGATTGAACCAGAACATCAAGATAGCTTGAACAGCGACCTCCCATTTCACAACGCAGCATCTAACCATGGAAATAACCAAGACGCGGATTGCGGGCTTGTAGGTAACAATTCCGCCCCCCCCCCCCCAAGATCTCGGCCATCGAGTGACGAAAAAGTTTGAAATTCGGTACATGCATAGAGCAACTCATCATTAACATACCCAAGAAATTTTATGACTATAGGTTAAAGGGGTTTGGAATTATGGCAAATTAATTATTCATATATACGAATGGTAATTCTGCTATGTGTACACGACGTATATGGGAAAATTCAGTTTTCACGGCGCCTAGCCCCGGAAAATTTTTCGCTACGCGCCATCCCCTGGTCCAATTTTTATGTTTTTGGTATCAAAAGATGAGCAAGGCTCGAGGCTAAAAAGTCATAACAGCTTGGGTCGCGAATTTTGTTTAAAGGCTATCGCGGAAAAAGTTGAGGGGGGGGGGGGGGATTCCGCGGATGAACAGAGCCAATCGGGTACCCCCCCCCCCCCTCAATTTCTTACTGTCTCAAATGAAGTTTGCTGCCGCTTCGAAGTCGAT